CTTGCCTTTTGTCAGAAAACATCTCTTTCAAAACCTACTAAACAAGATCAGTAAAGAGATATCACTTTGTCCACAGGAGGGCGCCAAATTGAAAAAATCAGAGAGTAACCCATTAGTGGTTTTTATGTTTACACTGTAGCTAGCTGTAACTGCCAAAGAGGCCAAGCCAACCTGCCCATGTGACAAGCAACTTCTTTCCTTGCACAATACTTTTATATTCTCTTTTTCCAAAATCTAATTTGGTGTGAAATCAAATCTTTTTGAAATCATCATTTTAAATTGTTAAAATTGTTGCTTTACAGAAATATCAGGTCTATATCAAGTTAGTAGAATTAAGCCTCATCCCTACATTAAGCTTTCTTAGGCATTGATTCAGCTACTAAGTAGATGTAGAACAATAATATTGTTATTAGTTGTTGTACAATTAAAGTAATAGATGTAGCAGGAAGGAAAGTAATTGAAGTGGTAGTAGATAGGTATATGTCTTAAAGCAGTGACTATTATAAGTGCCTGAAAAATAGACTTTTTGTGCCTCAGATGTATGGAGTGCTGACAGACAGATGTGTTCAACTATCTTACATAGATAAACAGATCGTCCGCGCTTACACCAAGGTTCATCACCTTTAGATTATCCTCTGCTAAGAGTGGGTGTGCGGGTAGCTGTCCATGTCCATCAGTGAGTCATTCATCAGTTAAGACTTTCTCTCTCTCTCTCTTCCTCTCTCCCTCCCACGCATACATGCACACACACACACATACACACACACAGGCCTCCTTGACCCTGTCAGCACTGTGATTATCTTGTGATGAAACACAGAACCCTGACCGAGAGGATGAGCACAAAGTGGTCAAAATCACAGACTAACCTTCCTTTAACATTACAGAACACTGCAGTAATTTGTACCGAGGCCGTCTCAAAGAATCAAAACATTTATGACACAGAAAAAGCCACATTTAAAGCTCCTGTGAGGAACTTTCTGCTGGTCTCATTATCATGTGGAGGAAGTTACATCCCTTGTCACTATGCTGATCTTATCCCATATTTGTGTACACCATATTCTTTGCATTTGTCTTCCTGCTGTCTTTTAACACTCAAATGAATCATTTATTAAAAATCTTTGCTGTGGAAAAGGTAAAAATCAACGTTTTTCAGCAAGCTATCAGCCATCTGGCCTGACACCTACCCCCAGTGGAAACAGTCACCTAATATTACAACATAGAGCGGTTCAATCATGTTTCTAATTATCTAGTTTTGTTGAGCAGGTCATAACAATGCATAATTGTAAATTTTCATCTGCATCATAACCAGCTAGAAATTCCTCACCATAGCTTTAAAACAAGATATTAAAAAAATAGAGTTTAATGCACACCGACCGACCAACACTTACTATTATTCATATGTACCGAACCCTAATATATCAAGCACCAAGAAAATGTAAAAGTTCAATCAAGATTGCTGACACTAATCTGGATTAACAATTTCTCCGGGGGATTTATAAAAAAAATCTTGCCACTGATATTGAAATGCAGATTAAGGGCTTAACTTTTTCCAAGCCGCTCTCTACTGACTAAACATTGTGAAGGTTACCCTTTATGTTACAGCAGGAGAACCCCGACGGGTTTATCTAAAGATCTGATGTCCACTTAATCTTTTCTCTCTGAAGCTTAAGGGAGAATCAAAGGTGTTTCATATTATTCTCAAATTGCTTCAGGGATTTTCTTGTGATATCAACAGAGCCTCATGTCCAACACTACTTGCTAAAATCATTATTTGCTGCAGGACTGATACCTGTGGTGATGTTGCATTTATTTCAAATGTCTCCTACAAGGTTTTAAAAGTGACCATGCAATGTAAAACAGGTTGCAAACACTAATGTGATTGGCTGCAAGGAGAATGAGGAAGAAACTCGGTAACATCTTCAAAACAGGATTCAAATGAAGGTAGTGATTGTGTTATCTTGCATCATCGCCATCATGTGGTTGTACGTCAGTTTCACTGCAATAATGTGACATATGAATCCAAAGAAAAGATAAATAAACACAGTATTTTATGTTTTCAAACTACAGATGTTTGTGTAGTTTGTCTATGGTATATCAGTTTCAGCACACCAGCTCACAGACTTGCTCATTGTGCATAATTAGGTCAGTAGAACTCCTTCCTGGCAAACTCATGAATTATTGATCAGAAATAGTCTGCCAATTTGGGAACTCCACTTTTATCTGAGTTCATTTATTTTCTCTGGAGACATTCTGAATAATGAGGCAGCTCACAGTTTTCATCTGCATCTCATCTCATAACCCTTAAGAGAATAACGTAACTGTGAATTATTGAATAAAATAAATACTGTAATTCTCAGGAAATGCCTCACTGTTTACCGCCTGGTACAATGAACTCTAACCATTACCACAAAGCACTTGAAAACTGTTGCTTGAAAATACATTTTCATGTTTCCCATCATATACAGTGATTATTTGGATTGTTTAGTGTTTAAAAACTCATGTTAGGCAATTTTGTTAAGAAAATTAACTTGTTCTCAATTTCTATTGAAAAGTGGCAAAAAAGACGCATCTGGATCACCACCTTAAAAGGGATGATCCGTGATATAACACTTGTACAACTCTGTACCTGAATCTGAAAGTAATATGTCCTCATATCTCAGTCCAAGTCCAAGTCTTGTTCTCATGTCTTACTAATCAAAGACACCTAGTTTGTCAAGTTTTTTTAAGTATGGATGCACATAACTCAGAATTTACAGATAGGATTTCATTTCTGATCTCATGTCGGCTCAGGTTGGTGTTTATTTTTTCCACACTTTTTTCTTTCCCCTTAATCAGGCACTATTTGCTCCTGCATCACCATAAAAACCACAAATGGAGCTAGCTAGTTCAGGCAGGCAGCAGAGGTGGCCCTGTTTGTTTTCACTTCTGGCATGCGTCATTCAATCACCAGACAAAGGATATCCTTCCAGTCAGGCAGTCTATTAAAGCAGAAAGACACTGGATCTTTGCTAATGCCACCGCTGCCCTCTTCAATTTCTGCATGTATGTGAACCAGTCAGGATTGACGAATGTTCTGCTGCTGCTGCAAAATAGTTAAAATTTGAATTAAGAGGCAAAACTATGGTCAATATTAAATACATGTAGCATGCAGATTTTGTTATCAGGTATATTCACAAAAATGCAGCATAGAAAAAGTTGAGGGTTTGATATAATATTGACTTGAATGTGACAAAAAGCACTGAACTTACTGGGATGAAAACAAAAAACAATTAATATAAAAGGCATGTGATCTAGACTTCCTGCAGTAAAGTAATCTGACGTAACAGATGGCTATGGCTCAAATGACAAAGGCTGCTTGAGTTGAGAGCAGAGTTGATGTATAAAAATACCTGTATGGATGGCCATATGAGATATAAATGGAGACTCAACTAGGCTTGAGTCAGTTTGTCTTGTGATTATGATGCTGAATATCTGCATTTCCATTTAAAGTCTGATTAGACATCTGCTAACTCTCAGTCGCCTTACGACTACAGGGTTGTTGACATAAGAGGACTCTATCTAAATCATACAATTTTCTTAATTATCTGGTGAACCCTTTGACAAAATAGACTTAAATTCCCCCCAGATGGATCTAACAGGGTCGGTTTATGACAGTCCTCCCATCATCAGAAGTAAGGTGACTTTTAAAGTTATTTTCTGACTGTCATGATTTGAAACTTCACCTTTCATCACCACCGGTCCCCAAATAGAGAGAAGCCTGAGAGTATAATCTGTGGGTTGGCCACTCCGCAGACTGTGGGATTATATAACAGATCATTTTGTGAGCTTTACTTCTCCAAACTGCAGCTCCAAGTGTGTCTGTGTAGTTTGTGATGTCTAGACACACATCCTGGTGGGTTGGCTGAATGCCCAGCCAATCAGACAGAAACTAACTCACAGGCCAGAACAAACTGAAATAAAGAACAACGCAAAAACCAAAGTACTAACTGGAATGGACATGTGATATTCAAGAGACTTAGCCAGGAATGTCATATTTGCAGTGATTTTATCTGAATCGTCATAGTGGATGAAACCTCTCCAGATGTGACTGAGGAGAAAAAGGATTATTGTATGCTGCATATATTTACAGAGCTAAACTTGATACAGCAGTCCAGCGACATTGAAAAGGAACTGAAGCAGTGTTACATCTCAAATTTCTTCTGAAAACACGCTTACTGACAGAATCTCTTTGTTTCTTTGGTTTTAATTACTATCATTCTTTCAGTATTTCCTCCTTATCTTGTTTCACAGCATGTCCTTTAGTGCAGCACTGTAATACTCTATTGGGTTTTTTTTTTATTCTGCACTTCTGATACATATTGTTTTATTATCAAGTTACTCTTGAATTCTGTTGAATTTCCCTGCAGGGATAAATCAAGTTCTTCTTAGTCTTATTCTCTCTTCATATGATGTGCTTATTTTGACTCTTCTCAGTTACAGTCTTAGTTGTCCATCCCTCTCATTCGCAACTGATGTTATCAGGTAGAGAGAGCAGGCCAAAGTCAGCTGACTGCACTCATACTGTCTCCATGTGTCTGGATTTGGGGGGGGGGGGGGGGTCGCTCAGGTCTAACTAAAAACCTTTTGTTTTTTCAGTCCAAACTTTATGGATTTATTTAATTTAATTGTAATTTCTCTCAAACCTGATTTTGACAAAGCTGGTGCTGGTACGCATTTATGTGCTGTGCAATCCCAACTCTAAATTATTGTATATAAATGTCTGTTTTTAATGTGAAAAATGTCAGTTTCCTTAGGTAACCTGCAGTTTATATGCAGATATGCAGCTCTGTCTAGTAGCATCTGTTTTCACTATCCTCTATGGTGTCTACGTATCTATCTGTTGGTCACTCGTCTCAAACAGGTGACTGTGTATCCGTGCTTTCAGCCATCTTAACACAATCAAAAATCTGATGCTGTAGTTTAAACTGGTATGGTCGTACTAGTGTATAGAAAAAGGTCACTTTTTCAGGTGCCAAAAAATATTTTTATTAGTGTGTCCCATATATCAACTTCATAAGATGTTTCAGATTCATGTGTCTAAATACTTCATGGCAGCTACATGTGTACATCTCTTTATCTGGAGTTATCCAACTATAGGGCACCAGTTCATGAAGGGGGGAATGGGACCTGTGCCACCCCGACCTGCTTTTTTTTACACGCCCCTGCTTTTCGGTCATTTTGACAATTTACCTCCACAATAAAATAAACAGGATAAGAGAAATTCCTGGTCAAGAGAGTTTAGTTCAGCAGCTAGAAAAAAGAAAAAATAATCATTAAATCATATTCACTGAAAACACATTAATGATGTTGCCTGGATTGTGGGGTCTTGCATATAACCGATAAAAAGCTGCTTTGTAAAAAAAACATTTTAACATGAGAATGCCTTTAAGTGATTCAGAGCATTCACAGCTGATTTTTTGAAAAGAAAAAGTAAAACATTTCAACAATCTGAACTGAAACTCAGCCACTGGCTCAACTTACCCCGGAACTACTATGATGACTTTATTAGTCCTTTAAGCTAAAATGGTGGACTTTCATGCTAGGTTTTTGACATAGACTGTATATAGAATGGACACCGTCTGCCTCCTTGTTGGGTGAAGCTACTCTGAGAACAGCACCCTCTGGTGACAGGCTGCAGTATAGGTCATAAATCCTGCCTCCACCAGCAAAGTTTATGGAGCTGTGGACAAACTTTAGAAATTTATTAGACAGAATATAAATTTTTCTCCCCCTGATTACGATGTTGACATGTAGTTACGGTAAGACTGGTTTGTGCTCAAGTCCTCTTTTTTTTCTGTGAAGCTCCATTTTTAAAAGTTATTAGGGGGTTCCTGTTTTCTATGATTGACACCTGATATAGCCTATGGGCGTTCAGGGATTGCATAGCTCATCCGGGGATACACTGTTTGAGCCGAGTGTCATCAGAGCGACTCTCGGCAACTCCTCCGCCGAATGCACACAATGCTACTGCGCAATACCGAGAGCTTTTTGACTTCAAATCTGTATACAGGCAGGAGGCAGAACCAAGTTGTCCATAGTAAATACAGTCTATGGTTTGAACACAATTCTAATAAAACTCACACAGACTAAATTCACTTTCAAGAGTGAAAAATGTTTTTTTTTTTTTTTTGTAAATAAATGTCTAACCCCTTCACTCATGTGCTTCTAACCTTCACAGACTCCATAAATTGACGCCCATCTCCTAAATATTTGGTCACATGATCAATTTCTTTCACCATTTCCAAGCTCAATTTACCCTTTGGCTCAACTTACCCCACTCTCCCCTAATAGTGGACTTGGAGTCAAGATTATGTTTATCACTGTTTTTTATTCTGGGCCCACAATTCGCAGAAATGGGTCAGTCATCCGATGACGTCATCCGGTACCGCACCTTGGCCAGAGGGAGGTAGTGAACCCGCCTCTCCGGGATTACGCACCTTTGACCTCCAGCACTGTCAACAGGAGCCTAAGCTGCTCACCGAGATGCCAGAGCGTTCAAATCCACCAGCAGCAGCAGCAACCGGTTAGTCACATGACCAGCGTGCAGATCTGCCTGCCTGTCTGTGTGTGCGTGAGTGTGTGTCTGTGTGCTGCTGCAGCTGCTTTTATTTCCGCGTTCACCAAAGGGGGAGAAGAGCTGAGCTGAATGAGTTTTTACGGCCGCCCTGTCTCTGCACATTTGACGCCGAGAAACTGCGTCGCCGTGCGGGGGGGAACTCACGCAATCGCATCGCTGCTGCTACTGCTGCAGGACCATGCTCACGCGGGTGAAATCGGCGGTGGCCAATTTCATGGGAGGTATGATGGCTGGTGGATCCAACGGTGACCATCCCGGCGGCTCGGATCTGCCGCTCAGGTTCCCTTACAGCAGACCGGAGTTCCTGGGACTGTCGCCGGATGAGATCGAGTGCTCGGCGGATCACATCGCAAGACCGATCCTCATCCTGAAGGAGACCAAGCGGCTGCCGTGGTCCACCGGCTACGCAGAGTGAGTAACCTGTGTGCGTCCATCTTTTTTCCCCCTCTTGCACAGCACACAGCAGCAGCATCCCTCCTGGACCACTAAAAAAGGGCTGAGAAGAAAACATGAGAGGAAAACATGAATGCACCAGCTGCCTTATAAACCAATTCACATGGATAAAATATGTCAAAATACATCTTCAGCTCTTTGATTTTCCTTCAGATTTTAGCCTGCTTTACAGTGTAAACATCACAGTTTAGTTGGGGCCAACACCTTAGGATATAAAAACACCTCCACCCAGCAGATAAGGCCACTTTAACCCGCCTTTATAGCCATCAAACAATCGCTCATGATCATAAGGGTGTAGTAGAATGAAAAATATCATAAAGCAGGTTATTATAAGGTCACTGCTGGCACAGACTTATTGTAGATAGATCCTGCTGATGCTTCCTTATGTCAACAGTAAACTGCACCCTCAAGGCAGTATTTTTTTGATGGCAGAGACAACTTTTATATTTACAGTAGAGGTGAGGCAGGAATGCTCAACTTGTTTTCCCCTTTGCCTGTGTCATTGCTATGTCCCGTTTGCATAGTCTAATTATTCCTCCTTTGTTGATGTTGTAAAGGTAGTAACACCTGACCTTACCCTCCAGATGAACAGTGGATCATACAAAGAAATCTGGTTGAAAAGCAGCGTATGTTACTCAGTGTTGTCAGACAGTAGAAGTCATCGTCAACCAAGACCAGATTAATGTCACTTATTTTAGACAATAGAATACAGGATCCATTCAGTTCCCTGCATCCGCCTTCAAAGACTCTAATAGAGCAGCTGTATTGTATAAAGTGACATTTTATGAACAGCAGCTTGAATAGTTAAGATTTCTGTAATCGCAGAGGGAAAATATAACAAATTTTACTCATTGGGAATTATTTTGCCTATTTTTCTGAAGGCAAAAACCAGGAGTGATAAAAGTGTCGACTGCCTCCGAGTTAAAGTTTAGAAAAATTGACAGACATTGTTATAAAATAGAAAAAGCATACCACAGTGAAAAACAAATACATTATCATATGATATTTGACATTTAGAGTATACAATACAGTACAATGTAAGACTTATATGATGTGATTCAAGATGTAGTACAATTCATGAACCAGTACGAATTTTATTAGGACATATCATTGTAAGAGTACATTTGATGCAAGATAATACAATACAGTATCATTCAATACAATACCTAATGATATAATACTTACTGTTCATGCCATACAGTAGGATTTGATATACTTATTGCTACCTCCAAAGCAACAACGATGGAAAAAAAATACAACCAAAATGCACAAAGAAATGAGAACCACAGACTTTTATAATTTCCCATTTTGCACATAAAACCTATTAACTTGAAAAAAAATGCAGCAGTATTGTAATTTGTGTATTCGTTTCCAGGATTCAGACTTGAGTCATGCTCAAATCTTGGTTTTCAGGACTCGTGACTTCACTTGGACTCGAACACAGATGACTCAGACTTGGACTTAAGCTTTGACTGCATTCAGACTCAGAAGTTGGGGAGGAAGGTTCGGTTTTGAGCAGAGACGAGGGGCCACTGATCAGTTTTTGTAACAGGGACATGACTTGGACTTGGACTCCAACTCAAAGTTTGATGACTCAACTACAGCACTGTTATGAATATTTCAATCTGGGTGTCAATATGCTAACAGACATTTGTTTTTCACGGGACCAAACTCATAACTTTAGAGGTCCACAGCAGTCTTTGAAGCTCTCCTTATTAACAAGTGAGTCAGTGCCCTGAATTCTCCACAACAAGAGCAGTTAGCTTGTTCTGTCTTTCTCTTTTGACATATTCGCTCATCCCCTCTCGCTGATGGGCTGTGATGATGGAGTGCTTATTTTCCACAGCTTAATCGTTTAATCGATGATGTTAGATACACAGTAAGAACGCTGTGTGCACCAACTCCCCCGATCCATTTGCATCTAATGTTTCAGCCTCAGTTGCTCTCCTGTTAACCCTCGCTGGTTGTGCGAATGCCTGTGATGTTAGGTCAGACAGCATTTCAACATATCTTAAGCTTGCCCTCAGTCCTGCAGATGACTGATCTTTTTTCCAAGAAATAACCAAGACTAAGTAACATCCTACCAGCACAGAGGGATGATATTTTGCTAGCTTTTACTCACATTACGCTCTCTCTATGCTCTGCACTGATAATGTTTTCATGCTTCTTTATAGAATTATTATAGCTTCTTCTTATAGGATGAGAAAAAAATACAGTTTTCCGCACACTTTTTGCATCTCTATGCTAATCTGCCATGAGGAATTATAATCTCCGGCTGAAAAAGAAAGGACGATAATTGTCGTCTTTTAAACCATTGATCACTTATTTCTGTGTTGCACGCTAGGTTACGCAATACCACTAGAAATTATGTTCATTTCAGCTTTCTGTGATTTATCACAATTATTGCGATTATATAAAATTACAGTCATTTTCCTGAGGTTTCTGTGTCAGTTCTACAAAGAAGTGTTGTTGCTGCCAGGGTTTGGTGTGTAGCTGCAAACGTGTGCACATGTAGCAGCTTGGCACAGCATCAGCCAGAACTGAGCCAAACCGTGGATTTGTAAACAGCTGGCCGACCAGCAGGCGTGGATGTTGTAGTGACATCTCACTGTGAGTGGAAAAAAACCCTGAACCTATACGAGATGATATGATCCATGAAGACTAGAGAACAGTTAAAGGGTCACGTATTAATAAGATTTTTGTCACGAAACAAAAAGCTGCCAGTTGTTCATTTGAAGATGAAATGGTGAAGCAGCAGGTGGCGTAATGAGGGGCTTTATGTCTCATGAAAACAGTAAAATACTGTTTTTATAGTTGTTTTTCATTCAGTATCAATATTTGGCGATACTTCCAGAAAAGATAAGATTTTCTTTTTTGGAAAGACAATAAGACTTGTAATAGATGTACACGAATACTGCTTATGTTGGTGAAAATTACAGTCCCCTGTAGCTATTTGAGTACAACTACTTTAAGCACATTTCAGCCATAAAAACTAAAAAAAAAACTATGCAAACTTTTAGGATGTGTAGACATAACATTAGCTGGCACAGAAATCCAGTGTTGCGAGAGAAAAGCTGATCCTCCTCAGTTATGGTCTCTCTCTCCTCTTCCCCTTCAGTCATCGTCAATCATTCAGAAATTCGCAATCAAACCTGTAAAATATCTTACATTTTATACAAGTCTCAGTCCTGTTGTTGTCTTAACTGCTAATATTAGCATGGTAAAATGCTTAACTAGCAGTTTTAGCCTGGTAAACAAACATGTCTGGTAGCATGCTGAGATTAGCATTCAGCTCAAATCGTAGCCGTACCTGAGGCTAGGTTTATAACCTGGAGCTGGAGTGGTTTAGTGTCTCACCTGTGTTGTTCATGTCAATATCTGAAGCGGAATAAACCCAGAAATATCTCAAAATTTTATGAAATAATCAAGAACGAAACACTTTTGCTCTGTGCAGTGGATAGAGTTTGACTCAGTGTAGTTAAAGTCAAACTTCGTGAAAATAGCATCATGATAACTGCATTGTATTAAAGTTTTCAACCTACTCTCTTATTAGCCAGGCTCTAACTCTTCATGCTTCATGATAACTTCATATTTCTCTTTAGCATTAACACGTAACATTTACAGGAGAAGTGTGGTCTATAGTGGTTTGAAAGACCCTGAGAATGTTTTCCGTCATGTGCCTGTTGTCTGTTTTGTTGGTCTGCTGATGTGGACAGATCACCTTTAGTGGAATGTGAAATCAAAGTGTGGGATCATGTAAGAGGAATAGCACGTGCCTGCTCTGCTCTGCTCTGTGTTTTCCTCCTCGAACCCCTGACTATGAGGCCTCTCTCAGCTTGCTAGGGGTTATTCTGGGTTGTTGTGTTTCTCCCCGTGGAGACAGGAAGAACAGTCCTGCTTTACGAGGAGTTACTGATGAACTGTCTCGGGGTGCTCACACTGCCTGTCAGGTCCACTGAGCATGATCATTTGAATGGATCACTTAGAATTGCTCGCTCTAACTCGGCTCATTCTTTCTTCTCCGGTACACTTTTGAAGGCAGGCTGGATTTACTGCTGTCTTTTCTCTCCAGTCATTTAACCCTCACCATGCTAACACACCAGCAACAACCTTTAATGCATCGCCCTCCAGCTGACAGCACTGCAGCTTTGTAGAAGCTGACCTCTCGAATAAATGCACCTTTCCCTGCCTTACTCAGAACCAAACAGTGCTGGTATATTCCTGATTTTAAACTACGATGTTACAGCGTTTGGTAAGCAAGAATAAGGGGATGAAACCTTCACATTTGCATGCACAGAGGGCTCATCTGTTACCACTTCTTATGCAGATTGATGACTTGACCGTTTTGCCTCCACACCTTTTATATAGACGGTGTGGTAAAACGGGTCCATCCTGACCTAGGCTTTAGTTACTTTAGTTTGGTTAGGATTACTGTACCCTGAGCAGGTTCAGTCAGATTCTACCATCACCATAATTGTCTTTTTTAATGTCGCCTAGTGTGTATTCTAACGATTCCTTCTCTGTAGATGTTTTGTGTCTTGTTTGCTTTAAGGTACTTAAACTGGAGGGAGGACAGGGATTGTATGTGGCAGTTAAAATCATGTGTTGCTATGGTTTGGAGAAAAAAAAAGACTGTGTTGAACTCTGTTTAAACTCTTTATTTGGATCTGTTAAAGCCTTTTCATCAAAGACTTGGACTCTCCTCTCTTAACCTGCCTGAACTTGCTTGTTGGCTTTGGAGAGCCATGGTATTCAGAGGATAAATAAGTTGTTACAGAGCTTCCCCACCCAGTCATTCATTTATTAATTCATTCATTCCCTACCTCAGTCTACTGACCTACTACCTGTAAAACAAACCCTTGAAATCACAGCAGCAGCCTGATCGATGTATAATCAATATGCGTGTCTGTGAGCTCAGCATCAGTGGGACCACAGCACTTAAGTGTGTTTAGTCTGCGTTTTATAGAAATGCGTGTGTAATAGAGGCTGTCAGTGCTGTGGCTTATTTCTAATCATTGATATGACAGTGAAATGATCCTAGATTAAGGGGCAGAGCCCTGTTGTTAACAGTAATCTAATCAGATTATGGCTATAAATTCTTGAGAGTGGGGTTGTTCAAAAGACGAAACAAGGATTTTAAAATAAAACGAAGAAATCCAGTTTCAGTTTTCATTTGGATTATGCCTCTGATATGTGTTTTATCAAAAATTTTAAGAAGGATTCAGACCTGGATATTCATGATTCTCGTACAGGGGTAGATTGAGGGGAAATTTCATTGATAAAGTATTTTATTTTGGAGTATTTTTAACTTTAAGATGAGTGGGTGAGTCAGCATTTTTATTCTAGCTTGAATGATCAGGAGCTGGTTGTTTAGTTCTGACAATCTGAAATCTCAGAAGTTAAACTTTTAAGATTTGGGTTGAAAAATACACCATAATGCGATATACATATGCTGGGCTCTTTAACTTCTATTGTTAGTTGATGTTTTTTTGGTTGTAAAGGGACTAAATTAAGTAAATGTCACACTCACTTATGGAGAGGACATGAACGTGAACTGCATTTTCTCCATACAAGGTTTCCTACCGCTCAATCACATGATGCTGCACATGTTTGCTTGTTTTGGGTGCTCCATCAACACACTGTTTAAATTACTGCTTAGTTAAACAGAGATCAGGGATAAAAAAAAAACAAAACACATATATACAGTATTTTGTGTTTGGAACATTCAGCATTTGGCACATAATTCAAGTAATAACATCATAATATCTTGTAAATGACCTGGTGGTGTCTGATATTACCATCAGAGTAAAACTTGAAACTAGAACTCTCTTCTGGAGGAGGTTCACCAAAGACTTCAACTCTGACGGGGAAATTAAGGTCAACCATTGTCTCAAAAGTGAAAAGTGAAACGAGGTAAGTGAATACGACAGCCCTGCTCGCAGACACAGCTCCAGCCTCAGGGTGTGGGAAGATCTCCTCTCTCATATCAGAGACGAAAAGCCTTGAAAGCCCCACTCATGTCAATCATGTGATCAGTGATTCTCAGTCCCTGCAGCGCTCTGCTCTCAGACACGCATGATGGCTGAAGTTTGTGGCCTCTATTCATTGTGTAAAGTTTTCTTTTCCCTTTGAAAGGAGGGAGGAGACATAAAAGAACACACTGTCATGTTTTTAACCGCTCAAAACAATAACACTTATTGGCACAGCATACTTACATAACCATTGACCATACTGACCATATTATCACTCCAAAGCTTCATTTTGAAAACTTGAGAAACAATGAAACAGTTTAAGACTTTAGGATTGTGATACCAGCTGAATTTGACCACTGTCAGACAGTTAATATAATTTGGTAATGAACTTCTAAGTCACTACATATTTGTCTGAAATAGTCACAAACAGACAGTGCTGAACTGTGTTATTATAGGTGCAAGATCAGTTAAAGAAATATAAAATCTGCAAAATTAGAAACATGGATTGTTTGATGAGATTGACTTGACCTAGTATGACATAGAAATTTGTCTATATCACTCATAACTGGAGTAATGAAAGTTAATGACTAATTTTAGTAATAACAATAATAATAATGAGACATTTATTGATTTTGCATTTTTTAAAACAGAGTTACAAAGTGCTTCACAACAGAATAGCAATGGAGGTAGAACATACAGCAGCAGACGTCAATACAATTTCCAATAGGAATGATTCAGAATTCGATGAAAGATGAAACCCAAACTGCACTAAAAGTTTTTAAATAATCATGATAATTAAAATAAAATAAGTTAAAACAAAATAAAATGAGTGAAGACTTAGTTAAAAGTTAAGAACTAAGTTAAAAGTCATGTCCAGTAAAAGCTCATTTGTAAAAATGGGTTTTAAAACCAGATCTAAAAGAGGTTAAGGAGCTATGTGCTACATGGCTATGTGAAGGGCACACTGTATCTTAACTCAAGTTTGAACTGATTTCCTGTGACTGTGTGGTTTATGGAAATACACATAATAACCTCACGGCCCAAAACCACTCACAGATGTTAAAAGATCACGTCTGTTTTTTAAAGAGCTTTGACTGCCTTTATGTCATAAAATTAAAGAAGGTTGGGTAAGAGGAGGTTGAAGCATCCATCCGTCTATCTGTCTACTCATCCATCCATCTCAACATCCATCTGTCCATCATCCCTCCTCCCTTCTTTTTTCTTTCTTTCTTTCCTTCCTTTGTTTTTTTCTTGTCAGTAGCGTTTGATAAGTTAGTCAAAAGTTATTAGTTTCAATCACTACTAACCACTATTAAAAGTAGGGTTGTCCCGATTACGATACCAGTAAATTGCTCCGGCTTGTATTTATTTGTGTTTCACAAAAGGTTTAACCTGAGCCAGACCTTACCACAATGATAATCATATGACTGTCATGGAGGCCTGGAATTATTTTTTTATTATAACATACTGGTATCGGTACTCCGTATTGACCGATATCCACAGCACAATTATCAGAATCGTTATCCTGAGCCGGAGGGAAAAATTGGTATCAGAACATCTCTTATCAAAAACTGATTTACTAACTGAGGTACTAAGTCACTGTGTTAGCCAAGCTAACGAGAGCTGGATCACTCTGGTATTTGCTTCTACTAGCTTACGGGAGGCTGGCTGTTTGGTTGGGTGCTTTTAGAGATAAGAATCACTCGTCTTGTTGGTGAATCAAGTTTTCTGTCCTGCACATATCGACTTTATCTCACCAGGATGTTCTTGTCCTTAATTCCAAGAATACATAAAAATAACTCTGATATTTAAAAGGCAGAAAGCTCATGCCTGAATACTCATCAGCAACTGTGTGTGTGTGTTTTCTGTGCTCTATGTTCTTCTCACAGGATGCTCTTGTGCTGGCATGGACTGAACCAAGTAGGATGGTTAATTTTATAAAGCTGTCAGTTGTTTGAAATAAGCAGCCCACATTTAATGTACTGGGTTTTTTTAGTAATGTTGTTCAGACAGAAAGCTTAGACTCCTAAAAAACAAGCATGCTATAAAAAATAAGGATGTAGAGAAAGAAAACTACAATTCAGAACCAGCAAATAACCTCAACAATCGCATGGTCACTATCCCAGTCAATGTGTTGTCTCATAGGATATCAATGAGTTGAGTTATGTAACTACAATCTTACAAAGTTCGCACCTTTCTGTGCGTTTTACTTGTGAAGATAAAGCAGGTGATAATATTAGCTCTCGGTGTGTCTCTGTGCAGTCACCCAGTGTTTCCTTTAAGCCTGTCTTATTGACACACCACAGCGAGTGTGCTATTTCTGATTTTTATGATGGGGAAGTGGTAAAAAGCACATTGTGTGAGAACCCATTTCAAATCAACCTTTCTTAGAAAAGGTCTGCTCAGATAATATCCGGTCAGTTTTACAGCCGAATGTGTTTTCTTAGCTGGGGGACGGAGGATCTCAGCTCTGCATGCTCATCCTCATGTCCAATTAGGATTATTTCTACAAGATCCTCCATTGGGAAGTAATTATAACCATATCATATACTGATATGAAACCTTATGATGTCTCATTTTTAAATAATTCCCTCTCTAGACTAAGCCTGGAGCACTTTTTAAAGTTCTGTTTTGGGTGTTTCTGACTTCATTTAAAAGGACAGCTGATGAGAAACAGGGAGAGAGTTGGGGTTGACATGCAGCAGGGGTTGTGGCCAGTGATCAAACCAGTGACAACTATGCTGCAGAGCTAAAGTGGAGCTCAACCAAAACTTCTGTCTTCAGATGCTTTCAAGTACAAATGGAGATATTCCCAAAAAACATTAATACAATAAAAAAACAAACCCTGTACTAGGCCTGGGCGATTTGGCAAAAAAAAAAATCACAATATATTTTTTCATGTCGTCTGATCTCGATTTTTTATCACGATTTGTTTTTAAATTGCTAGTTTTAAAGCATCTGTACTAAAAACTGAAGAAACTAGAGATTAGTTCAACATTTTATTAAACAGATCTGTCGTGTTGCCAGTCTTTGAGGGCACCGACCGCCAACATACCTTACACATTGGCGTGATTTCTCGACGTCACTTTGGAGATACCCGAACTGCCACACAACAGAGGTTAAATAATTTTCGTTCTCAACAATAACATCTTTGGAGGATGACGTCATGGTTGACATCTATCTTGCTGCCTTCTTGCTGTTCGGTCATTCTGTTTACTTCTCCGGCAACTTACAGAAGTGAGCAGGATCGACTCTGATTGACTGTTGTGACGCACATTTCCACCATGTTTAAATGAGTAAATACGCTCACAGCTGATCATTGTGATCGACCTGAAATTTATCACGATCATATAATCGCCCAGTCTTACCCTGTACTGTGCATTTTCTATTTATTTGACTAAAAAAGTGCCTCACATAGGAAATAGCAAGTATTTTAGAAAACTTGAATTAACCTGAAGGAACATAAAATATTAATCATTAAAACTCTTACACCATAATTAGGTTCTCTGCAAAATTCACATTATATCTCTGGAGTAACTTTATACTTTATGCTCCTGTAGTTTATAAACGGAGAGCACCTGAACTATTGTACAGCAGCGTCTGCTTGTCCATGACTACAGCAGCTCGCAGCAACAGGGCACCATCTGTCAGGTGTTGTATAATGTAGGATTTATGTGTTTTTCTGTCCTGCTCCCCAGGCCACCTGTCTCAGCTGAAATGTGTCTTCAAGAATGTATATCTGCTTACCTTGGCTTGCGTCTGTGTCAGATAGAAAAACTCGCTGCTTGATGCTGTATGAAAAAATCTCAGCACCTTCACTGGAATTGAATCTGGTGTCTGGTGAGACATCACAGAAACAACACGGAGTGAAGGTCAGAGAATCAGTCGAAAAGTTAAGAAGGATACTGAAACTTGTAGGCAGCTGTCTATCATCTACAGCACTCGAGGCATTTGCTTTTTAGTGTGTTTTAATAACTGCATTAATGCACCGTCACTTTTTAAAAGGTCAAATCAAAGACGCTGTTGCTAAACTGTGTTTGTTTCAGAGAGAAGGAAGTGATTGAAATGATGTGAGTAAAGATGACGGCTGATGGCATCAAAATAGTTCATCCCTCAGGACCTGTAGGATCTGGATGTAATTATGTGTGCTTGATGGATTTATTCAATAAAACAAAGCTCAACTGCAGTGTTCATGGAGAGGAAAATACAATATACATATACTGTAAAAATACTAAGTTATAATGGAATGCAGGCATATAACATATACTGCTCTTTATTGTTTTTTATGTGGTATATATTGGCAATTCATATGTAAATTGCCATACTTCATACTGAAAGCTGTATTTATAACTGTAAAACAGTAGCTAAACAGTACTTTATAGAATAAAAACCATCAAATGACAATAAAAAATATGCTCTGTGTTTAAGCAGTATGGTTTCTGTTGTTTTTTTATGCAATGAAATATATTTCTTAAAAACCTTACTTGGTTTATTTAATAGCTTAAATGTTTTCCCTTTTTCCTATGAATTTAAGCACAGGTTTAATCCTGTTTGGGGTTTTTTCTTGCTCTCTCCTTTCAGGGTCATCAATGCAGGAAAAAGCACATTGAACGAGGACCAGGCCTGCTGTGAGGTTCTGGTGGTTAAAAGGAGACCCGCAGGAAACTCCACACCTAACCGGACCCCCACGGCCCGCAGGAGGTCTTCCCTGCCTAATGGAGATGGTTTAAACATCAAAGACTACCAGGTGGGTCAAACTGAACGGTTCCTATGAATAGGTATCCATCTGTTTCTCCTCATTAGTGGGGTTGTCACTCAGCAGATCCATTGTCGGACCAGAAAAGAACAAATCAACAGATATACTCTCCCCTTTTTCTGTTTGTTTTCTATTGGGATTTAACATACTGGTAGGATGATGATAGCACATATATGTTGCTGTAATTTCTGTGTTTTAAAGTTAGATGTTGTATTTAAAGTTTCAGACTGTAAATTCTTTAGACAAGAAAAAAAAATCAGCATTCTTTGATTTCCAAAGCAAAATTAGGGAAACAACTCCATTGAGTACCAGCTTAAAGATCCAGAATCAAATGAACCAGAAGCTTCTACATTTTTTTATTATCACTGAGGAAATTCATGATTAGAGAGATTATAGAAACTCTTGAGATTGCTGTTGGGAATCTCCGTCTCCCACTGCTGCCCCATCTTTGATTACTGGGGCGTACAACTCAGCTTCACATCACGCACTGCTGTGGCCTTTAATAGCTCTTGACAGCCACTGATACAGGCAGGCCGATGTTGGTTCACTGAAACTAAAAGTAGAGCCTGACCCATACTGGACTCGATTACCAATAGACGGGTTTCTGTCTTCATCGCGGGTATGCGCACACATCCAGGGGGCAGAAAGCGGGACATTTCTTAGTTTTACTCGCGGAGTCAACAGAGAAAGAAAATGACAAGGAGCTGTTGTGCTCCTTGTCATTACGACCCTGCTCCTGATATTAGAAACATCTAAAACAACATCACAACCTGGTTAGCTGAGTGAAATTCATGGATATGTTTTTTTGATTTGATGCAATGTAAGACAAAGCGATTTTGTCAGGGAGAACTATCAGTCCACTCCGAAGCAGGCTTTTGGCCCCTGGTTGCGCATGCACCTAGTATTGTTTGTACGCAAAAAAACCTGTCTAGTCTGTCGTTGATGAGCTGTTGTAGTCTTCAGTAGTGTTGTGTTGTTCGGGAACGATTCGTTCAAAATAACCGAATCATTTAAGTGAACGTACTGAACTGAATCACTTCCTCAAGTGATTTGTTCGTTTCTCACTTCAGTTGAGCAGAGAGCTTTTTTTCTTGCAACATTCTATCATTGCAGCGGTTTGCGAGGGAACGGTGCATGTTCAGTGTGAATTCTTCTAATTGTTCAGTGAACGAATCACTCACTGACCCCAATTAATCGAGCAGACCTGGTAAATAGTATACCATAGGACAGTACAATCAAAACATCATGACTCATAAACAAGTTCATTTTTACAAACCTGTTTGCCAAAGCAACACAGCCAAACACTCTCGTCTCCCAGTTCCAGAAACTATGAACTGAACTGAATCTTGAACTGTCCAGCTGTGAATCAGTTCAGGAGGTCGGAGTCGCAGGCTTCTCCCATTAAATGATTCATTGATTTGGTGAACGAATCTTTTGAACAAATCTTTTTAGTGAACTGATTCTAGTGATTCAGTACATCTCAAAGAACTGCTGTGCCCATCACTAGTCTACAGTCTACAGTCTGCTTTGGTCAGGCTGTTGTTTTAATGTTTGAAGTCAAGCTTCAGCACATCTGACAAAGAAAAGCACTGAGATAATGAAAAGTAAACTCCACGCTAATTGCTTTTTTGGGGAGTAAACCACACTCACACAGTAAATTACCTCTCTAACTTCACTCTCCTTATAATGTTTGCTTTATCACCGCAAGCCTTTAAGAACCATCCATCCTAGAAACATTTCTATCTTCTGTGGCTGACTTTGTCTTTCTGACTTCACTCAGCCTCTCTCTGCCTTCTGCATTTCCTAATATGAAGAACCTGTGTGATATCATTTCCAGTGGCAAAAGGCATCTATTTTAAGTAATACTGCTTCTACAATTTCCTCTCAGCCCACCAGTACTTTGCTCAGGTCCACCCAGAGCCTACAGCAAACTCATGCAAGTACCTCATGACTCACTACTGCAGTGATACCAAACCAATAGGTGTAGTGTATAGAGCCTCTTTAGTTTTCTGTATTTTCCTCTTAGCATCCTGTTGTAGAATCCACCTGGATAGTATATTTAGCTTGACGTGTGTGTAACAATAATAGGATAAGAAAGGAACAATAGCAATTTAGCATCTTCACTATATTTATCTGGTACCTACTAAAAGAAGTTCATTTTAAAGGCTCATTTACACTCGCCATATGTATGAAAATGTACACGTCCATTTCAAACGATGGTTCTGTCACTGCCCACATACTTTTACGCATCCATTACGTTGGCATGGATGTTAACCATTACAAAAACTAAAAAGTGTCTGAAAACAACAAACAAAAAGAAACATGGCGACTGTGGAGGAGTAAATGATAATGTATATTTTGAATAGAAGACAGAAACAGAGGCGGTGTTGAAGGAGGTGGTGGTCAGTCAGGCCACTAAATGCCTAGCGGTTGGGGAACGGAGAGTTCTTTTCTGTAGTAGTACCGATTAGAGAAATTGATGACGATCCTCAAAAAGCCCTGCCATTGTCTTCTTCGTTGCGCTCTAGAGTTGCGTATCATGTAGTGACAGCAGCAACACTGCCCCCTTGGTTTCTGGTGGTACTGCTGCCTCTGGCCAGTATTTATAAACTTCGAGGATACGTGCAAAAATACGGACAGAGAGCTCCGTCTGTATCTGCATCCATATGTAACACTGACCATAAATGAGCCTTTAGGCTGCGTAAGAGAGAAGCTTTAACATGCAGTCTTTTAAATGACCAACAGGGGGCACCTTAGTTGGCTAAAAAAAAAAAACTAGCTAGATTAGGAGATGGCCAGTTTACTGTACACTTGTGACCTTGGAAAATGTATTTTTTTAATACTTTACTGTCTCAGTAGCTACTTTGAAGTCTGTAGTAACTTAGTGTCCCTGTTAGCGTGATATAGACCACAATCCCAGAACCCTTCAGCGAACATTGTCTGTTGTTATCTCATACATAGAGAAATGGATGCTGACTTTTTAGTAAATTCAGTAAAAACCAGTTGTTAGGAAAACATAGGGCCGATACCTCTTTCTCCACACGGTGTCTACATTTGAAAAATAAACTCTGTCATTTCTTGGTCCAGTACATCCCACAAGTATTGCCCATTCATTTGTTACAGGTAGTGTTATGTTGAGGTTCATCAGTAGACACACTTACCCCACTCAGACATACTTACTAAAATTTTTGATAATATTGCTGATTCAAAAATGTTAAATTTTCTGTATCCATTCTGCATCCATGCTTATTTTATAGTTAGATGTAAATGAGGATCAACAGAGCTTGAAAAACATGATAATTAATCCAGCAGGGCAGAAGATCAAAGAAGTGCATCAGTTAATGAAGGCGGGAAACTGAAAGATAAACGATCAATGGCTGAACTAGATCAGACGACACTTTGTACATGAAGGTGAGCCTGTTAAAACATGCCCAGAGCATTAGCACTACATTCACATTCAAAGCGCTCCTATTATAGTCGTACAGTATGGGATGAATTTAAATGTGGTGGCTGGAGAACAAAGCGGTGACCTATTTACTATGAGCCATATGTGGAGCATTGATATCTTCATGAGCCGTATCAAACTCCTGTATTCATGCACAGATAAAAACTGAGTTTTTTGGTTTAAAAATAAAGACAACAAATCAAATGTTGAAACAAACGTTTTATTCTTTCATAAAAAATACAGTGCGTGCTCATGTAACTCTAGGATCATTGCAGGACAGAGGCAACCAGTTTCTGTGTTAGTGCAGGATGTTGTTCCAGGATATTGGATTTCAGCTGCTCAACAGCTCAGGGTCTTCTTCATCAAGATGTGACAAACCTGTTCAAGTTGGGGCCAGAGACATGCTGTTGTAACACGCTCAGACTGTAGCTCAGCATCCTCTTGCAGGGTGGTTTCCAACTGTCTGGGTTCACAATTATGAAGTTCTGGATCATGTCTGTGTCCTTGTAGTGCCCTCAAGATTTACAGTATCTAGAGTTTTGCCAGTCCCCTCATGTTGACAGAGGAAGCTTAAATTACCTTACTAAGTTTGGGCCAGTTTGGAGGTGATATTGTAAACAAATATTTGTTTACTGCAGATCAGAAACAACTTAGATTAGAGATTTCTAGCTCTTACAAACGTCCCCTGGTTACCTGCTGCATCCTGAAGTTGCTAATATCATCCAAACTGACTGAAATGTTGTTTCTAATGTGTCCAGGACAGCACTGAAGACCTAACCTTCCACTACTGGGCGCTGTTCGACGGCCACGCAGGCTCTGGCGCAGCAGTAGTGGCTTCCCGCCTTCTGCATCACCACATCGCCCTACACCTTCAGGAGGTGATGGAGATCCTCTGCGCCCCTAACCTGCAGCCTCCAACGTGCCTCGGGGAAGAGCCTATCAACCACCTCCTCACCCCAACGTCGCAGCGGGCCCTCACCAGAGCTGCCTCTCTCCGCGGTGCTGCAGGGGCTCCGGGGTCGCCCAACCCCACACCCACGCGCTTCTTCACAGAGAAGAAAGTTTCACACGAGAGCCTGGTGATCGGAGCCATTGAGAACGCTTTTAAAGACATGGTAAGAGGAAAACGTGAAGTAGGAGGTTATTCAGTATCAATAAAAGTGCGTATATGAGTGATAAGGGAAGTAATGGTCCTTTAAAAATAACAACATAACTCAAACCTAACTTCCACAAATGTTTGCTATGTCTTTTATTTTCCCTAGCATGCTTTTTACTCACCTTTTCATACACAACATGCTAGAACTTGAAAAACTAGTACAATTTATGATCGGCTGCCTCAGTTATCAATGACCGTGCACTACCAGAGGAAAGCTTTTAGTCATGTAACATCCATTTGCCACTAATTACTAACTAAGTCAATATTTATTGATTCTTTGTGTTTGGACTGAGGAGCCAAATGCACACAAGTCACAAAGCTTCCTGCTTTAATGAAGACGAACAAACAGAAGTCCTTCCTTGTTAAATGATGGATGCGGTACATGAAGTGAATCATAACACAAGCATCACGGTTTGATTTTATGGCATCAGACTTAAATCCTGTGAAAGTTTGAGGACCTTTTTCTGTTAACTTGAAATCCATCAGAAAATTAACCAACAAATTCAAGTTTTGATATGTCCAACTCTCATTGGTTTCAGCTTATTTATTGCAAGAGCGCTTAGGAGTTTTTTTTTTTGTACTCAACAATATTTTTATTAGTTTTTACACAAAGGAAACACATCACAAACACCCCCTTTCCCCCAAGACCCTGTCTACTGCTGGATATTCCTATTACTGTACTTAAATAACAAATTCTGGAGCTAAAACAAAATAAAAAAAATGCAAGGAAGTGTTGGAATTCAGGTTTTGTAGATCTTGAAATATATAAGACGCTGAAGAAAAAAAAAAGAGAATAAGTTAAATGAACTACTGTACGTTAAGAGAAATACATATGTGGATAAGTCGCTGAAAACTGAAAAAGTCCATAAAGGTTTTTTTTAATGTAATGAAATTGACTGGAATTTATTTTGATGCCTCTTCATAATATACAAGAGCAAACAAGACCATCACCAGCAAGATTGTCCACTTTTTTATTGTAACTTTTCATGCCTAAAACTGGTTTGTGTCTGCTGATCAGCTGCAGAAACAGACCAATTTTTACAATTTCCACATCAAATATTCACAATAAGTGATATCTTTATTATTTTAACATGTAGTGGACAAAAACAAACAAAGACTGCTTCGTCAACAGAAGGTGAAAAATTGAGACAAACTGGAAGTTCCTTACAGGAGCTTTAATTTTATGATTTCAAAAAGTGTAAAATTTAATTCAGGTGCTCAAAAGGAACTTTGTTAGAAAGGGGGAAAATATAGAAACACTAAGGTAGTAAATAACCCGACAAAGCAGGTTTATTGGACAGACTCCTTGACTCATCGCACTTGTTCCTGGTCAGAGAATGAGCAGGAACCAATGAGCATCATTTGCACATGGCTTTTTGATATTTTTGTCTTTCTTTATTTGTGGTTTTTGACTTTGATTTGATAGATTTTCGTTTTTTGTGAAGTATTTACTATATAGCTCTAAGTTAACGTGAAACCACCTGTAGTGTCCCAGAGAGATAAGCAGACTTCTTATTGGCCACGTCAGGTTCATAAGGTGAAAAATTTAATTCAGATATGATAATACAATACCAAGTTTCTTTCTTAATTCCTAATGTGTGACTGTGTCCCTCAAACTGAGAGCAGCTGGTACCAGTCAGTCAGTAAGTCAGTCAGTCAGCAAACAGCCAGATAAGTGATTTACTTTCTCCTCCTCGCTGCCTCAGTCACACACTCACGCCATCTGGCCGCTCAGTAAGTGGATGTTGGAGACTTAACTCATGCAGAGGCCAAGAGATCAAAACCGCGGCCAATCAAAACAGTGCCGTCCCGCTAGACTGGCTCTTAGAGGGGAGAGGTCGAAGGTCAACCTGGCCTGAGTTTCAACATCAGTGTTTCAAACAACAGGCTCTGTTATTTTTGTCCTCTGCCGGGTTGTAGGGAACGAGTGATCTTATGAAACATTTGACTGTGGGATTAAACCAAAGAGGTTTTACATGTTGTGAAAACAGCAGACACAGTACACAAACAAGAGGCAGATAACACATCCCTGTAACTTAGAAAAAAAAGACCTCAACTGATGCCAAAGTACAAAAACCCAACAACAAACAAAATAAAAAGAGTATTTTTACAATCAGATTTCTACCTTTAAACAACGGCTACCATCCCAGCAACTACATTTTCTGGGGGCAACAGAAGTTCAGAGAATAGAATAGAATAGAATAGAATAGCCTTCATTTGTCTTTATGCAGGGTTTATATGTAATGAAATAGGAGAGGTGTGTTTCGAGATAAATGTAAATATGTTTGACTGTCTGGCAAACAATCTTAAAAATGACTAGCACGTTTAAAGAAGGCAAACAAGCAATCAGCATCACAAACAATGGCATGAAATATTCAAAGATTCACAGAATGTTCAATCTTGCAGAGAGGCGTTTGCACGAGGATTGCATACATGTGCATGTTTGTAAGGGTTATTGCACATGAGAGTTTAATCTAGTAATGGCACATACACATCAACGCTGCTTTTCTGGAGCTTCATGTCGAGATGTTTTAATATGACTTTGACTCCCTTTCAAAACAGATTTTGATTGATCTGTGCAAATGTACCATCTTTATATTTTTTTATATGAAATTTATGGTGTCATGAATGACAGGAATTAGACAGAGGTAGAGAAAACTTTGCTCAGGATTGTGGATGAAAGCTCAGACTGTGAGCACCCAGATAATGAGAAAATAAAGACACAACATGTAGGGTGTAATTTCAGACAACAAGGTTTTATAGAGTACTAGTTTGGCTCTTGGGGGCTCGGTTTAAGTTGTATAATGTTCGATGTCACTTATCAACCAATCAGTCTTTGTTTATAAAGCCCCAATTCACAACAAATGTTATTTAAAAAATGCTTCACAAAAAGAGCTGATCTAGATCATGCTCTTCAGTATATTTACAAAGACCCAACATCAAGACGGGACAAGATCAAGTCCCATCTGGTGAGATCAGATCCACTGCTATCCTATCTTAATCCACCGTGAGTGAAACACCTGAGGAAATTCTAAACCTTTGGCTTCAAAAGCCTCTCACCAACGAACACAAGTTCAGCTGGTTTGACTGAAAACAGTGGTGAAACCACAGTGATGTTGCACATGTTGAAGAATTTTTTTCCTCCCTTAAAAAAGTGAATCTAGTGTTGAATTTTGATCATTTGGCCTGGCATGGATCTGGAAGTAGGAAACAAAAAAATTCAAAGCTGCATAAGTCTTAAAGGAAGTACAACAGAAGCAGGGATTGAGACGGGAGGGAGCTACAAATTAACACCAAAAAAAGACACCGCAATTGTTCAGATCACGCACAAGAGTTAACAGGCAGTGTGCAGAAGCAATTCACAGGGTCCGTGAAGGTGAATCTTTTCAGATCTTATCCTCAACATCGTCAATATAACCAGCATCAACATCATCAAGAGCATTGGTATCAATAAGTGCAGATATTTTCATTAAGAGCAGGATATCTCCAAAACAAAATCTCCATTTGAGTTTAAATTTAGAATGAAAGAGTGCAGATCAACCTCATCAGAGAATAGGATTTTCACCATATCCTGGTGTTACCTTCTTTTAACCACTAGATGGCGGTGTGCAGTTAACTATTCATACCACACTGCACGGCCATAAAAAGAAAAAAATACAGTATTTTATTCCTCAAGGTTCAGTGGTGTCTAATTTATTCTTTTTAAACTTTGAATGAAATGTTGAATTTTTTTCATCCATATATTTGAAAAGCAGATGTGAATGAAATAATCAGTCTGCTATGAGGATTTAAAGAACAGCCATTTTACTGCAGTGTGTAGAGTGTAAACAAAAGTCGTTTATTATTCAGTAGAGGTCAGTTTTTAAGCAAAGCTGACTTCATGTAACTCTATCTTCTTCTATCAGGATACATAAGCAAGTAAACATTCAGACTCTGTAATGTAATAGATTTTTCTTGCCTCTGTTTCTTTCCTTTCAACTTTTCAAAGTCAATTATCTGCACTCTCCACTATCAGCAAACATCTACATCTCCTTCTGCTTCCTGTCTCTCCTCTCAAATACCTCTCTGGCTCTTTTATCCAGATCTGAATCTGCTCTTTTTACCTTATGGGCCCTCTCGCTTTCTTAAAGGGCAAGTGCACTAAAATCTATGATACACACAGAGGATAGTGTCACAGCGTATGTACATCAAACTATAAAGTTTAACGAAGCTGCACAATTATGGTTTGAGGGTGCTCTTTAAGGTACTTTCAGTCCATTCCTCAGTGCTTCATGGTTTTCTCAGTGGAGACAATGTTTACCCTGTACCCATTGGCTCTAATTACAGTATCTGTTTCTCTTCACAACTGTTTCTTATTTTTAAACCTAGATGCATCCTGTCTCGTATGGTAGACGCTTCAAAGACGTAAACAAACCTGCTTTTCTTCTCAAATTCAAACTCAACTTAATTTCCAAAGAAGCCCATCCTTTAAGAAAATTGGAGGTGTTATAATCTTGGAAAGGTTAACTCTAAATCTCTTTCTCTTAAGTTCTTTGAGTCTCTAAGTCTTATCAGCAGAGTCCGCCTCTTATTCTCCTCCAACACGACTCACTGCGTTCTCATAAAGTAGCTGTGTGTGTGAGTGAAGCCGCTACCGGAGCCTGAGAAACACTCAGAGATCTGTAAACAAATAAGAAAAAGCACGCTCAATGTTCGTCAGCCAAACTGCTGCCGGGTTTCCTTCAGACATTTGGTGGGTTGAGCTTGCTAGCCTTGTATGATCCTCGACTATGGGGTTAGTTAGTATCGGTAGCTGTCTACCCCGTATGCCACTGTGTTTGTCGTCACATTGAGCTGTACTGATGCAGACTACCCGTTTTTGTCTGCCCGCTGTGCGATTCATTTTGTGCGTCATTTGCTTTACCATTTGGGAAATTTGCTGCTTAGCCTCCTTTTTTATATTTAGCATCCATTTAGTGTCAGGCAAGAGTGGAAAATGTTGAAACCTAGCATGGCTACCCTTTAAGTCACAGTATTTTCTTCATTATTTCTGGTTTGTTTATCAGGTTAAGGTTACCAAACAGACAGAGAGATGGAGAGACACTGACCGTAAAGAAATAACCCTGCATATAAAGTGTTAAATATATATTCAGCCGTAAATTTAAGTTATGGTCAAACACACCATAACACCGAGTCAGACACTCAGACAAGTCAATCACAGAGTGCAGTGGATCATTTTCTGCTGTAGCGTCTCAGTCTGATTGCATTTCCATGAAGTAATAATCATAAATGTTCTTCCTAGAGCTGTGAAACTCCGCTGCACTCGTCGATCGACTCGTCAGTTCTCCCCCACAGACTAGCAGCTGCTGGACGAGAGTAGTTGAGTTGTGTTTGGTCTCTTTGCTAAAGAAATTAGGCTATATAGTGGCATTTTGGTTGAGGTTTGTGCGTGGAGATCGCTGTGTATTGCTAGAACTAGAGAAGCAAGCGGTCGGCAACATTCATCTCTAGAGGGGGGGGTGTAACTTGGCGCTGTGGTCTGTTGACCATAACTTAAATTTACGCTGGAATATCCCTTCAAGATTGCCACACTGACTGCCTTATTTTGAATGTGTATTTACCCTGAAGCCTTACTCTACATGGAAATTATTACTCCTAAAAGTCAACCATCTTCAGTTTAGCAGATTTTCTTTCTTATTGATGAAGCTAAACTCTCTATACCCCCCTGTAGAAGTCTGTGTACCTAGCTTAGCCAAGCAGTTACTGCAGAAACTTCATGTAGGCATGAAATTAGTTTTTCTTTGTCTGTCTATAGTGGCAATGAAGTTCACAAAGTTCAGGATGTTAAAGTGTAATGACTTTTTGAAGAGCTCTAGAAATATGTTTGCTAGCAGCTCTCTTCATATTTGTTACAGTACTGGCACCCTCTGGCATGAGACTCCACTCGCTGTTCCTTATTATTCTCTAAAGTTTCTGTAACTCCAAGCATTAGATCTTGTATTTTCTCTTAGCTTACTGCAAATGAACAAAAAATCAGGACATCTTTCAAAAACAAGAAACATGACGGTCCAAACTGCGTCTAGTAAAAACCATCAATGAGTGAATGTTTACAGGCACGCTGGAAGGTACGTAGATGTGTGGGTTGTCAGCAGGATATTAATCCTCAATATTGAAGAAGTGACATTAGCTCATTTTCCAAATAGATTTTGCCCAAAGGTCCTCCTTTCACTCAGAAACAGCTGATATGCAATAGATTTGGCTGAAATGATTAATCCAGTTAATTACCTGTCTCACTTTCCATCATCAAAGTTTTCCATCTTTTCCGACGTTCAGTGTAGTTCTCTCTCTGTTTTTTTTTTGTGATTTGAGGTTTTAAAGCTTGAAGCTTTAAACAGATCAGTTACAGATCAGGCTTAGATGTAAAAGTAAGAAACAAAATCCATATTGTTTTGCATTTCAAAGATGTTGTTTTATGTGCTGCAGCGGATTCTAGTCAGTAAAGATTATTCCTGCTTTTTCCTTTCTCTCATTTGTCACTGTACTTGCAAATTGTGGTTATTTTTACTTGCTTGATGATCTTAAGCTTATGTTGTGGTGTGATGGGACATGAAATTTTGCATTCCCTAGTTTGATGGTCTCAGCTTGTGAATTTTTTCTTCTTTTAGAGAAACCGCAAAGCTCAGTATAAAGAAAAATGTACCCTGTTTTTACTTTACTAGAATAACAGGCTGGTGGTAAGAGATTTGTAGGTCTGAGTCTCTCTGCCTTCCAGTTATCCATCTCCGTGTTAAAATTCATCCTGGTGGAAGTGTAGGAGAAAGGTGTACATGTTTATGCAGACGCTTTCATTATTAAAGACTTCAGCCTGCAGCAAGACGTGTTGGATGCAGTATGGAAAATATGTATGGCTCACTATGGATTTATGATTCATTCAGAGTGAAGGACGCATTTGCTCATTCTACCCTGCACACATATCCATCCTTCATACTCCATCCTAAGAAATGTGTACAGCAGCAACAGGGGAACATGTGTGAATGTGTTCATCAGGTTGACAAGGAAGAGTCTCAGTATATAAAACACGAGTGCATCCGAAACATCCTGATTGTGTCGCTTTCACAAAATTTTCTGCAGAAAAACATCAAGAAAACCTGCATGTAGGGCTGGGCGATATGGGAAAAAGTTTATCATGATATTTTTTTTTCATATCAGTCGATATCGATATATATCACGATATAAAAAATGAAATTTGACAGTGCTTATTGGTAGCATGTCTTTTGCAATACAATAAGCTACTGCATCTGTGAGGTCTTTGTGTATCTTTGACGTTTGTTGAAATGCGTTGCACCAGAGAAAGCAGACTTAATGGTGGGCTGTTTCTGCTGCACAGGCACAGGTTTGTAACTTTTTGCATTGCATGTGGCACTGTCGTGTGGCACTGCTTCAGGTGGTGAAGAAGATTTGAGGTATTCCCCGACTTAGTGTGAACATGTACTCGCCATAATTTGCAGTGCACACGACTCTGCTTCATGTTTGACCTCAAAAAACCTAAATACCTCCACACCACCGACGTTTTCGTGCCAATGATGTCATCATCTGTTGAGTCTTCATCTGCATTTCTGCCTGGGGTAGCACTCATTTTCTTTTTTTCTCACCAACAGTGCTGTTGGCTTCACGTGCTATAGTTGCGTTTAGCTGCAACCTGCTACTTGCTACTTGGTTCTAATTCAGCACATGATTGGTTCAGTGCAAAGTGGACCCGGAACAACTTCCCTTTTCATTGGCTTTTTCTTATAGTCTACCAAAACATGGCAGAATGCCGACTATTAAAAAGCATATTGACCATGTTTTATATTGATATTGAAGGAAATTAATGTTCAATATCATTATCGTTTTATCGCCCAGCCTTACCTGCAGGTATGAAGTCGTTTGCAGTTGCACACATCCAGTCTCCCAGTTGAGTCATTTTGACACACACACAAAAACATCCATGCGTACACACACACATTTGTCTTTGTTTTCCAACGTAAGCATCCATTCATGCACACATGCATTAAGTTGGACCACTAACTTACTGCAGCTGAATGCAGAACAGCAAGAACACAAAAGAGTTAAATCAAGTGTGTGCAGCTCGGTTCACATTTACGTTAGCGTTTTGATTAATTCCCTGACAGGTTAATTATTCATCTAATTAATGAACTGATCGCATGGGTTTTTTCAAATCCCTTTTTTTTTTTTTTGTTTAATTAGCAACAAATTAATCTCGGCTAATTAACTGGTGTAATAACCAGCAGTCCCTCCAAACTTTCTCTCCAATCCTTTAGGTCTTTACGAGGCTTTATTGCTGCCTGACTCATGGTGCTATTGATGGATGAATTCATTATGGTGTTATAATTGATAATAGCATCATAGCAGCTTTTAAGTGCAAGGACAACATTTCGCTCTGGTATCAGGTTTCTGCTTATATGTGGTGTGCCGCTGCAGATAGGGAGACGTTTTTGAAAGCTGTGATGATAAGAAACATGATGGTGGATGGGTTTCAATTATATACATTGACCAGAAGATCAATAGACACTAATTATATGTGTGTGTGTGCATGTGTGTTTGTATCCAGGATGTGCAGATCGAAAAGGAGAAGGCCGTCTACAACATCTCAGGTGGCTGCACAGCACTTGTAGTCGTCTTTTTGCAAGGAAAGCTCTACGTCGGGAACGCCGGGGACAGCAGGTGAAATACAAACAGAGACACACTCACAAACACACACACACGCGCAAACACAGATATACTAAAAATATTGAAATCGTTCCTCCGCTCTGAACCTATAGGAGTCTTCTTTCTGTCGCTCACAGCAGGAAGAACAGAGTCCCCGCTTAAATAAACAGACTTGTGTTCTTTTTTTTTTTTCTGCTCCTCTCCCTCAGAGCTATCATCATCCGAGCCGGAGAGGTCATCCCCGTGTCAGCCGAGTTCACGCCGGAGTCAGAGAGACAGCGGCTTCAGTTTCTGGTAAGAAAGAGCCTCCCTCACCTCCTTTCTCGCAGGAACAGCTGTCAGATATTAGCAGAGATGACCTCCCCTCCCGTTGAGACACCGCTATGCTTAGCTCTGTCTCTTTTACACCACACGCTCTCTCTGCCAGCTTAATAGACTATGGAATTGTTTTTCCTATCCCTCGGGTATGTCAATGCTCTTCTTATTCTGTCTTTTTTCTTCCTTTTTATATCAAAGGCCTACATGCAGCCTCACTTATTAGGGAATGAGTTCACACATCTGGAATTCCCGAGGAGAGTCCAGAGAAAGGAGGTGGGGAAGAGAATGCTGTACCGGGACTTCACCATGTCCGGATGGTGGGTTAACTCATTCACAGATATTTTTAGAGACTACACTTGGGGACGTGTGGCTTTACAGCAGGAATAAATATGTTTACAGTCTTTTTCAAATGAGGTTTGGGGTTAGGAACTCATTAATTTGTGCACACCAGAGATGAGGACTCGAGCTTGAGCCTCTAATCTCATAGACTTGAGATCAGACTCGAGCTCTGGGTTGTAATGTTCGTTGTCTCGATAACGCCACAAGCTCGATATCATTTCCTCTTATCAGGCTTAACCTTACACTTCTGGTGCATGACCGCTATCTAATATTAAGAAGTGAACTGTCACTGCTGAGTTCGTATCCCTGCATATGTTGTTAGTAGTGTTTTGCTCTGCAGGTGATCTGAGAGAGAAAAACAGAGACACAGGAGGTCCCTTCTTTTAATGTCGGCTAATGACTGATATCTACATTGAATATTGAACATAAACCCTTCTCTTTCTGCTGTTTAGTGCAGCTGGTTGCTGTTGCTCTCAGTTTTTGATCATTATAACAGGCGATCATTCACACATGGATCCTAATAAGGAAACATTAAAAACACTAGTTGTGTTATTTGGGCCTCAAATGCCTCATCAGAAACCAATGGGTGCTGTCACTGAGACTGTGTCCATGTTTTATACAGTTCATGATCAAAATACATCCTCATCTGTATCAGTCCATAAACATTTATTGTAAAAAAACTCTTGGTCGACTAAAACCGTGAAATTATCGGCCAGAAATTACCAAATGGTGCTCTGACAGCAGACCCTTCTGTGGCGTGGCGTGGCGTGGCGTGGCGTGGCAGGGTGAAAATTTACTGATATCAACATGAGAAGGCAATTCAACACAAAAGGCAAGTTGAAATGATCAAAATAAAAACAAATATTAAGCAAATCACAGGACGTTGATTAACGTTGACGCTCTTCAGTGGTCCTGTCTCCAGCCGGTCTCCAGTGGGTTGGGCAAATCCAAAATGGTGAAAACAAGGGGGGTGTTCTGAGACAGGCTGTTATCTGTGAATATAGACTGTCTATACCATGGACAACTTGGTTCCTCCTTCTGCCAGTATACAGATTTGAAGCCCAAAAACTTTCGATCATTACGCGTTTTTTCTCCACTTCCTGAAACCATCATAGCCCAGTAGCGTTGTACGCATTCGGCGGGAGAGTCGCTGAGAGTCGCTGTGACGCTCGGCTCTAACAGCCCCATAAGCTTTGCTGGAGGAGGCGGGATTTATGACCTATACTGCAGCCTGTCACTAGAGGGTGCTGTTCTCGAAGTGGCTTCACCCAGTGAGGAGGCAGATGCTGTCCATTCTATACAGTCTTTCCCTGTGAAACGGGGGTTCCCTGAAAACACCCCCATTAGCACTCGGTACGTTCCTCCTGATGAAATTAACCATCGATTGTAAATTGATGCGAAAAAAAAGCGAGTCAACCAATCATAATTTTGGTTGACTCAGCACGTATCGACCAATAAGCCCTAAAAAAATACACTTTAGAGTATATGATTTTATATCAGTAGTTAGTTTGTCCATCTGAAACTGCTTAAACTTTGCCTCGTAAATTCCTCTCAGCACTGTCCGCAGCACAGGTAGTACAACATAATAATTATAGCTGCACAATTCGTCCAAATTACTCTTATATTTGCTGCTCTGGCATTTATCAATAGATCCATAAACCAGCATTAGTTTCAGAAACGTCCAGTATTGGTAAAGCTTTAATCTCAATGTCCAGCTCACATCGCAAGAGGCACAACATGCAGACCAGGCGGATAATACAGTACACATTCAGCATGTATTGCAGTAACTCTCTCCTCTCTCTTCCTACTAAATTATTTAAAGCTCTAAATATGTTGTTGAGAATACTGTTCCTCTCTTTTTCACATCCGTATACTTCCTGTGCTTCAGCCTGAATCCAGTTATGAGCCCTCAGAGAGATGTTTTTATGTAGAAATCATTCCTATCTCACAGAATTATACCCTGCTAACGCATTAATTTTTTACATTATGTATATTTGATTGACTTTTTTATTTTTTTTTTGCTTTTGCCCAAATGCAAATAGCAAACGGTAATCAACAAGTTCAGTGTGCAGCTGTTTTAAAAAGCCTTTCAGAGCCTCGTCGGTAGGAGTAGGCCAGGAAGTGGCCTTGACATTTCTGCTTCTGTTGGTGAGAAGGAATCCGTGGGCACAGCAAGGACTCGCTCTTTATCTGACTGAAGGGAGATTAATAGAAAAAGTCATGGAGAGAGAACTCAGTGAAAAAGGTGAGGAAAGAAGGAGAGGAGGTAGATTATTTGAATGAATTTCATGATGAAGACTTGGACATGGAGAAGAGGAATTTACTCCAGTAATGGAGTTGGTTCGAGTTCTCTGGTGTTGGGCTCAGATTGATCGAAAGCTAAAGTAGATGCACTTGTTCCACTTCAGTTATTTAAAGCTGAAGTATCTGGTTACTGTTAAAAATGAGTGTTTAAAATATTAAGTCATGTTACAGAATCAGTGGACAGCATATATATTAACTAGAATGATCTCTGCGTGAACAAGTTACCACATAATAATGCAGCTTACTTTAGTGCCAAGGTTTATAACATGTTGTACTGATTCCATGTTGGTTTTGCTGTGAAAGCAACTATAAATTTTATATTGATTTTGGTGACCCTGTGGACATAGCAGATCACCTTATCCTTTTGTCCAACAACAAAACTCATTTTGGATTTTAATCGTCAAACTTACCACTGGCTGTTAAACTTATAACAAAGGCTCTGTTGGTGTCATATATTCAGTCGCCTCAGCTCTGACACTAACCCAGTGGCGGCTACGACGAGCATTAAAAATAACCATAGAGAAATATAGATTGTCTCGTTTGCTTCATAATGAGGCTTCAGTGTCAGTTTCAGTTTGCGCTATCACCAGATAAAAAACTCCTCAAAGTACATTTGAGTACATGGAAAGAAAGTCTTGAAAAATAACTTTTACTGCAAATAATCTTAGTACACAAATTAATGTTTGTTGTTCATATTATTGTGGGCTCTTATTACTGATGCAGCATTTTATATGCAGTTGCTAGTGAAGGTACAGCTCATTATAATTAGTTTACATTAAAGCAGGAGTTAAATCTATAACTATACCACGTGTCTTGGGGTGTAAAAACGTCATATGTTGAGTTCCTCTAGCTTCTAGAAATAGAGTGAAAAGAACTTGACTTTTCTGAAGAGGCATCATGAAGCTGTTTCCATATTGGTAATACCGACTCTAATTTACTGAAGAAAAAGTGGATTAGATTTATAACTGTAACCTCTATATTAGACAGAAGGTAAACAGTGGATCTACTAGATGGCGCTCTACTTTTTTACTAAAAGTTTATGCCATTTTTAAAAGTGTTAGGGTTTTGTGTGTTTTGTTGGTCTGGTTTGGACTGTGGGCGGCACAGTGGTTAGCACTGTCCCCTCACAGCAAGAAGGTCCTGGGTTCCGGGTCAGGGCGTTTCCTGTGTGGAGTTTGCATGTTCTCCCTGTGTCTGCGTGAGTTTACTCCGGGTACTCCGGTTTCCTCCCGTATACCAAAAACATGCAGAAGTGAGGTTAGCTTAACTGGTCACTCTCAAATTTCCTGTAGGTGTGAATGTGAGCGTGGATGGTTGTTCGTCTCGATATGTCAGCCCTGCAATGAACTGGCGACTTGTCTAGGGTGTCCCCCTGCCTTCGCCCGAAGATGCTGGGATAGGCTCCTGCCCCTCCACGACCCTGGGAACGGGAATAAGCGATAGAAAATGGATGGATGGATGGATGGAGGGGTTTGGACTGCTTGCAAGTCTTATTTCTGATTTTCTGGTGGGGCTAAAATGTTTAATCAGTAAATGCAAACAAAATGAACCCAGGATAGGAAGAGTCAAAGTAAACAAAATTATCCTGGTGTAATGATGTATAACTTAAAGCCTGAACAAAAAACGAAAGAAAAAAAAAAGATTATATTCAGAAATATATTTTTTAAAATCGCCCTGTAAACATGTTTAATTGTAGTAGAAATGAGTATTTCTGTACGGGCTCTGAGGAGGTTGATTTAGTGTTTCTGAGCCTGCCTCGTGTGGACACTTACAGGAACTGCAGTTTTTCACATACCACATTCGTTTTTTTTATCCTTTCATCCCTGCAGTTTTCGTCAGGTTAAAGTTATTTCTGAATAAGAAGCTCTTTTGCACACTACATTTGAAATGGTGTCATGCTCACGTATGCCTTGACGTGTATTTGCACATTTAAACAGTAGGTGCAGCAGGTGGAGATGGGCTGTATGTTTCCTGACATCACCTCTTTGCGGTTGTGTGTTTTGCGGCGCCGCTCGGTTCGACAGATGTAGGTCAGTCTGCAGCTGTGTTCCTTGTAGTACCCAGAACTCACAGCCTGTCCTCTGCCTGCTAACCGCCTCAGCAGCAGACGGCCTGTGATGTATTTTTAATCAGGTTCTACCCATAAACCAGTTCTGCTTGTTTCACCCGGACTAAGTCTGGGTCTTTTTGAATTAGCACCCTGACAGCCACGGCTCTGATTCGCATGGATGTGACTAACCGTGTCACCTCATATAGGTGCACTTCAGACAATCTATAGGTACGGATGATCTCTTTTTAAAGCCCATGAACCTCCCTGTCTGTACATGTTTGCTCCCCCGTCTGCATGTGCAGCCAACATACCCACATGCTGCGTGTGCGTGGGTGTGTGCTGGCATCCAGTTCCCTCAAAGGCACCCATGATCAAGGCCGCGCTCTAATGAAGGCATACAGGTCCACAGCCCACCTCTCTCTGTCTTCCTCCTCTCACTCAGTCAGTTGAACCAGAATAGCCGGCGTTGGCGTTGCAATCTGTAATGGTAGTCACCTTGTGGCTTTTGTTTGCGAGACTTCTCAGAGTGATGGATGATGAGTGGTTGGCCATGTTCGACATGATCCAAACAACACAGCTATAAAGCCAGGCAGTCAGGCGGAGGAAAGGTGAGGAAGAGGGTAGAGAAAGAGAGGGAGAGGACAGAGACGGAATAAAAGATGAAAAGTTACGGATGTAAATTGAGATGAAGTAGGGGGAGAAATTTTAAGAGAAAGATTGGTGAGATGCAAAGAAAAGAAGAAAAACAGACGGCATGTAGGGACACATAGGAGGGCAGTAATAAATGGAAATAAACGGCCCTCAAGCTGTCTCTCTTTAGTGTCCCGCCCACTGGGGTGCCTGTCCTCCCCCTGATCCTATAGACGACAAATGAGAGAAGGAGGGACCAACACACACTTTCATCACTGTCACACATTCTCCCTCCCCCTGCAGTTTCTCCTCTTCTTCTTTTGTCTCTTTCCGTGATGCCTTTGTACCTCGACGACTGATGCCTGTGCTGGGATGCTGCCATTAACGTCAGCCTTGTTCTGCTCCTGAAAGCACCAATCAATCAACACAAAGCCCATCAACATCGGCCAGAGAGTTTATTTGAACCCAACTGTTGATTGCTCCAATTTGTCAGACTTATCCGGTGCTGAAACAGAACCCTGTCCACAATGTCACCTCCAAGTCTGTGTTTGTGTGTGTGAGTGTGTGTGTGCAGAGAGAGAGGTATATAAAAGTGAGTACTTAGACAGGATGATCGGCACACTAGGGATAGAAAGATTTTTGGAATAACTTGAGTAACTTAATCATAAAAGAGCCTCCAGGTTAATAGTTTGTGCTCTTAGAGACGCCTGCTGCATAGAGTTGGAGGAGGACCAAGGGTTGTTTAAGCATTTAACTGTTTGTTTTATTAGTTATAACACTCATGTCATAACCTATGAGTCCAAGAATAAATACTCTATGTTTATTTCTGTTTTCAAAACCTAGCACACGCAGCGGACTTTACTGCCTTTACTTCATCCTGCCAGTACAAGAGTCACCTTTTCACTGTCTTTCTTGAAAAAAAAGTGAGAGTTCAGCTGTTAAAAATCAGTAGAGAGATCCTGTAGCTTTTGTTGCACAGACTTGGACACCTGTTAGCACTCAGTTCATCTCCGCTGCTAAGCATTGGGCGTGTCTAGACCTTTTACTTGGAGCACATAGGAAGAGTTAGCCAGGGTATCTGTGCTTCACTGTCTAATTTATACTTTAAGGACCATCACTTGAGTGTCAATGTTATATTTCTGTATATAATTTTGGCATATTTTAATAATTTTGTATAATAAGTAAGTATCTCCACTTCGAGGGATCTGGACTTTTTTCAATACATGCACGATTCATAATCTTCCCTAACAACCCGTAGCCTTGGGTATCCAAATGACCAATGGAAAGACATTGTATGACATTATCTTTTCAACAAGTATCTCCATTGGGTGTCGAAAGTGTCAACAAAGCACAAATCTCCTGTCCTGGCCCTGCGTTGTCGTGTCAGAAAACAGACTTTACTCTGTGACACTCATCACAGTCCAGGGTAACGCTACACTAATATCCTCACATCAACTGGTGCCAACCTAAAACTTTTTTCTAACCATGACAGTGTTGTTTACCTGTACGTTAGATTTCCTAAGCTGAAGTTCATCCCCAGAGGCAAAGCTGCCGCTGTTTTCTGTCTCACACTCGATCGCTGACACAAATGCATGTTAAACTGGGAGTCGCGACTCAAAAAGGTTGACAAACAACAGACGTAGGACCTAAAGACTCAGGGATAGCTTCTTCCCGAGAGCTATCATTGCAGTCAACAACAAGTCTAATTGAACCTTCCCCCCTTAACCAACATATATACTGATCACATTGATCATAGTGCAATAAATGCATCATTAACACTGGGCTTCACTTGTGCAATTATCGGGTTTCATATCATTCATTCCTGTTTGTTAATATTTTATAGTGTATATCTACATATTACTGCCTTTTTACTTTTCTCCTTCTTACCGTATCTTTGTGTTTTAAATGGCTTTCATTTTAGGATTTATTTATTACTTTTGCTATGCACCAAAGGGAGTGGCGCTCAAATTTCGTTGTACTGTGTACAATGACAATAAAGGCGATTCTGATTCTGAACCAATGTGATGTGTGAAAATGTAGGATTTGCCTGCTGTCAATAGTTAATCAACATTAGTGGGACATAAACAGGACACTCGAAGCTTGTAAATAACCGAACATCATTGGAGCGTGTTATTAAAAAAACACCATCACTCACAACTCAAAGCACAGAAATCTGTTTAAAATATCAAACAGGTCACTGATGACTGCGTTAATAAAGATTTTGATTTCAGGTCCTGATTGTGTCTAATTACAGTGTTTTGGGTTTATTCTGTAAAGTAGTTCATGAATAAAACAGTTTTTTAATGTTCCTGAAAAGAGCGAATTGTAGTAGATACACAGTAGACACACTGCCATAATCGATGAAATACCCAATGCTTATGTTTCCCTTTTTCACCAAGAGGAGCTGACATCACTCCTGCCCACTTCTCATCACCTGCAGAGACAACAATACACCCGCCTCCTCCACTCGGTCTATCTCATTCAGTCATGCTCTGCAACACATAAGGATGTCCAATTTTTTTTTTTATTATTCCTCTTGACTGTGAAAGCACTTAGTGTTGTGGTCAAACAGTGGAGTGTTTAAACGCACTTTTCTCTCTTGCCTGGTCTCAAAGCAGGGAGAGCGTATTATAACAGGCTTAATGTGTTTGTCTCTCTTCCTGTCACACACTTGTTATCCCGGGTCTGACTGGGTGGATTTTTCTGTAAACACAACTCTCAGGAGGGGTACTGTCCCTGACAGCAGGCTCTGGGGTATTCTTTCGAGACATCTTTGAATAAGGACATGAAGTGTGTCTCTGCTTGCAGTGTTCACATCTTGAAGGTGAAATACTAAAAAAGAAAAGAGCGTTTGAAGCAAAAGAGTTGGCGTCTCCTTTTATTTAAATATAGAAATAAAGAAAGAATTCCCCCTAGTTCAATTACTCTCTGTTTTAGTGCTCAGATTAGGTGTTGTGTCATCAAACTGCTGCTTTAAAGGTCTTTCCAGTCCATCAAAAACTGCAAACATTAGTAAGAAAACTACAATCCTCTACGGGTCGTTATTTTCTGCTCTGAAATGTCTGAGGCTGCAGACTGTATTTCTGTGTTTGCCATGATGGTCCTCGCTCTGCACACTGTTTGAAAAGTGCTGAGAGCAGCAGTATATCGCTCGCCTAAGGTGGAAACATATGGTCTCTCTGAGTGGAACCAGCAGTAATGTTAAAACCATCCCAGTCGCTGCTAATCTTCTTCACAGCAGCTGAAATACATTGGATAAGGTGCAGCAAGATATTTAGAAATATTAGCAAGAATCTGTTTCAAACTGCTTTTAATTAGACGTTATTTTTTGTACAACTTTATTATTAAAAGCAATTAAAATTCACTTTAATTTTACTTTTTGGATATTTCTGCTTTTGTATCCACTGGTTTCAAGGCTAAAACAGAAAATAATTAGTATTTAAATCTCAGATTAATTTGTTCTGACAGAGACGGATTTCTCTATTTGTTGCATCTGCTGTGAGTTAAAATGTAAAACTTCATTCTCAATCTTTGGAAAACGGCTGAAGTTTTAATTGTTTCTAGTTTATTCAAAAGTAAACCTGTGCGGGTTGAAGTGAAGGGTTTGCTGTGAGTTTCTGAGCCGTGGAGGTAAGAACTGTATCGTCAGACCTGGCATGAACACATACAGTATTTTCTCTTCGTTCTGCAGCTCCGTCTGGTCTCAGCCTGAAGATGGTAAATTATTCATCGGCATGGGAAGTTTAAACACTGCTCTGAGAGCGGGGGAATGTAAACGTGGATACTCTTGCATCATTCAGCTGCTTTGCATCTAAAACCCTCAGAAGCATGTCTGCACACATACGCTCTCATCTGCAGGAGTAATCGAAGAGAGTCTCATACATGCGTAGGTGTCTCACTCTTTGTCACGGGGGACAGTTTTTCAAGTTCAGTGAGGGAGCAAAGGAGAAGTGTGCTATGGGTCTGTGTTGAACTCTTTGTGATGTCTGGGTGGATTTTTTTTTTCTTCTCACTCGCTCCATCTTTCCACACCGGTCGCCTCGGCAGCAAGACTTTGCAGGAGATGGAGAGGCGAGGTCTCTCCAGGGCATGTGTATGCAGACTGCCATAAACCTAAAACTCATGAAAGTGTCCTCTCTCTCCTGTGCAGGGCGTATAAAACCATTGATGATGATGACCTGAAGTTTCCCCTGATCTACGGCGAAGGCAAGAAGGTAAGACACAGTCTCTTCAGCTGCTTGCTGACAGAGTTACTCCCACGGCCTTGTATGTCTTGACGGTAATTAAGGCTCACCGTGGCGCCGTTACTCAAATCTCCTCCCCCCACCACCACCAGCACCACAGTATGAAGTACTGTGTGAAGTGTGAAGTATCTCCTATAGCACAGAAAATATCTGATCTGATTCACCACACCGGGAATGATGCAAATATACGACGCGAAATTACGAAATATTCAGAGGCGAAGTTTGACGCGCCTGACTACACACATCAAGCGCGATGCGATTTTGCAGCTTTACGGGGGTAAAAAGACGCATCCAGGGTGGAAGCGAGAAGACTGACACAACAGCAGACTGACTGTTTTTCAGTTCTGATTAGACACTAGTATTGAGATGTCTGTCTGTCATGATAGCATGTACTGAGTCGGGGCCAGTACCAGATAAGCACATTAAACTATAATCCATAAACATAAGGGAACAACCGAGACCTAACGGTGCTGTGACAGCAACACGGTTGAGTTTGAGACAGTGAAAATACATATGGTATGTTGTATCTGAACAGGTTAGCTTACGAGCTAAAGTTACTTAGCACAGATGAAAGTTAAAACAAAAACGTTTAACAAACTGTTAAAGCACACAAACCATCGTCATATGAGAGATCCGACGCTATGACTCTACACAAGTTGTCCTTCAGGTATCTTTGAAATGTTTGTGTTTTTTACGACACATAAATGATCAGCCAGTCGGCCATGTTGGATATACCGGTGAATTTGACATAGCAACAACACGAAATCTGATTGGTCAGAAGTGGACACACAGTATGTGAAACTTTAGCAAATTTGACCAAGATCCGAAAAAATAAATGCTGCAATATCGCAGGATTGGATCGTATTGACAGGATAAGAGTTCGAAAAAAAATATTGACGTCCGAAATACTCGCATGAAAAAAACGCTCCCAGTGTGTAAGGACCTTAAATCTCAATTTTTTTCGATTGAACTGAATCCACACTGAGTGGTGGTATGAGATTCTTATAAACAATAGACTAGGGCTGGGCGATAAAATGATAATGATATATATCGTAAATAGCGCAATGCATTACGAAAAAACACCGAAGAGACCTTGCAGATGCAGTAGCTTACTGTATTGCGGAAGACATGCTACCAATAATCACTGTCAAATTTCATTTTTTATATCGTGATATATATCGATATCGACTGGTATGAAAAAAATATATTGTGATAGACTTTTTCCCATATCGCCCAGCCCTACAATAGACACTCAGGTTTTTGAGGGACTCAAGATCCAGAGCTCAAAATCACAATGGTCATCCTACCTTGGGCACGATGTTAGAGGAAAACAGCCACTCAGCAGGTGCAAGATAACACTCATGCAACTTGCAGGTCAAAGGTGAAACTCCTCGTGGTTTCTAACTATGTGAGAGGGACAAAAAGTGTCCAAAAAGTGACATATGTTAATTGGATTATAATGTCACACAAACGCTGATTTGTAAGAGATCCATGTGAGTATTTTGACAGGAAACATAAAAGAAAAGGTCAAGATCTCAGCACACCATTCTTGACATTTTCCTTTCCTGAGGTGACGCTGTACATGTGGCACTGTGCAGCATCTTGTCTGTGTTGCGTTGAAAAGGTCAGAGAGGAAACGTAGATAGATCTGAATATGTTCCCAGTTTGGCCTTGTCTCGTTTCGAGTCGAACCAGGACAGACAGTAGGTGTATGTTTGATTGATGATCGAGGTATGTAACCCCACAGCACTCCCTCGCCTGCAACCATGTTCAGGTTCATCCCTGCACAGTCGGCCGTGCCCACGTCGCGTCCTCTCCCCTTTGAAGTGCAGCGCAGAGATGGATGGCTAGATAGAAGAGTGAGAGGGCTTTTGTGTGAGGGAGAGGAACGCCAGAGCACTTCAAAGCCCGGCGTGCAGCTTGCTGGGCCCCAACGCTCAACAATTAATCCCAGGATGTTTCCCCTTCTCTGCCGGAGGAGCTTTGCCGCCACTTTCAAACGCTCTCCCTTCTCTCCACCTCTCTGTCTCCTTCCCTTCTGCATTTCCGCGCTGCATACTGATTCAGGCCCTCTGCTATCAGGCCTCAAACGCCCTCACGCTCCTCTCCTCGTCCTGATGTGCCTCTCAGTCTCACATGCTGTACTGTAGATTCAATTAGCCCACTTCCCCAGCAGCCATTTTTAGAAGCGGCAGTGGCAATCTATGCATACACCACGAGTCAATAAGAGTTTTGCAAAGCCTACAAATGAGTTTGATGGCGTCTGGGGCTGAGGGAACGGTTGTTAGGCACTCACACAACTGGAAGATGCTGACACTAAGCCTCTGTGTATTTTCCTAAATGCTGCTCATCCATTCAGATAAGGATTTCTGCTGGGAGTAGTAGCGAGTCTGTAACTGTCAGTTAGATTATGCTAGGGATGTGTCATGCAGAGTTTTCTTTACAGTTAAAACTGATGAATGAAGAAGACGCACAGAAAGCTCAACTAAGTCTTAACTTTGTCCTGGTTTTATTTTAACACTCAGAACGTTTACATGACACTCGAGAAAACCAAATTATTGCCTTACTCTGATTTAGACCGGACAACTTAAGTGCATGTAAACACCTCAGTCTGACTATAATCGGAGTTTGAGAACTCTGATTGGAGTCGGAAAACTCAGATTGAGACACCCAGATAATGCAATTGGAATTCGATTTTCTCTACCATGTCACCAGCGTGAAAAGTTTGAGTTCTCAATATTTGAGTCATGGTCCATGTACTATTTTATTAGTGAAATATTGGCTTTAAATGATTTGCGAATAATCAATTTATGTTTTTCTCAAACATAGCATTTCAAGAAGTTTGTACTGTTATAGTAGGCAGATAGTTTCCTGTGTATGCAGTTAATTACAGGTTGACTTCTCAATTAAATTATCAATCTGTTTAACAGAAGCAGAAATTACAGTAACCGTGTCTTTTACGGTACACTTATTACTAGGTAATTAACAGGTAATTACCTAGTAACAACATGAAATTATCTGGTAATTACATGATAACTACTAAGTCAATACTGTCTAGCTACCAGGTAGGTAACCTTCCATCATCATACAAATTTGATGCCGAATTGCTTTGGTATTTCCAGGATTTTCTCCACTTCCTGGAACCACCACTTGCGCAGTAGCATTGGACGCATTCGGCGGGTGAGTCGCTGTGATAATGTTCGGCTCAAACAGCGTATCGCTACGCAATCTTCACACGCCCATAGGCTGTATCAAGTGTCAATCATAGAAAATAAGAACCCTAAATAGCTTTTGAAAATGGAGCTGCACAGAAAAAAGAAAAAAAGAAAAACTAGACAGTATTGACTTAGTAGTTATCATGTAATTACCAGATAATTTCGTGTTGTTACTAGGTAATTACCTGTTAATTACCTGGTAATAAGTGTACAGTAAAAGAAAGGGTTACCGAAATTACTCTAATTAGACTTAACCACTTCCATTCAAACTGAGAAATGCCCAACATGTTTTTTTTGTATTTGCAGGCTCGTGTGTTAGCAACCATCGGGGTCACCAGAGGTCTCGGGGATCACAATCTAAAAGTGCACGACTCCAATATCTATATCAAGCCGTTTCTGTCCTGCTGCCCAGAGGTAAGCTGCATTTTTTTTAAGTTGTATCTTCATTTTGTCGTCACTCACTGAATGTACAGATAAAGTGAAATGACTGGTCTTCTCCATCACACATAAAAAAGGGTCTTAACTGTACAACTTCAAACAATTTAACATGAAAATTTCCAGTAACATCTACACTTTAGTAATAGCTATTGATTAGATGTGTATTTGATATGTAACAAAAAAGCAAATCAAAAAAGCAAATATTTCATTTAAGATAATAGAGTTTTCTGAATAGTTTCCTGTCTTTAAGTAAATAAAAAAAACATTTCCCTAAACTTTTTATGAGAGCTTTATTAACTTCAACCTAAGTTTTTTTAAGTTATAAAACTTGAATAAGAAAACTTCTCTTAAATTAAATTAAGGTTAATGGATACATTTTTCCATTAGATAAATATGTCTTTGAATATGAGATTTGCCCAGAAGACAACAAACAGATTTCAATCTGCAGAAACAGTTATCTAATTATAAAGATGGCAACCAACATGATCCCTCCTTTAAAACTTACTCTTTGTTAAAACTTGATTTGAGAGACCTGAGACCAGAAATTTGATCTATTATCTTCTTATACTGTCTTTTCTTTTAGGACTTGCCCTTTTTATCCAAACTGTCACAAAACTATTCAATACTTGCATTTGAATTGAACACTCAGTTTTAGATTTGGCGTTAACTTCCTGTCCCAAAACAAAGCCTCTCCTTTACTAATTTGGAATATCAAGAAAGTTTTTGTTTATAGATGTCCTTGTTAGGTCAGGTCAACTTGAGGGTCATAATGTCACAGTAATAATTGTTTCATTTCTGCAAAATTAAAGCAAAGCTGACATCTTCATGAATTCCATGCTTAAACTTGACTTTGTCTCTTAAACTCGCTATCCTGATAAAATGGGAGCGCAGACGTAATGATGTAAAATTTTGTCAGCCTTCAACAGTCCACACGGTGAACTGTGTGGTCATCGTGAACATGAACAGCTCCCACTGACTGCTGCTCTCAAATGACTCTGTTCCTCTCCCAGTGTCTGCTGCGCATGATTGCAGGAGTCACAAAGCCCACAAATCCTCTTGATCTTTAATTCAATGCCCTCTGAGTTCAGCTATGGTTCAGTCTTCTTTTTAATGTTGTTTTTTTCTCAGTCCACTCTTTTATACATGTAGTCCTTATTGTTCCAGAGTGTAAACACATTAGGATGTTAAACACTGGAAAGGAAAACAAAGAGCAAGAACTACATCAACAGATCCAAATTGTAGAAGAGGTGGAAAAGTGCTTTAAGGATCTTGTAAACCCTTATGGCAAACACATCAAGTTGGAATTATTGATCACTCTCAGGCTGAATGAACAAGTCTCGGAAAAGAACTAACCTTGACTCATGTGGTCAAGTGATTATTATCATCATCATGAGATCGAATATAAGCAATAGTCAGATAAACGCATGAGTCAACACCTCCACTCATGAGACGCTTGTTGCCACAAAATTGATTTTAAGGACTTGTGTCTCTCTCAAGGTCTGGTAGCCTCTGTCCTTTCCTCTCTTGGGAAGTTTGACTAAAATCACAAGTTTTTCTAACAGACAAGGTTTATTTGTCAGTGGCCTCTGCAGTAAAGTAAAGTTTCATGAATGGACCATTTTTAAGGTGGCAAAAAGGTCATGTTCGCAACGCACAGGATTTGTATTCCTCTAGTGAAGGTGTCTTTGAAAAAGTGGCCTTCAAATTTTCAGGAAATTTTAAGACGAGTATATAAAAAGAAATGGGATTTTTTTTTTCTTTTTTTTGGTAGCTGTTCATGACCTTCAACTTACGAGGCATCCCTATTACTTTAATTAATTCCCGTGTCTATATTTCACTGTCAGTTATACCAAAAAAATATGCCTGAGTAGAGCGCCAAGAGAGCAAGGTCCTGTCATTTTTAGAGGAATAAATAAAAAAATGAATAAAGCTGTTGAATCTATAGTTATGTTTGCAGTTTATTGCTACATAATGTGAGAAAATTTACTACAGTGTTAAAAAACGATAAGTCGATAAGTAGTGGGGTTTGGTCATCGATAGCTGTTTTGTGAATTTGTAAATTGGCACTATATAAACAAAGGGTGATTAATTGATTAAGAATAAGAATAACTTTATTTATCCCAAAAGGGAAACTCAATTATCTGTCAACTCATTTGTCATGTGTCAAAAAATCATCTACTATTTATGAAAGAGTTGTTAAGTCTGATGGCTGTGGGTAGAAAAGATCTTCTGAATCTTTCTGTCCTGCAGCGAAGAGAGAGGAGCCGTCCACCATCATTCTCCCTTTGGTCCGTTAAGGTGTTATGAACCAAAGTGTCAAAGATCCTAGATGTAATAAAAACACACAAGATAGGTCGCTGAGTAAGGAGACCAGTCCCATTATGCCTTCATTCCAATATATGTACTCCACAGTTAAGTTTCATTACCCTACCACATGGCCCGTAATGTCCCAACAATCCAAGCATGAAGGAAGAAACGAACAGATGTGTCGCAATAGTGTTTTCATTATCGAGTGGGCGCCTTCCTTCTCCAGTGTTTCCTCAAAAAACCCTTGGAGAGGGATTTAAGTGAACCCCTAACCTCTGAAGTCGATGTGGCAAAGCTGAGAATGACATCATTACCAAGTCTTATAGTAGCCACTGTTGCTGATAGCACTGTTAGCCATACCAGACAATAACAACACACAGTATGAAAGTTTGCCCAGCTTGTTTTTATTCTGATCATCTAGACCAGGGGTGGGCAACCATGTGCAATGGAGGGCCAAGAGGCTGCAGGTTTTCTGTCCAACCCAAAACTCCAGCAGGTGATTTCACTGATTAGTCCCTGCTCTCTGCTTGGAGGCAAGAAAATCAGTGAAATCACCTGGTGGAGTTTTGGGTTCGGACATGTATCCGATGTGACTGCAGTGTGGACGCTCAGGTTGCGTTCATCCGACCTATACATCATCAATATGCGACGGACGTCACCATTGTTCGACAACACAAACAGGCGCGGAAAGAAATTAGTGCTTTGTGCACATGCAGGTCACTTCATGGACGCATTCTGTTCACATTAGATGCCGCATTCATTGTTGTTATGTGAACACCGCACAAAAAGATCGGATTCAACAAAAAATCGAATTGCGCATCATAACCTGCAGTGTGAACGTAGCCTAATTGATTGATTGTCTCAGTAATGAGATTATGCTTTGGGTGATTGGCAAATAAAAACAGCGTTTGGATAGCAGTGTCCACGTCAGCCTCATTTTTCTTGTTATCTCGTATGTCACATATAAACAAAATATGAAAAGAATGACTTTGAATGCCACACAGCTGACAATTATTTTAGACAGATTCATAAACACATAATAATAATAATGAGTCAAACACTGTTTATGTCTTCACAAGGAAACACACTGCTCCATTGCACAAAAAAAGTAGCAGATTTTTGCATCGTATCTGTTTGAATGACAAGGTTATTAAAACATGCAGGAGTAGGTTAAAATGAGTTGTAGAAACCACGCGCCTCTTGACCCTTCCCCCTTTCTCTTGCTTCTTTACCTTCAGGTGAAAGTTTACCCTTTGACTCAGTGCGAGCACGGAGCTGATGACGTTCTGGTGATGGGAACTGACGGTCTGTGGGACGTCCTCTCCAACCAGGAAGTAGCTGAAGCGGTCACCTGTTTCCTGGCAAACTGTGACCCTGACGACCAGCACAGGCATGTTTCACTCATCAAGCAGCTGCAGCCTGTCACTGCCGAACTTCCTCTCACCCCTGTCTTCTTTTGTAGGGGATGAAGCGCCGTTATCTCGTTATGCAAATTTTCAGACATTTCGATAAGTCATTTCTCCGATGTCAAGGAAAAGCTCTTGAAACTATTAACGCAGCGCTCTCCCGTTTCCGCTCTTGTAAGCTATGTGAGGTAGCGCAGTTCAAAAGTTCAATCATTCAGACTTTTTGTCCTCATCTGGCTCCTGGCAGATGATGAAATTGTAATTAGATAAGAGAGTTTTTTCTGATTGTACATCACTGCGCAAGAAATATGCTTTAATCTGTATCTCTGTTGATTCACCAGGTACACAATGGCAGCTCAAGATCTGGTAATGAGAGCGCGGGGAGTGCTGAAGGATCGAGGCTGGAGGATATCCAACGACAGACTAGGCTCTGGAGACGACATCTCCGTCTACATCATCCCCCTTATGTACGGCAACAAGCAGATCTAGCATCTAACAAACCTTCCGACTCACCTTCTGAATATTTCCTCACCCCTTGTTTCCTTCTTTTAAGTGCTTTAGTGTGGACTTCCCCCTCTACCGGGGGATCCAAGACATTTCTGGTCAGAGATGGAATCTCTGTCTGTGCTGTTTCTCTTGTTAATCATCTTGAAACGGGATGGTTAGTTTTTGTCTTCTTCCTTTTTCTATAAGAGTAGAAACTGTTTGAGAAACTGAACCTTGAAAAGAAGCCATCTTGAATCTTGCTGCGGAGCAATTCCTGAGGTTGAGAGAACGAACTTTTATTTATTAGGTTGTGGCGTGCACATCAGGATTGCTGTTATTGCACAATATTTATAAATGTAAAATCTGTAAATACTCCAAGGCAAACAATGTTTGATAAGTGTGTTTGGTTGAACACTTGTACAGTGTATAAAACTTCCCTGAAGACTGTCCTGCTTTATAAATCCTCTGTTTCATGTAACTCTTTCAAATTAGTTGATTAAGACGAGCAACTGTTAGTCTGTCGTCCAAAAGAGATGTCTTCTCTTTGACTGTTTGTCAGCTGGTTCTCCTACTTAATAACCCCAGCATTATGATAAATAATATTGATCCTCCATTGTTATGGAAGTGACACATAAATGGAGATACACTACAAGGAGGAACTGACTGATGAAGATGTTAGCGTCATTCATTCACCATATTCACCTGCAGCCTTTTTCCTCTGAGGTCATGATCAGGGTGGGAAACTCAAATGCTGTTCTGAAAGAAGAAGATACTGGATCCACTGCAGAGTTACTGCTGTACAAATCACACTTCTTTATTATTTCAGTCTCGAGGCGAATGGGGTCAGAGTTCAAGTGAAACAATATTCATTCACCAACTGAAGCTTGTGTTAGCATTCACCCTCTCGTCATGGCAGGGATTCAGGGAGTAGTTGACTAAAAGATTATCATTGTCACCCTTGCTACTCAGCACCAGAACTATTAGCACCAGCCACTTGCTACTATGAAAGCTATAATGCTGTAATGCTCCACTACCTGGATGTAGTTAAAAACAGAAGACAGCTGGCGTTTTGTTACACAACATGGCTAACTGTGTAATCCATGGGAACTGGAGAAATGTGTAACTAGCAAAGTCTTATGAACCTGCAGGAAGGATCCTGAGCGCAATATTTTTTTTGGAGGATGGTAGGGAAGGTTCCGCCTCCTTCGCCTCTGATTGGCTAGAAAAGCTGGGAACGTCATCATGCGCTCAAGCCAAACGCGGGCTGTCAACTCTGTACATAGAACAGAACATTATCACACTTCTGAATCTCCTCACCCTAACCCGACTGACGATGACGTTTCACAGCTATCAGGAATAACCAATTGCAGCCCATCACTTCTAGCCAATCAGAGGCGAAGGAGGGCGGGACCTTACCATATATTCCTACGAAAAAAAATGTAGCATCCGGGGCGCAATATTTTTTTTTGTAGGCTGATAGGGGGAGGTCCCGCCTGCTTCGCCCTTTGATTGGCTAGAGGCCAATCGGAGCTTGGTTCTGATTGGTTATTCCTTATGGTTGTAAAACATCATCGTCTGTCGGGTTAGGGTTAGAAGATTCAGAATCGTGATAATGTTCTGCAATGTTCTGTTTGATGTACAGAGCCATTTCAGTCATAAGGAATAACCAATCAGAGCCCAGCTTTTCTAACCAATCAGAGGCAGAGGAGACGGGACCTTTCCCTACCATCGTACGAAAAAAATATCACTGCCTGTGCTGCTGATGCAAACTCCGTAAACGTTAGCAACACTCAGCTAAAACTATGTCAATCATTGTCTAACAGTATCAAACTTTTGAGCCGGCAGAATATTAGCTAATGTAATGTTAGCTAAAAAGTGTTCTATTGCTAATTCAAACTTTTGTGTCACAGTAGCTAACAGGCTATTGCTTTACGTTGAATTAGCGCTGCATTACATCTCCCCCTGATTTTTCAAAACCACAGACGTTTCAGTCGCCTCTTTGTTTGGCAGTAAAGAGTAAACCCACATGACTCCAGAAGAAACTGGCCGTACAAAGTCCTACTTCAATAGCAGCAGTTGTCTTTCTGTTTACATCATTGACCATTAAACATCTACCTCATCATTTTCTTTCGTTTATTATGTTACCCGCTCCAAACCCCGTCATAGTCCGCTTTAAGCAGTAGTTTGTACGCTACTCCAAGTGCATCATCAGCTTCAACTTGTGCCATTATTGCTGTGAATTTGCTGTTTTCCTGCAACATTTGTGCGAATGTTTGCAGAAAAGCACTGCTGCAAAAAAAAGGTAAAAGTGAACTGTGTGATGGATCCGCAGTTTTTAAAATCTTTTTGTTGTATTTCATGTTGCACCGCCCCATTGTCATGCCCGCGTTTTCACCTTTTTAACTCGCATCTTAAGGAAAAACATTTTTATGATTAGCTGGTGCCTCGGAAAATTCAATTTTTTACGTCACACAAAATTAACACATTTATTGGATACACTCTGCACTTACCGTATGTGGTATTTCAATCCTTTTGTTCTGTTCTCCAATCCTCAGTTCAGTTTGTAGCTTCTGCTTATTGTGCTAAATGTGATCACCGGCTGCTTTAGGAGAAACTGAAAGTGGTGAAAATGGAAGAGTGATGTGATTTCATGACATACATGTAGATAAGGTTTTAGCGGACACATCTCTCTTTTCTTTACTTAGGTGATGTAAATCTTACTGGAACAGTAAATGTCATTTGTATCATCATGGTAACCTAGTGTGTATAAAAGAAACTGTTTACATGCTCACTTTTCTGCTCCATTAAAAAGAAACTGTCTATTCCTGACCTTTTAAACCTTTTTCCATCTTTCTCTGCCGTGCCGTTGATATTCATCGAGTGTGGTGAATGTGTAATTGATAAAATAACAGATGATTGATTCTGGTTTTTACAAACAGGTGTGCAAACAGGTGACTACTTAGTTTGAAGGATTTCATGGAGACAGTTTTAGTGGGGTTTTAAATAAACTCAACTTGAAGTCATGAGCTGCTCAAGACAAAGAAAACGCAGCATGTTTAGATATATGACTAGAGACTTTTAAAAAAAAAAAGGTTTTGTAAGGACAGTTATGGAGCCTCTAGGCTTAAAGGGATATTCCAGCGTGAAATTAATTTAGGGTCAAACACACCAAACACTGAGTTAGACACCCCCTCGAGAGATGAATGTTCCTGACCGCTTGCTTCTCTAGTTATACCAACTTATGTAACGACCGCACGATAGCAATACACAGCGGTCTATGAGGAGCCATAAACAAACCTCAACCAAAACGCCACTCTATAGCCACAAATAATGCTCAGAACAGCACCTAACTTCATCAACAGTACATATAGGGTCTCAGCCATAGTACTAGCCACCAAACATCTTTTTAACTTTGCCTGATTTCTTTAGCAAAGAGACTAAACACAACTTACCTACTCTCTTCCAACAGCCGCTTGTTTGTAGGGAGAGCTCGACCAGTCCATCATCAACTGAAGTGGGGTAATGCAGCTCAAGGAAGAACATTTATGATCATTTCTTCATAGAAACGCAATCAGACCGAGACGCTAAGGCAGAAGAACTACCGCGTCTACAGTGCAAAATGATTAATATGGTGATTATTATTTCAAGGAAATGATAAAGGAATGATCATAAATGTTCTTCCTTGAGCTGCGTCACCCCACAGCAGTCTGTAATGGATTGGCCTGAGGTCTCGCTACAAACAAGTGGCTGCTGGAAGAGAGTGGGTGAGTTGTGTTTAGTCTCTTTGCTAAAGAAATCAGTACTATGGCTAGGACCCTATATGTACTGTTGATGAAGTTAGGTGCTGTTCTGAACATTATTTGTGGCTATAGAGTGGCGTTTTGGTTGAGGTTTGTTTGACTATAGATTCAGATCATCACCACTCTGACAAACTGTGTCACATGTCGTCCCAGAGTTGTAGGTAGATGAAGGGTATTGGTTCACACAAAAGCCTGACCCTGGATTTCACAGTGGAGCCTGCAGGGAGAGGTGTAACGTGACTCTGAAGCTCACACACACACCCTGAAGAGATGAAAGACGACATAAAAGCTTAAAGAAAAAAGTCAAGGTGTCAACCCCATTTGGACCGGTGTTTCAATTATTTGCTGTAAGTGAGAGAAGGTGTCGGACTATGTAAAAAGAGAGAGACATACTTGAGTGAAACCTAAGCGCTTAGATACTGCTGTGATATTAAATACCTGAAATACCAGAGACTGAATGTGGAAATCAAATCAAAGTCTGAACCTCATTGTTCATGACATGACAGGAGTATCATATGAAGCGTGATCAATTCCACAGCCTTTGTGAGAGGGAAAAGAAAACGTGACGGCTTGCTGGCACCAGAAATCTTAACATTATACTGCATACCTTTAGATTCTCAAATGTTTGCACTTGAAGAAGATTCTCTCTCCTTCGACAGCCAGTATCTGTGGTATGTTTTTGAGCGCAACTGCTCAGGTTTTTCCAAAATGACTGACAGAACAACACAGCTTTGCATTCCCATCCACAGTGTACTTTTTTATCAGATGGTTTGGACTAAAATGTGGCACTTTCAGAGCACATACAGTTGATGCTAATAATAGACAGAGTCTGGCGTGTTTCCCTGCAGGTTTTGGACTGCCAAAGCTGACACAGGTGGTGTGAAAACATTGTTACATTACACAGCAGAGTGGATTCGTTTAAAGTGGTTTGGACTCATTAAGTTATATTTATTGGAAGTGTTGAAATTGCATTTAAAATAGGCCTTTATCACAATCAGCATTTTGACAGCTGGGAACAAGTGTTCAATTCAAGAGCTAATTTTTGCTGTCTTTATTCCTTTTGTTGGATTTCATTTGCTTTCACTAAGGCATACAAATCTCAGATGAAGACTGATGAAACTTCGTGTGAGGAGTTATTGTTGGTTTATGAGATAGACTTAAATTCATATTGATGTCTTTTTAAGATTTATAAAAGCAAACAAGAACCTAAAAACGAGACTGATGATTGTTATGTTTTTTTTAATACCTGAAATTTGCGCCAAGTGGGTAGGTGTCAGCTGAGTAGCTACGGAAACAGCTGTTTTTACAATTTTTACATAAAACATTCCGATTTGACACATTTTTCTGTTTATGTTTCTATATGAGCACGCAAAGGACAAGATAGGCACTGTCTGCTTTGTCCACAGGGGGCGCCAAACTTGTCAGAACCTGAAAGTTCCTCACAGGAGCTTTATAGAATTCAGTTTTTGTTCCAGAGAAGATTTGGATTCCAGTACCTCATACGTCTGACTTGGAGCACCGTTTAATTAGATTTGACACCTGATGTAAGTTCAGATTTGTAGTTGCTCATTATAAGTGACAGGATTTTAGACATAAACCTGGCCTTGTGACCTCTCCATTCCCATTATGATTATTTTTTGTTTGTTTTATGGCTGATATACTATGGCTTCTCTGTCTCTTGACTTTCTTTTCCTTTCAGTCCTGTGCATTTATTTTCAAACAAGCAAAAAGTAAGAATTGGATACTAGAGCATGGAGATGGAGGTTTATAAAGCCTACTTTTTGCTAACAACCATAAACTACAAGTTTTATTATAGCCCAGTTTTTCTTGTTGATTTATTTAAACCTTTCATATTTTAAGCTCAGGTTCCAGCGTTTCACAGTCATACACACCCTACCTTTACCAGAACGTCTTCACTGGAAAATACTGTTGTGGGAGTCTCACTCCTGATCCTCTGCAGGAGCTGGAGGGCCATCTGGTTCCCACAGGCCGTCCTACATCCTCCTCCAGTCAGGCCAGCACTGTTCTGGCACTCCTACTCTCCACACGTGTGTATGAGTGCGCATGTGAGTGAGTGTGTGTGTGTGTACGTGTTTGTGTGTGGTCCAGATTGGATGACGGCACTGATGACACAGTCATTCCTGTGGGTGGCTTGTTTTTCCAAGGTTACAGCACTCCCACCCCACCTGTGGACAGATCTGAGAGAGATGCTGAGTGGGCTTTCAGTGAGATACTCATCTCTCCCTGCGAATTAGAGGAGCTGTGCCGCTGAGGGGACAGCATTCAAACCTCCCCTTAGAGACGGAGGGTAGAAGAGGGCCCTTTTTATATAATTTGGACTCGTGCAATGAAAACAGAGCAGCAGCTATGAACTGATTTCATCGCATTTCCTGGTATTGATTTTTGTTTAATTCAAAGATATTCAGCACGGTGTGAGAAAAGCAAGAAAAGACCGTTTTCATTTACTTGAATAGCAAATAGATAATCCAAACAACCGCTTAATACTTTCCCATAAATCAATTAGCTCTTTCTATTCAGTTTGCCCAGACTTGTTCAATGGATTATTTTCAAACTGCGTCATCATTCGTGAAGAGTATTACAAATATTTTCAGAAACAGTCGAATTTCCTGGAGCTCAAGATAACATCTTTGGGTTTTTCCACTGAAGTGTCGTTACAGCTGCGACTATTAGTTGATGAAGTGTTGAAAGAAAATCCAACCATAGTAAATTCTTACTTAATAAGATGGTTTCATTTGTTTTAAGACATTTAGGGAGTTTTGAATGGTTACAGGTGCCTGAATGTGAGAAATGGCAGCTTTCTCTTGGTGCTAAATTCAATTGACCTTGATGGTTTTTGTTTTTTTTATGTGTTAGATAAGAGGAGATGTATTTAATCTCTTTGGAAAGTCTAAATTCAAGATCTTTTTAGCCGTTTTTAATCACTGCTTTCCCGTGTTTTGATTTTACTCTTTATTTTTTGCTCATTCATCTCCTGTAAAGCGTATTGAGTTGACATTAGTATGAAATATGCTACACAAATTGTAGTTGAACTGAATTTACCGATGAGGTAACCTTCTCCTTTGTGAAATTGTTTTTTAATCTTTCTGTTGCTTGGAAAAATAATCAGCGAATGAAAGGATGGTGCTTTAAAAGGAGAATGCAAAGAAAACCAGCTGAAGTTCTCCACACTCATCGTGTTTTTGCAGTCTAATTATGAAATCATTGGTGATTAATTTTTTTGACAGAACACTAATCAATGAATCCAAATAGCTCCAAACATGTTGCTTCAAAGAGGCAGCATGTGTGAGGGTATTTTGTGGACACTGAGCGCTCGTAGTCAAGAGTGGACTGTCCTGTCAGGACGAGGGTGCGGCTGCTTCAGCCGTGCAGCTGTGATACCCATCTGAGCAGCTGAATTTTCCACTGGGGGCTCTAATTTACCGCTTTGGGGCTTCAGCTGCCTTGAGTGTAATTTATCTGTGGGCCGGCTCAAATGAGAGTCCTGACACAAGATGGATGAGGAGGACAGGGGCTGCCTCGGCTCTGCTCACTGGTCCATAGACGGGCTCTCTTTACATTGGAGGTATAATAAATGATGTTTGGTTTTACCCTGGAGGCTGGATTACTGACGTTTCCTTACATGAGACAGAGACTTATGTGAATAGATTCAATGCAGACGTGTAGGACTGCAACAGGCTCGAGTGTGGTTTGTTTACTAGTCTGCTTCTTCTCTCCAGCCTACATGTAGCTCCACAATGAGTAGCAGAATTTATTGTTCAATGTCGGCACAGATGCTAGTGGGCTGAAGATGAACATAACTCTGAGTAACACACTATCAAGTGTGAACTCATAAATATTTCAAAGGAGTCTTCCTGGAAGGTCAAAAGCAGGATTCAATCTCCTCTAAATCAGTCATTGAGTGAGTTGCCTGCTATCATTGAGGCTGATGAGGGTCTGATGAACACAAGACTGCAGCCCCTGCATGGTTTCATCGACCCGGGCACGCTGCCTGGCCCCTGCAGCCAATCAAAGCTCATTACCCATTCTCTCGGTCCCCCCAGCCCCACCCCCACTCCCACCACGAGACCCCTGACTGCCCATACTAATGTGATACAGAGCAAACCAGATGCTGCTGGGCAGCAGAGAGAGGATTTCAAAGGTTAAGTCACAACAGCATGACCCACATCAGCGCTCAGCTCACAGGGCTCAGTGAGGACACCGCTGCTCCAACGCCTATGGGGGTTAGGTCATGTGGTGCGTCTGCCTGTGCATACCGTACAGTTTAAGCACTGAGGCATCCAGATTTAGCATAATAACCAGATTATTGAAGCCAAAAGTGCTGCGCTGATTTATGTCCGAGCATTGGCCCTGCACAGAAGAGATGTTTATGTGCAGGGACAGCACACACACACACACATTCACAAACACACACACTCTATGTGCTCCAGTGTGTGATGGTATGCAGCACTATCAACAAAGGACGTCGGGGAGAGCCATAAAGCCAGCCTGTGTGGATGAGAGCAGATGTATTGTAGGATACCTCTGTGGGCAGTAGGAGCCACGTCACTCCTCTTCTCATAGCAACAGTACAGTTGACCTACATGCTTTCTTACACAGCCCACTCCGCCTGAGGTGCTGGAAAACATGCAAATCCATCACAGATATTGACTTCTTTTTTGCATTTTGAATATGGACACATGCTCCAAAATGGATATGGCATATCCCATCTGTATCATCATGCAAGCATATAAGCCTCCATCCTGCAGGAAAAAAGGGTGCTCAAAAATGTAATGCGGTGTCAAATTAAAACTGCATACAACAAAGTGCTTTCCCCATCAATCATTGGCTGTTTTATTGAGTGTTAGGTGATACAGAAATAATAAAAAAATACAGGCTCTAGCTCAGAATACAACCACAAGCCACTGAAAGGAAGTGAATTAAGGCTTTAAATACAACAGTGTGGCTGCAGCAGCAGGGTGTTATTACCTGGAGAAACCGTGTAAACAGCGTTGAAAGAAAGCAGGGCTGCTTTTCTCCCCCCTCGGCTGGAGTGGAGACACCAGCACTAGCAAGGCAGTAGCTTGCGCAGTCATCTCCATAGCGGGCAGTGTCACAACCCAACCAACAGCACAAACTACTACCTCAGCCAGTGCGTGGTGAAACGTCGAGAGGAAGAAGAAGAAGAAGAAGAAACAAAGGGGGTTTAAAACGAGGAAAAAATGCAGTGGAGGTATAAAACAATGCACCGTCCGTGTCGACATTCCCATGCAGCCGGAGCTGGTCCGTCCTCTCCTCCTCTTCTCCCGCTTCCCTCCCTCCTCCTCCTCTTCTGTGCAGACTTGAAATAAGAGGGAAACCCCGCCCTAGCAGACCTGCTCCCTTTCGCTCTCCTCCTCCTCCTCCTCTTCCTCCTCCCGCTCCCTCTTCCTCCTCTCCTTCTACAGTATACAGCCCGCTAACCGGTCTTTTCCCCTCATATGACCTAGTGGATGATCTGGATGATTCAAAACGTCGGCTCGGGGACCCCTACAGGGACACGCAGATGGAGCGGCGCGGTCCGTGCAGCATGCAGAGGGAGATGAAATAATGTGTTATCTGTGTAGGCGCTGGGAACAACAAGATGAAGCGAGAAGAGGTGTTTTCCATTGCAGAGGTTTCCCTATTCTCATTACAACACCACCTACTGCACAGTCATGAGACTTCATATTGTGAAACACAAAATATCCGGAAAGCCTCTGTTTCTACGATAGCTGTCTCCACTTTACAGAAGACAGGGCAGCCAAGTTATAGAAAATGACAAGAGTAAAGGTCCTTATATACCAGGATCGTATTTTTCGTGCAATTATTTCGGACGTGAATTTTTTTTTTTCGAACCCATTCACATCAGCGACAGTTTCCCGTCCTGCAATATTGCGGCATTTATTTTACGGATCACGGTCGATTTTTCTAAAGTTTCGCATACTTATCAGATTGCGTGTTGTTGCGACGTCAGATTCACCGGTATATCCAACATGGCCGACCAGCTGATTGTTTACGTGTCGGAGAACAGAGTGCTTTTGATAAAAAACACAAATATTACAAAGATAACGACCTGAAGGACAACTTGTGGAGAGTCATAGCGTAAATACCATATGTATTTTCACTGTCTCAAACTCAATCGTGTTGCTGTCACAGCACCGTTAGGTCTCGGTTGTTAACTTACGTTTGTGGATTATAGTTTAATGTGCTTATCTGGTACTGGCCCCGACTCAGTACATGCTAATGAAAATACATATGGTATGTTGTATCTGAACAAGTTAGCTTACAAGCCAAAGTTACTTAGCACAGATGAAAGTTAAAACAAAGACGTTTAGCAAACTGTTAAAGCACACAAACTATCATCATATGAGAAATCCGACGCTATGGCTCTCCACAAGTTGTCCTTCAGGTCGTTATCTTTGTAATATTTGTGTTTTTTATCAAAAGCACTCTGTTCTCCGACACGTAAACAATCAGCCGGTCAGCCATGTTGGATATACCGGTGAATCTGATGTCACAACAACATGAAATCTGATTGGTCAGAAGTGGACACACAGTATGAGAAACTTTAGAAAATTCGATACGAAAAAATTAATGCCGCAATATCGCAGGACGGGAAAATGTCGCTTTTATTGACAGGTTACTAGTTCGAAAAAAATTGTTGATGGATGGAGGAAGGATAGAGTTGAGCGGGGAACATGGTGTTAAATGATGATGCAGGCAAAAGCAAAAGCCTGACACACTCCAAAAATAAGTAGCCACTGCGAAACACGTAACGCTGTTTTTCAGGGCTGAGAACAAAATAATGCATTAACGGGGACAAATGTATCCACTTATTGCACATAGCTTGTAATATAGGCTAGGGAAGGATGCAGTTGTGATCATCTAATGAGGAGTTTTGAGCACTGCCACCTACAGGACGGAAAAAGCTGCAGTAGTTTAAATACTAGCGCCATCTGCAGATGAAAAGTAGAATAGCATTTCTTCCATTTTATTTTATGGGTGCTGTTTGGTTGTTCTAAAAAGTTGTTTATTTTGAATATATAGTGTGAACACATAAGCTGGCTGACAAAAACGAAGATTAACTCGAGTGATAAGAGCGAGATCTTTTATCAGGGTTCTTACCTCTTTTTTTAAAGATATGAATGAACAGACTTTTTCGAAGATACTTTAACTTGTTGTATAGTCAGAAAATTAAAGTGCATTGTCACTGAGCACACGCACAACAAAGGTGATTGTAGAATTGTCCCATTTATTTTATACAGACAAGTACATCCCTTCTCAGATGGCTGGCTAAAGATGACATGGAATGTGACAGTAAGATTGGTTTTCTTGCATAAAATCCTCACTGTTGAAAATGTTGCAAAAGTCTTTTTATGTTCATTAAGATCAATAAAGCCCCAGTTTTTGCATGTTTTTTCTTAATTACAGCGTCAACAATATATCACCACACACTGTACATCGACTCGGCCTCATCAGGAGAAAAAAAAAGAGAAAAAAACGAACTAAACCCAGAGGCAACACTGCAATTATTTTTAATCTCGGAGGATAACACAAGAGTGCAGCCAGTCTGAATGAGCATGGAGGGGGCGGAGGAGTTATCAGCTCACATGAGAAGCATACGATGAAGCGTATGAAGGTCAGGGTCATCATTACGGTCTGAGAGGGCCTTGAATCTCTTGTTCTTGAGGGGTTGCTTCATGTCACCATAAGATGGGGCTCACGTGGAGTTCATGTCCGTGCACTTGTAAAGCACGTGGGTTGAGAAGACACATTCAAGATTTCTTCATTGTAAAAAACAAAGAGCTCATACGAGCGAGCCCGGTCAGGACTCCCCGTTCTGTACTCTGGAGACAGGTGGCTGCATAAAGTCTTTGAAGGGCCCCAGGGCCTCCTTCAGGGCTGAGCTCACTTCAGATGACGAGCATGTAATGCATTCAACCAGTGTGGGGTACAGGGCTATCACCTGAGCCCATGTGTTGCCATCCACTGCAGGCAGAACAAAAAAAAAAGCACAAAGAGGAGTGAAGATGGGAGGGAGAGGAACAAGAGAATATTAAGTGTTTTAGGAGGCAATCAGAGAAATCATTTTCTTAATAAAATTCCCACGGGCGCTTGGAAATGAGTTCTGCTCTGAATGAGGGGCGATGGGATGCAAACATGTTGAAGGGCACTTCAAAAACGTAATCTTACAAATGTCTCATTTTAATCTATAGCGGCTGAGAAGGAATCTTGTAATTGACCTCTCAGGAAAAATAAACAGTTCTCCTCAGATTGGAGATAAAACTCATTTGAGAAACGGTCCCAACTGTGCTCTGACACATTTATCTGCGGTTCAGATACGGAGATTCAACTCTTTTTTACATTGTGTCACCTCTATCCGAGATCTGTTCAAATCCTTGACACAGTTTGATACTCACCGTTTTCTGGCTGTGTCTTTTTAAGTGAGTCCATCAAAGTGCTGATAGCTTTCAAGACAAAGATAATCTCTGTCACTTGTTGCCTGAAACAAATAAAAGCAGAGACTCTTTTTTTTTTTTAACCACAAAGACACATTTTGCATCAAACCTGTGGATGTAACAGTTAGAGGATGGCTCATATTTTATCTTAAAACAGTCAGTGCTGTACAGTCTTTATAAATGGTTCAGTTGTTTTATTTCAGCTCAGAGCAAACCCCCCAAAAATAGCTCAACCGTCCTCTAACATTGCAAGGATAAAAAGAGACATTTAATAAAGTGTTGAAAATCGGTGCCTTGTAGAACCCGTATTGGAGCTGATTTGTTAATTTGTAGATGTTGTTTTTAGTGGCTAATGTAGCCTGAAGCTGCTTGTGACAGCTAGCATGAGGTTACGAGATCTAGACGGCTCTCATGAGCCACAAAAGGCTCGATTCAACTTGATGCACATGGTTGATGGGAGGATACAGTGTGATTTGTCATATTTGAAAATTGGATGCATGATTGAAGGACACAGTTTTGTTCTAATATTGCAGGTCGAATAGACTAAAGGTCCTTACACACCAGGGCCGACGCGAATACAGAACGTGAACTTACGAAATATTCAGAGGTGAAATTTGACGCGCCTGACTATACACATCAAGCCCGATGTGATTTTGCGACTTTCCGGGGGAAAAAAAAGACACATCCCGGGGAAGACTTTTCCCAGGGAAAGTCCTGTCTCCTTCGCCTCTGATTGGCTAGAAAAGCTGGAAACGTCATCACACGCTCAAGCCAAATGGTCAGCACTTATAGCCAATCAGAGGCGAGAAGATACGCACATGAAACTTTAATAACAACCGTTAGCTTATGTTAGCACAGATGAAAGACGTTTAGCAAACTGTTAAAGCACACAAACTATCGTCCGACGCTATGACTTCCCACAAGTTGTCCTTCAGGTCGTTATCTTTGTAATATTTGTGTTTTTATCATAAAAGCACTCTGTTCTCCAACACGTTAACAATCAGCCGGTCGGCCATGTTGGATAGACCGGTGAATCTGACGTCGCAACAACACTAAATCTGATTGGTCAGAAGTGGACACACAGTATGCGAAACTTTAGAAAAATCGACTAAGATCCAAAAAAATAAACGTTGCAATATTGCAGGATGGGGAAACGTCGCTGATGTGAACTCTTGTATTGACAGGATACGGGTTCGAAAAAAAATATTGACGTCTGAAATAATTGCACGACAGAAACAGTCCCGCTGTGAAAGGACCTTAAAAGCTACATTTTTCTTAGTATTCCTTTCTAGAATTACGAAAAACTATTGTTTAAACTTCTGCTCCGATAGTATTTGTGTTCATTTTATCTCTAATAATGAACTGGGCAGGGGTGAGAGTGGTTTTTGTGTTTGAGATTTAGAGGATATTCTTGTGTATTTACTGTATATGGGTTTTTGCACAAATATGCATAAATGTACGTACATGCTTAGAGTGTTATGTCACTGATTTATATCCTCAAAAAACACGAGTTGCAGAAAAAAATAGTACATAAAATTACCAATGTGACTGTTGTCATGTTTGCTTTTCAAATTCAGATGTTTCACATTCATACATATTCAACATGACGTATTTAGGCTTCTATAATGTTTGTAAAAAATCTCAGTCACCTTAAATTTGCTGTAAATGTTTAAATTCTGATTTGTCCTACTTTGTGAACTGCCCCCACTCTGCCTTTGCCATTTTCTGTATCAACAAACAGTACAATGTCCGCCTCGGGCCTCCCTCGATTCTGTTGTTTCTTAAAAAAGCGTACTGCAGACTGAAATGTGGGGCCAGCTTTTAAGTAGAGCGGTTTCATGCTGGTTTCTAAAAACAAAAACGAAATATGTCGGATGCAGAGGTTAAGCTGATGTTGTTTTGGTTTTGTGTTCCTAAATGTCTCAGTGATAAAAGCGTCAGATCAATTCCAGAGTTTGTTTGGGAGAAACCTGACCCAAAAAAAGGAACATAACCAATCAGGTATTTTACAGGTACAGGGTCTTACTCAGAGGTGTACAGTGGGTTGTACCTGGGCAGGGGGCAGCGTCCGCTCAACCTCTCATCTTCTACGTAGCGTCGCAAAACGTCCTGGGATCTCTTGAGGAGCACGGACAGCGCCATGCGGGAGATGTAGCCCTCTTGAGGGGTGGACACCTTGTTGCTGAAGGAGAACTGCAGCAGCGTCTCGAAACACACCTTGGAAAAATCCTCCCTCATCCTTACGTCGATTTCTGCCTCTGTCAAAATAGAAACCACTCTCATGTTTGACATTTTGCTGACGCCAATTGCCGGAGTGATTTACGACGAGTGGACAGATGGGGCTTTACTGTCTTGCTCAACACATGAAGCTATTGTTGGTGATGAGCCACAGGGAGGAACTCATCAAACAAACAAGGACTTAATGGTTTCAGTATGATCCCCAAACTTGGACGCTCTCAAAAGAAGTACGAGTAAACAACAGCTCCAGTCCGATTATTTTATCTATTATCGCTGTGTATGTTACCTGTAAATGAGGGAGACTGGGAGTGAATGGAGCCTCGATTGAGCATGGCCATAATCTGGCCAACAAAGTCTTTGGGGATGAAATTGGCAAACGGCAAAATCTCTGTGCTGATCAGCTGGACCACCTAAAAAGAAAAAGACACAATGATGACATTTGCTGCCTCCAAACTCATTTCAAAAGGCTGGATGCTCGAAGCGTGGATTTACCTCGACATCAATGGCTTCATTCTTCTGAAACTCCTGGATGGAAAGGTTATCAGGAGGTGTGCTATAAATGGAGAAACAAACAGCTCGGTACTCAGAATTTCATAATTGTGCATTTGACGACGGTGATGATTTGTATTCTGAGTTTATTTATTCGTACCTTTTGGTAAAGAGGAAGTCTTCGAAGGCGTTGGCTAGCTCTGGCCACATGGTGTCGAACTTTCCAGATGAGGCATGCTGGCGCGCAACGGGAAGTCCGATAGACAGAACCTTGAGCAGAGACGAAACGGCGAGCTTCCAGGTGCTCTCTGATGGACAGGCATACTTCAAACCCAGGGGCATTCGTAGAGTCTGAAGGGTGAAGAGGATAATAGAAAGAGAAAACAACAATCAATCATGAGAGGAAAACAGATCGAATCTCAAAATCCCTCATCGTCTTCTTTCTTTCACAAAAATGCAAAAAACTTTAACAGCGATAGGCGGTGGTGCTTTCCAAGTTTCTTTTCACAAAATCAGAAAAAAAGTCAACAACTTTCTCTCAGAGCAGCTGAGTTCCCCGAGGTTTAGACTTCAAGAAGTGTTGCCTTAATGTTTTGGAGACAAAAGAGGGTTGAGGCCAGATCTGGAGTCATCCGCAGGGAAACGGCAAAATTGTTCCTTCGAAAATTAGAGCTTACGGGAAAAGAGCAGTTAAACACAGGTGTCAGAAACTGAGAGCAACACAAGACTCAGAATCAGCTGTGGGAGATTTTTCCTCATAATGACAGATGATGAAATATTTACTCCATGTGAGATGCATGAGACTCGGCTCCTGTTTTAGTGTTTAATGGTTCATATTTAGTTATTTGTTTCTATTGTTTTTGAATTAGTTTTTAAAAACACTGAAACTATATTTTATTTTTTAATATCTGCTTTTATTTTATCCATTGTTTTAATTGTTTTTTTATGTCTGCGTTGTTTTGTCTATTTATGTACAGCACTTTGTGCAGCTGTGGTTGTTTTAAAGTGCTTTGGTACTTAAATTGCGTATATTATATATAGCTTTATTTTCTTCTCCCTTTTTCCTTTTTTAAAATTTTTTCTTAATTATTACATTTATTTAAGTTCTTAATATTATGATCTTTATTTTTATAACTGCATTTTTGCACTCTATGTCTGTGATGTTGCTGTGGCAAAATAATTTCCCCCATGGGGCATCAATAAAGGAATATTTTATTCTATTCTTTTGAGTTGAGCTGAGATGTGCTGTATGTCTCACGCTGGTGCTGTCATGTCAGTGTTACGTGACGTAAAAGCATTTTTTACTAAAATCATTACCATACAGCACATGCAAAGAAACTCCTGAGTGTGATATTTAACAACCGCTCTCTTGTAAAACAGCTCACTCACAACATTCGACTCATGAACTCTCCTTTCATTACAATACAAGGTTCTTAGAAGACAGAAAATAATTACAGACAAAAAAAAGAAAAGGTTGATCACTATTTCATATCCAGATTACTGATGTGTGTGTGTGGGGAGGGGGCAACAAGCTTTCATCACAGCTCTGACATATTGACACTGGAGAAAACCGATCAGTCATGCATGTTAGCAAACACTGGCTCATTCAGGCTTCTAGGAGACAAGGACCAATTGTCTATCACAAGAGGATGATGAAAAAATTCTAATCCATTTGAGATAGATATAATAATTCTCTCTGTTATTGATGTAAAGGCAGTAGTTAGAGTGAGTCGAAGAGAAAATCAACACTCTAAATCTGCCTTGTTAGAAAGAAAATCTGCTGCTTTTACATAACTGGTGGGTTTTACTTGTAGCACTAAGAATTTGTAATTCATGTCTTTATGCATCGAAAACCCCTGAGTGAAAATAAGCATCCATAGCTATTATAAAACCTTGTTCAGAATGACTTTTTTCGCCCAGCTAAATTCAAGTTTCCCTGGGCTGTGTGAGCTATCAGCTAACTTTCAGATTGATTTATGTCTGAGCTTTCTGACCCTGAACCAACCTCCTGAAAACTACTCATAACGAATGCTCTCAGAGCAGTGAGCTACAAAATACGTCTACCGCTTCTTACTTTTATTGCTACCTAATCTCCTTTTTTTTGTTCCTGGACAACAGAGAATTGCGAAGCCTGGAGAGGAAGAGACTGAAGTGCAAGACTGCAGAGGGGGACATCTCCAGCCTGATTATAGATTACAGGCAGCCAGCAGTCAGCAAGTGAGCTGGCAGCAAAGGTGACAAAGAGAGAGAAAAGAGAGCAGGGACGGAGTTGTTTTATTGAAGTCGAGTGTCAAGACTTGGGTGTGTATATTTGTAATTGATCGGATATGCATTTTGTCACTATTATCCAAGTAAAACCTGCTCGCTTTGCACCAAGTGTTAGGTTTGCTTTTTTAATATTTAATTGATTAAATTTCAAAGACGAATTAAAGTTTAGTTTGGATATTTTGATTTAGGACAGAAAGATTGAAAAACTCCTTTGTCCTTCATGCCATCAGATATCTGGGGAGTTTCCATTGTAACTTTATTCTTCATAAACATTGTACATTTGATCAGTCTTTTTTCTTTTCTGTGATTACGCTGCTGGAATTTTAATTTCCTTTGGGGAACTTTCACTAAAGGATAAATAAATTTGCAACGTTGTTAATAAGTTAAACATATGATCATAAATATCATAGTTAGAAAGTGTTTGTTAATTTGGTTGATAGGGGCTCTAAATATGACCAAATTTAAATGCGATCTCCATAAGAACACCTTAAACCTGCACTTTCACATTATAGGTACAGGTAATTGGATTGTCTTGTGATAAATTTCCTAAGTTTGTCCACAGCTCCATTAAGTTTACTGGAGGAGGTGGGGTTTATGACCTATACTGCAACCAGTCACAAGAGGGTGCTGTTTTCACACAGGCTTCACCCAGCGAGGAGGCAGACGATATCCATTTCTACAGTCTATGGTTGTATTGCATTGTGTTTTATCCCATTATATCATATTATATTGTATCAGACCATGTTGTATTGTATGATTTTGTATTGAATCATATTGGATCAAATCACATCATATCAGATTGTATTTTGTGTACCGCACCATATTATATCAGGTCGTGTCGTGTTTGATTGGATCAGATCACATCTTGTAGTGTTGAATCACATTGTATTGTTTTGTATTATATTGTACCATATTGTCTTGCATTGTGCGGAACCATATCGTATTGTATCTTATCATGTTATACGTCATAAGTGAAATCCCTCCCTGTAAGGTTTACTGGAAATTTCACTCTAAACTTAGCAATAAAACAGCACCCCTTTTTTGACAGCAGCAGTCTGTGAAAAGTCCTGTTAGTAAAACAAAACTGTCTGCTCTTATTGGACACTCAAAAACATAAACGCAAGCACAGATGGGACTAAATGTGTCTTAAAAATGAATCTCCATTCACTGCCAATCATCATATTCGCTTTTTTTATCATGGGAAACAAATTTTCTGTCATTCCTGATTGAATTACCTTGATGATGTTCTGCAGGACCTTCTCATTGATGACAGCCTTGTGACATGCTGTTTTATGGTACAGGTCCACCACCACCTCCAAGGAGCGCTCAGCAAAGGGCACATAGTTTAAGGCAACCCATTCGGCCTGAAGGATTTAACGGGAGAAACAAAAAAAGAGAGAAGACATAAATTTAACAAAACGACAACCACTATGCCTTCTTGTTGACAGTCACGATAAAAGCCGTTTTTAAAGACACACTTTGTAAGATCACGCACCGACATTCACGTCAAAGATCCAGTTACAGTTTCAGGATTGTTAGGTTGATTAGAGGACATGGCTCATTTGATGCCACAAAGTGTGTCTTTAAGGAAAAAAATCACACATGTGCACCAAAAACACAAAAAAAAATCAACTGAAAGAAATCAAACTGCACAGGGACTGTGCACACAGAGGCATGACCACTAGTTAGTGGCAGGCAGAGAGAGAGGGGAGCATGGAGTGAGTGAGAGACGCAGATGAGAGGTGAGAGCCTGCCGTGCGGTGTGACGTCTCATCCACCGCACAGAACGGGTCGTCACCATTCAGCACAGCTTAGTAACACTAAAGAGAAAAGGGGGAGTGGGGAAGTGGGGGCTGAAGGAGATGACACAACTCACCGGTGCAAACAGCTGGATCTAAAATGGTTATCCAGTGAGTAGTCCCGAGAAACAGAATGAGAAAGGATATCGCAATTAAACTGGTGTCGTGTGAGCTGAGCTATGAATAAGATTCAATCAAGATTGCTTTAGGGAAGAAACTTGATTTCACTCGTAGCACCAAGAACATCTAAAAACACAGGGGATGAAAGCCATCAAGGCATTAAGGACCATTAGAAACATCTGTTTGGCAGGTGGGGGGTTTTCTTCGACCCTTTTTTTAAACAGTTTCAACAGGTTCAGAACAACAGAGCTGTCCAGTTGAAGGATGAATCTCGTCCCGCAGGCAGAACTAACAGATTAACCAGCAAGATTTGAAACACAAATTTTTAAGCTCTTACATTTTTAAAGCATAACAGCACCAGCCTGTCAGCGTTTAAGCAAAACAACTCCCATCCTCTCCTTGAAGGCAGAACACATGCTGGACTTTAAAGGTTTAAAAAAAAAACCCAGAAAGCCCCCTGATATCAAAACGACATTGTGTGTTAAGTCTTGTTTGAACTCTAATGAATGAATTCATTCGGCGAGTTCAGTGGAAAAACCTTGTTTTGTGTTATTTGTAAATTCGTTTCAACTGTGTTTGAACTGGAAATTTGCAAAACATTCCTTTCTGTGCGCCGCCGAGCAAGGAGAATCATGACGCAGGGAATATGACAGAGAGATGACTTGAGGCGATCAATGAAGATTCAGAGGAACCCGTCACTCTCATAAAGGGACACAATAGGAGATTCATTAGAGCTACACCCATAGAGGAAGGGTGGGTGGGTGAGTGGGGGGCTTCATAAACATCACAGAAGACGGATGATCTTTTTAAGAATGGCTGAAGAGAAAAGGACAATGAAAAACAGAGTACAACATCCAACATTTTTATGAAACAATCAGTAAAAAGACATAAAAAAGAAAGAAATACTGCAGTGTTTCAGTCTCACCCCCCTACCTGGTTATATTTGGCGTTGGCCACGTGTTTGGTTTCCATCCTGCCGTACTGAGGAGGCTTGCAGGAGAACTCCACGAAGAGTAGCAGCTGTTCAAAGATGGCCGGGTACATGACCTGCAGGTTCTCCGGGCCCACACAGATGGCCTGCAGCAGGGAGGGAAGGCAGGAACAAACACTGCTGACATCCACCACGGGATTGCACATTGCATAATTTAACAGACTGACACATTGTTTCCTGAGCTAAGAAGAGACAATATGAAGAAAAATCGTCACGGTTGACAGGATGACTAAGGGTCAGCATATCTCATATTCATGTTAGAGGACCATTGTTAAACAAAATCATCGTCCAAATTACAAATATTAAGAAAGGAAAATAGTTTGGCAACTTGGACGAACAACTCCAAGATGTTCCTTACAATTTTTTGGCACTACAAAGACTAAACTACAGAGCCCAGGAGGTGAAATTAACTGTTTTTTTTTGTAATTCACACATGTGATTTAGTATCTCGAATGTGCATTTTATATGTATCTTGCAAATGCATTTTTGTAAATAATCCCTTGTGCGCCTTATTTGTGAGAGAAGAAGGACAGTGTCATGGACAGAGAAATTATTATCAACATTTTCTTTCATTTAGGTAAGACTCACAATGAGATACTTCATAGCTCAGCCACATTTGGTGTTGTTTTGAGTACGACACACCTCATCAGCGTCCTTAAAGCACAGCGACTTTGCTGTTGGCGATATTCCGACTTGCAGGAAATGATTATGGTTCTTAGCGAACAGTTAAATCACACCCGCAATATACTAAAATGCATGTACGGGATATTAAATCGCACATGCAAACTTTTAAAAAAAAGTTAACGTCACCTCCCAGTTTCCATACTAAACAGTTCAATTTTCATTACCTGTAACTCGTAAAGACACTCTTGTATTGGGATAAACTCAATCAAGATTAAATCTGGAGACATTTTTGGAAGGATTTTCAATTTTTGACCCTCAGAGTCAACATGAACCAACGTGACTAAAACTTTTGTGCCATTTTGTTTGTTACATGATGAAGAAAGATATTAGATATGCTGTTTGCAGGGTGCCAGTTTAGCTCAGTGGTTAAAGTTCATCCTTTTTGCAGAGGCTGTGGTGCTCACCACAACGGCCTTCATTGATTGCAACCTCTGGCCCTCAGCTGCATCTCACCCTGACTACTAGAGGTGGGAGAAAAAATCGATACAGCATAGTATCGTGATATTTTGTCCGGTGATAAATTGTATTGTCTCTTTCACCAAGTATCAATTTTACAAATAAATTGCTAATATGAAGTCAAATCTATGATAATGGAAAAATAAAATCAAATGTTTGTCCAGTGAGGTCGGTAGAGGTGAAATCATAGAGCAGGAGAAAGTTAGTGTAACAGATATATATAAGGTTTGCAAGATGTGCTACATGAAAATAAAATACAGCATAAATGAGACAAACATAAAGGGAAGACAAATGCTAAATTAGCTAAATGGTTGAAAAATTGTATAAATCGCAATATATTGTATCGCAATACTCACTGTATTGCAAAATGTTAAAAATCACAAAAATATTGTATCGTGGCTCAAGTATCGTGATAATATCGTATCCTGGGGCCACTACTGATTCCCACCCCGACTGACTACCTCCTTCCAAAACTACCCATCTCTCCTTATCCGTCTTGTCGAAAAACGACAAAATGACCTGAAAAATAATTCTTTAAAACACTCTTTTCCTCAGATAATTTCGTCACCCACCTTCTGCAAAACATCCAGGGCTGTGAGAACAGCCTCCTGCAGGCTGGTGAGCACGGCCTCAGTGTAGGAAGGGAGGATGAAGGGCGAGGCGTCGCTGCTGATCGGCACGGAGACGGCCCCGTGGAGGATCACCCCCAGCTTCTTCAGATCTTCCATACTGAAGTTGGTCTTAATGTGCTGGTAGAGAGCTGGGAAAATCTGGATCAGCGCCGTGAGGAAGGGCTGGCTGGGGATGAAGGAGAGCTTCTCCGTCGCGCCACTAGGTGGCCTCGTGCTGTCTGTCCCAGTTCGATACCACGTGTTCCACGCCGACCACCACAATGCAGAGTCTTCTAAGGCTGACTCCTCCCCTGGGGGAGGTGCCTGCATCTCTGCGCCATTGTATCGCGTCAGGCGCTCGACTAGCGAGTCCGAACGTACCAGAGGTCTACCAGGACCAGACGCTGAAAGAGGGTCAATGAGCACTGCAGGGACACCCATAGCGGCGAGTGCATCACCTGCTTTATCAGAGTCTTTGACAGGAGTGACGATCTGTAAGATTTCTTGAAAGCTCTTGAGCGCAGCCAGGGAGACTTCATTGTTTTTGCTGAGAGCAGCCGACTGGATGTGGTTCAGCAGCACCTCCCAGGCCTCGAAAAAGTCACCTGCAGACACACAGCGGAATGACGGGAGAGCGTGAGACTGCCAATTAACAGCGTGTGTCAACTGTAATTAAAATGAGACAATTAGCACTTTAATATGTGAAACCAACATGAGGTAAATAACAGAAGTTCGAAGACACTGCATGTAGAGAGCTATCACCAGAACTGTGGGTGTTAGTGGTAACTGACACGATTATCAGTTAATGAATTTTCACATAAATATCATCTTATAATATCAGGGATTATGTTAGAGAAATTTCTGCCTACCTGATATCTTAGATTTAATGGAATCTCTGATATTAACACCCTTTAAAAATGAAACCACATGCTCGTCCTGGGTTCAAATAAATCAACATTTGTGATCATCCGCTCTAAAAAAAGAGAGACCACCCAGCTTGTTGCTGATGCACAAACACCAGAATCTGTGACAGTGTGGAGATTTATTAGTGCCCTTAGCACAGGTAACTTGCACATCAATAGGGCTGTATTCAACCAAAGAGATAGTTGGTCGACTAAAACCCTGAAATTTTCGACCAAAAATTCGACCAATCGGGGCGGGTGGGGGGCGACTCTGATGGCAAACCCTTCTGCGGCGGGGACAATGTGGTTTGGCAGGGTGAAAATATACTGATATCAGCACAAGAAGGCAATTAAACACAAATACTATAGTCTGCAAACCACATTCGACGGGAGAGTCGCTGGGATGACGCTCGGCTGGGTGAGCTACACAATCTTTGTACGCCCACAGGCTGTATCAAGTGTCAATCATACAGAACATGAATCCATAATAACTTTTAAAAATGGAGCTGCACAGAAAAAAAGAGGACTTGAGCACAAAGCAGTCTTAGAGTAACTACATGTCAACATCACAAGCAGGGGGGAAAAAAATTATATTCTGTGTAGTTTATTCCTAAAGTTTGTCCACAGCTCCATAGGGATTGCTGGAGGAAGCAGGATTCATGACCTATACTGCAGCCCGTCACCAGAGGGTGCTGTTCTCGGAATGGCTTCATCCAGCGAGGAGGCAGACGGCGTCCATTTTATACAGTCTATGATGCAGACACAAGGTTTGCGAGAAAGACCCTCATATCTCAGCAAGGCAATGTCAAACCACATTCTGCATGTCCAACAACTAGTCAGAGAGTCCGAGCAGTAATCTGACCCGACACCTGACTCGTCATCCACTGCGAAACTGAACGAAAAAGACCATAAACCACTGGGTGAAATCAGGTGAGAATCTGACAACATTCCACCTGCAAAACCCAGAAAAAAAATACTCTCCTCTGTTTCACGGAGTGTTGTCAAAAGAAGAGGTGATGCAACACTGAGTAAACACGTCTCTGTCCCTTCTTCTTTGAAACATGATGCTGGCATGACATTTAAAATGAGCAGATGGTTTTCATAAACAATAAAAGTTCAGACATTGTCAGGCTGTCTTTGCTGTATTTTCAGTTAAATATGAATTTTGCATCCATGATAGAGTATCGTATACCACAACTTAGTGGGCGAGCTTCTGTTTTTCAGGGGGTGAATAAGACTAAATTCCCAGTTGCTCTTTTCTGTAGGAAGGTGGTAGGTAATTAATTATGGTATCAGTTCTTGGCATTGACTTGTGTGCTTGCTGCGTAGGAGGCATTTCCTATACTTCTATTATCAGTTCAATCCTAATCCAATAACAACGATATTGCCTTGCCAGCAACACTTACTCACTGTATCTGGGATGTATTTAGAAAGAGCAGCTCTCCTCTTTAAGTAGGGTTAGTGATGTGTTGTAGATTGTGAGTTACCTCTTGTGATTTGGCACTGATTTCAATGTTTAAAGGGGTGAGAGCAGACAATGATGAGCTCATGTTTTATTAGTCATATTTTACCGGAATAAAAAAAATCAGATATGAGCCTGTAATCCATCAAAGTAGACTAACGTGGCTCACCTAACTGCTGTAGGAGATACCGCCTCGTGTTGAAGATACGTGCCACCCCAGCTAGTGTCAAAACCCACGTCTCGGCCCACTGTTTCTCAGCTGTGTCACGAGAATGGTGGATGAGGATGTTCCCACCACCGGACTCGATTTTCTCCTTGTCGGCCGTGGTGGATGACGTCCGCACACAATCCAGGAGGTGGAAGAGTACCTAGTGACGACAAAGAGGAGTTTTTGATCTCCTTGTTTTTTCTTCTGCGAAAAAAATGAACTAAATGACAAATTTCCTCATTCCACTTACCTTCCAGACTACAATATGCCACGTCGGTTGCTGCAGCAGGGTCCCATGGGCAGCAATGGTGGAGAACAGCGTCTGCCCAGCGCTTTTTCGCACAGCAGGCCGTGGATCCACACACAGCTCGCCCAGCTTGGCGTACAGGCACAACCACAGGCAGTCGAAAGGAGGGGCGGGGTGGAAGGGCCTGTTCAGGGTCTCTCCTTTCTCCATTGCCTGTTTTTGCTGAGCCTCCTCCTCCCTCTCCAGCTCCTGTGTGATGGCTTCTCCCCTTTGGAAGAAGTAGTCCGAAATGTTCCACTGTGGGGAGAAAAAAAAAAAAGGGAGAAGGAAGAGGGGGTAGGGAGTGTGGAGAGCAAGGTTGGTAAAACGCTTCTGGCAGTTTTGCTATCCTATTACCATAAAGTAATCTCACAGGAACTGCCACACTCCAAGGGAAGTAATCCTGTAAACCACAGATCGATATCAGGTTTTGCATGTCCTGAATACTGTGTAAAGTATCTGGGAGATGTCAGCGGAGTGGTTAAGTGCAGTTAAATTAGATCAAATAAGGCAAAACAAGGAGTTATATATGTTATTATAAAGGTGTAATCATTTTAAAGATACTATATTTTAGCTTTTAAAGTATTGAAAAAGAAAAACCTCCAACCTGTCTCTCCCTCACAGATAATCCAGTTTCAACAAGACTCAAGAAAAGGCAAGGCGCTTCTTTTATTCATCGTTCCTTTTTAAAAAATATACATAAATATTTTACATGAGCATTGCTCTACCTCCTCATAGTAACACACACTCACTCATGAGAACTGACAGACTCCTGCCCTCTTATACATGGGTTGATGACGTAATAACTTTTTCTGCAAATCATCATGTGAGAAGAGGAAATATCACAAGACAAAACATTTGTTCTCCTACCAGCAGGCCGATGGAAGTGAGGCTGATGTTAAGCTCCTGGTTCTGAAGTCCAAAGCTGCCGGCTACATCCACGACGATCTGCAGGCACGTGCAAGGCATTGTGGGCAGGAAGTCCGTCACCACCAACTGCAGGCACTGAAAGGCTGTTCGGATCAACGACTCCCTAAAGGGACACAAGACACATGACATCGCTTCAGTTCAGATCCTCTAAAAATTTGGATTGAAACTAATGCAATAACTCAAATATAGTCTGTGTTTGTATAAAACGTGAAAAAACAATAACAGGAAACCTAAAATAGTAAAGCCCTGACTCTTTAGGTCTTACCCTTGATCATTGCGGATGGCTCCTATGACACCCAGAACCAGGGGCCAGCCAGGTCCAAGGCTGTCTCCCTGGCTCTGGAGGATCTGCAGGACGCTCTCCAGCTGCTTCTGCCTGATGTCTGCGTGCAGTATGTTGGACAACTCCTTCAGGGGGTTCAGCAACAGAAGCTGCAGCCGCTACAGGGTTGAAACAGGGGGATTATACCTAGTTTATGAGATGATAGACAATAACCTGTGGAGATGAAATGCTTACTCTGTAACCGAGGTTGTAGAAATTGTTTTTTAGTTTGTTTTCATTCACATAGTTTGTTCAGTTCTGAGCATCTTTTTGCCTTTAACTTTTTCTGTGCCCTCTACAGATGTTAAGAGTTTTAGTCCAATGTTTTTTAACCTTAGTCGTTACGTTGAGATTCAGGGACATATGACCATGAAAAGTTATCCATGCTATTTTCAATTGACTGTATTCATCTGCTGTTTACTTTGAGCTATGTTATTTGTACATACATCCATAAATTATGCCCTTAGGCCCACAGCTGTTGACTGTTGTTTTTTTAACCTTAAACAGAAGATTCCAGCTCATAGTGAAAGCATAAAAGCCTTTTTTTCTAATGCATGTTTAGTTAAAACATGGCAACACACAACCACTTTGGATATTGTGGTTTCAAAGGACTTCTTTGTCTGCATTCTGGACATATCATCAAGTCTCAAATAACATAGGTGGTCCTCTCATAGTCTTTATTATTGTCAATCACTGTTAATTTTTAAGTCTTTGTTTCTTTCGCCTAATTGCTCTAAATATCTTTGATATCTGCAAGTTTGATCTGATTTGTGTTTGATCTTGCTGATCTTCTTGCATTTTTAATCTTTTCTTTTTGCTGGATAATAATAATAATAATAATAATAATATAAAAATAAAAATAATAAAAATAAAATAATTAATAATAATAATAATAATATGTAGAGTAAAAAATAAAAAATAAATAAAACAATAATAATACTAATAGCAAAAATAATAATGGTTAAAAAAATAACAATAATAATAATAATAATAATAAGTTCAAAGTCATTGTTGGTGCTTTTGTCTCTCTGGGTTACTTATTCATAAAACACATATTCTCTCTCTCAATGATTTTAGTCCAGAGTAAAAGTATCACTTTCATAAGTGAGGAATAAAGATGCGTTAACACGATAGATTTAAAAAAATCAAAATAAAAGTCCAGCACACGATTGTTTATGAGGAAATGTCTACTAAGGTTTTGTTACACATCCAAAGATGTGGATTAATCTCAAATCTAAAACATCTAACATGTAAGTGAACTATATTTGTTAGGAAAATTTATGCTCTCACATAACTTCTGAATAATTTGTTCCCCCTTGTCTCAGTTTTACTTTGTGTTCTTTGAAATTTCCAGTTTTATATACATAAATACAGCGATAAAATAATTTATGTGATTTATGGCTACGGTTACTGTGAGGTGACAATACGATAATGTTTAAGCCCTACTTTTCATATATCATCTTTTTTTATTCCCATTGCTAGCATGATCTGTAAATCCTCTTTTTTCTTCTCGCCTTATCCATTTAAAGATGGTTGGATACTCTACATTAATTCTTTATCACGCAATATTGAAAGCTTGTAGACAGTTAACTAAATGTGTTGGTCCTTGGCATTTCTACAGTGCAGGCATCATTTTTTGTGCCTCTGTGCTTTTCTATTAACCTCCACTCAGTTCTGCTGCCCCTGCGTTTGATTCGCTCTGTGCCGTTCCCTTTATTTTTCCCTCTGAGGTGAAGGTCACAGACTGTGTGTTTGTGAGGGAAAACAGTAAGTGACTGTGACATTTATGTTTTCCTCGTTTTCAGCATTCAACACACTCTTATCTATCATGACATACGCTGAAACAGAAGAGGAGAGTTCTCAAATGTCAGGCACATTTTAAGTAGTGAAACAAAACATCTACTGGATACAATACTTGTGTGTCCCTGCGACGATTGTATCGTAGAGCAAGGCTACGAGAGTGGAGGAAATGAAACAATTGTTTACACATTTTCAAAATAAAGCCCCCTGTGGTAGATCTTCTTTGTTTTGTTTTATGTTTCTGTGTAACTGCAGACAGCTGTAGTGTTATCTACCTGGTTCTGGGCCAATGGAGGGTCATGCTTGTACGCCAGGCCAGCTTTGATAAGAGCCGTCAACGCCTCCGCCCCCCACTCTCTCATCCTGGAGTTTGGGTGTTGGCAGACCTGCAGGAACACATCACACAGACACACAAATGCAGACACTTGCAGGCGATGACAGATCTGATGCAGAGGCTGTTCAGTGCTCCCAGCTGTGGTCAGAGTGGGTGGGTGTGAAATGAGTGGGTGAAATAAACTCTAGACTGTGTGATAGAAACTGGGATCCCCTGTGATGACAGGATACATTGTGACAGACAGTGTAATCATGGCTGATAGTACAATATAGATACACATGGAGAGGCCAGGCTCAACAGAGACACATATATATAAATATCTACTCATATTCTGAGCTCATGGTTGATCTAAATGAATCATTTTAGGTCTATGGGGAAGTTTCTCAAGCATATTTTTACACTTAGTGTAAACAGAAAACTTTGTTTTGAGAAAAAACTGGTCTGCTAAGTACTCAAAACAGGGTACTGCTCCAAGACCCGGATGGTCCATGTGTCTCTATACAATATTTTGGCTTTAACAGTCCTGCATGATCATCAGTGGCTCTTAATCTTTATCAGAATTTTTCTCTCCAAATAAATACAAGGTGGCGCCAATGTAGGGCTGGGCGATAAACTGAAAATTTACAGATACTAAAATTTACATCAATAACCGATGTCATGTTGGCCATATCGGCATATTCAGTGTCGAAAAAATAAATAAATAAAAGTTGGTTTTGGATGTGTGTAGGTAGGCTATGGTCTCATGTCCTTTTAAGACGCTGTCCTACATCGGAGACGTGACTCCACCCCATCTAGTCCGTAACAAAGAGGGAAAGACAGATGAGGAGATGGAGAACGGTTCAAAAGTTGTCGCTGCTGGAGACAGAGATAATGTGGGAGTGGGTGAGCAGCTTGCGGAGTAGTTATCGTTTATTTATCGTTATCGAGGTGAACTGCTCAATATACCATGATTGATTTGAGGCCATATCGCCCAGCCTTACACCAATCTCAGTTTTCCTTCGACACGTAAAAGCACTGGATCTGAATTTGATCAAGCCTGCAACAACAGGTAAGCAGCGTTTAATCTGAGCATGAAGTGCACTTTGCAGGTTCAGCTTTAGATTGAGGTTCTCAGACAATCAGATAGCAAATCACATGGAAAATTTTTGCATGACAACATCAGGAACAACGAAGGAAAATGCACTGCGGACACATTTTGACACAGCGACCTCTCAACTCCAACATGTTGATGTCAGGCTGGGAGGAAAAAGAAAACAAAAAGAAAATACAGGGAAAAGCCGATGATTATGAGGGAGAGAATCTGAGCTTACCTTCTGCAAAACAGACAGGAGAGCGAAAAAGAGGGGAGATAGACAAAGAAAATGTGAAGAAAACCTCCAAACACACTTTTCTACACTCTAATACAAGGAAAATTACCTCAATGTTATTGTACAAAAACAACCAAATCCAAGTTAATTCATTTTCTTCTTAATTTTTCTTTAAGTGTACGAAATGTGAAACACAAATAATTAATCGGCATTGATCTTAAATGTTTAAGACTTTCAGCCTTACTGCTCATTCAGCTTATTTCCTCCCTCAGAGCTGACCGACTGAATCAGGTTTTCATCAAGCCGGTGCTGCTTACAGCTTTAACTTAATGTCATTTGTTCCTTAGAAGCTTTTTATGCTTCAGACTTCATGAGAAATCGCATTGTTAGATCCTTTTAATGGGCAGCATTTAGATCCAAAGATTTCCATGATGTTCCTCATTAAATCATCAGACTGGGAAAAGTGACTTACCCTTACTGAACTGACACAAGTATTCATTTCTAGCTGAAATTTAAAAGATCAGATTTTTTTTGTACCATTTTTGTTCTGGGTAAGGTCTGCTCAGTCTTTGTGGTAACACAAAATGCACTTTGAGAGTTATTTCAACAATGTTTCCCTTTGAACTTTGTTAGCAATCATCTGTAAGTGAGTCTTAAAGATTTGAGGTGAAGACGTTTCAAATCAGAGGTCTATATCTGCAAGATACACAGCATATGTTCGATGCATCCTTGAATGGACGTTACCTCCAATAAGTGACCAGTAAGAGGTCTCCACAGGATCTCAATACGATCCATGTTGACAAGGCCGGTCTCGAGCAGCTTGGCCACAGCAAACAGAGATGGCTCCTGTAACAAAAAACATGTAATAATGACATGATAAATATAAGTGACATTAAAAAAAATACAATACTGAATGAAAACCAATTAAATTGTGAGTGTTCACCTTGTTGTTTCCATAAGCCATTTCCATAGCTTCCAGTGAGAGGGAACAGAGAGCGTTGATCAGGTGATGTAGGGACACATCATCCAAGTATCTGTATCATGATAAAATATCAAAACCTGAATACACAGCCTTTACATCTCAATGATATTGATTCATTACTGGAAATAAAGGACTGGTCTTTACTGGGAGCTCTCAAACAGTCGAGACAGGATGTTGGAGATGACGGGCAGGTCTGTCATCACTGCTGTGGTCAGCACCTGTGTAGGTCACACACACAGTAACATCCACTAAGTCCAAAACAATACAGACCAAATGTACTGGACAGTGATGCTGCTTCAAAACAGGAGCTGTAAATTGTGAATACGCATTAAAACACATAAAAAGACTCACTGTGCTGGGTCCCTCCACAGCTCGGCCAGGCTTCAGGGCACCACCCACCCCAGGTTTCAGCCCCAGGATCCAAACTAAGTGCTGGAAAAGAAGAGTGAGGAGCTGATGACTCAAATACAGACAGACTACCAAATACTGATAATTATTTGTCCTAAATGAGAGGAGATGCAAATGAGTTATGACTCATAACACATGTTTTTGTTTCAGTATTTCTAGAGCTTACACTGAAAGCAATTAGACATTTGATAGTGAGGTTATGAAAGATATTTCCTGCATGCCATGTATTTTCTCATACGCAATAAAAGCCTAAAAACGACAGAAACTTATATTTGAAATATTGACAGACTAAAAATATATTACATATTAATATCTACATTTTCTCTGGTATAAGACCTCAATAATGAGCAATAATAACATTTCAGTTTCCGTTTGTTTTTGTTGTTGTTGCTTAAATTTTTTCTCAGTTTTTTTCCTTTTGATCGACTAGTGTACTGTGTGCCTGAGAGTCAATCAATCAAATCTTTTGAGTGTACTTTTGAGTGTACTTATTTTTCTATGTTTGCTGTTAGCGCTGCAAATTTCCTCACCCTAGGATGAATAAAGGTTTGTTTTATCTTATCTGATCTTATCTTGTAGTTGTATGCATGTTAGAGACATGAGACATATATATATATACACACTGTGTCCTGTCTCATTTGACTAGTTTAATTTGATCAGATTTGTGCAAATGTGTTGTTGTTGTTGTGTGTTGTTGGGAGTGAGCATGTGGTACCAGGTGGCAGTTGTACCTGCAGTGTAGCCAGCACCAGCTGCCAGGAGGTCCCCAGCACGGCCCCGTGGCAGTGAGCCAGGTTCAACAGGGTTCGCATACACTGGATGTTCTTGGCTGTCAGCTGGTAAAGAGAGAAAGAAAGAGAGAGGGGGGCAGTTAGATTATTGCACAATGTAAAATGTTTGTCATCAAGCTTTTGGATTGTAAAAGGAGTTTAAATCATGCCAGACTGGGACACTTATTTAGTTGTTTTGCTCAAAAATCTCATTAATCTTACACCAGCATCTGTGGAAACCCTCCTTTCAGCATTATTCAACCTCTGCCTAAGTGCTTCATTTGGTTGCTTTTCCAGTGATAAACTTACTTGTTGATGTTTCTTTTGACACAGCTTTATATTCAAAAAACAAAAGCTTCCCATTAAACATTCACTATCATAGATCGGCTACTCTTACAAAGTTACTTACAGCTTGTAGTTCAAGCATGCATTACAGTCTGTATGAGACAGTCCCGGGTTTCAGTTACAGTTGAGATACAGACCTGGCTCATACTGCTGTTGTTTACAAAGGATTCATGAGTAAAGTGATGGGCATGAACAGCTACATGGTGCCTATTGATTTCCTGAAAACATCAAAACTACCAACTGTTTTCTGGCGTCCTCAGCTTTGGAAAAGAGAGAAAAGCTGTGATATTCCCGTCTACTTCATAAACAAACATAAAGAGGGTGAAGTATGAGGAGAATCTTTCAATATAACTCACTCCAGTACACCAACTCTTATTACAAGTCAAGTTATTAATTTGAAGAACTGCCTTCTGTTTGATCATGCCAACCATAATTGAAAATTCAGCTTTTAATAGTCAAATTTAGAGTTGTTGTATTCATAAAGTTGAGGCTGGTTGGTGCATGTATTAAAAAAACAGGTCAGCATAATAGATCTCCTTTAATAAAAGTAGTCTTGATGGTACGTCTAATGAAACTATGAGCGATTATTAGTGCTAAGTCCCCTCCCTTTGACCACGGTGATGGAAAGCAACAGGAAAAATGCGCATAGAGTGGCTAAGAACCAAAATGAAACATGATTATGACTATGGGGAGAGAACTTATTGCACTATAATTCGAGGTTGAGGTCACTGTCCACATATTTTGAAATATTACAAGCCTCGGGAGAAATCAGGGTGCCTGACCTCTGCATGTTCATAACTGCTGTCCATAACCTGGATGGCGCCCTGAGACAAAAATCACTTGCTTTTTATGTAGGCGTTATAATATATGCGGCCTTGTTTATATGATGCATATTAATGGCTCACAACCTTGTAAATGCATTCCTTTGCATGTTTGTTAATTATTCAAGCCTGACAGTATGTGCGTGTACATGTTTATAACTGCTCAGGGATACTGCAGGGACATAAAAAATAAGTGCTGTTTTTGAAAACATTGCTCGTTTGGATGATTTCTTGAACGTGGTGACTCCCAGGAATATAATCATGAATTTGTTCGTCTTATTTTTGGTTTGACCAGATCTAGGCCTGTTTCCTCGGGTCTGGAGCTCCATATTTACAGTGTTAGATGTCAAGAAAAGACCAAAACCTCCTCATATGTATGTGTGCACTTACCACCACGGTGCCCTGAGGCTGAGAGGTGAGAGGCTGGCCCACAGCCACCACCTGCTGATGAGATTCACTGGAGGGGCTGATAATCTGCACACTCTGGCCCTGGATCGAGTAGGCTGTGGAGAATAAACACACACACACACACCCACACACACAAACACAAACAAAACACACAGGAGAAAAAGCACTCCACTTAGAGTCGGTGATACACACACACACAGGTTTTGTAACAAGCTCACGACATGCAAGAAAAGATTCCTTAATTAACTCCGAGGCAAACATCCATCGAAAGTTGAGACCCAATTTGGCGGCTTTATCTCTACAAGCTAATATGCAAATAATGGATGTCTGAGCGGTTGGTTTCAGAGCAGCTGTGCTTGTGTGTGTGTATGTTTGCATTCCCCAGACACGTTCACCATGGCGCTCCTAATTAGAAGCCACGCAGAAAAGTTATGGATTAAAGCTGTGAGAACGGGGCAACAGGGACAGGTAGATTGCAAACAGTTTACACGTTAAGCTCAGTTTTGCTGCGTGCACGTCCATCCCAGTGGGAGAGGAGAAGAGCTCATTAGTTTAAAATAAATACACATGACCAGAGGCCATTTTCAGTTTAGTGTGTGTAGTGTAGTTACATATCGGATTGTTTTGATACTAACATAAAAGAATGAAAAAACTACAAGCCTCTAAACCAAACTGAGATGGTTTGCAGGTTTTGATCCAGATATTTCAAAAGCATGTGTGTTCGGGTGAGTTTGGGTGGCCGTTACAACAAAATTAAGGAGGAGGGTGAGAGAAGAAACTGTCGATTTGAGCGACTTTCTGTACCTTTGCTGGAGAGGTTGGCTGCATTGCTGCTCAGAACAGTCAGGGCGTAGTGCGGTGGCAGAGAAGCCTTACAGATGGCTGTGATGAAGGCATCCCGGGGCGTCACAAGGCCCAGACGCCCACACAGCGAGGCCATGGTGAGCTCTGCCTTCAGGATGTTCTCTGTGGCGGTCTCATCAGTGCTGACAGACAAAACGAAGGATGAATAAACACACAAAAAGAGAGGTGAGTCAACTGATATCTATCGCGTGTGTACCTAGTTCTGATCAAATTATCACATCTACACTGATAATGATTTTTTTATTTGGTATTTGAGGAGATTATCACGACTCCAGATGGAAGAGGAAAAATAACTTTAAACCGGATTTGAACGCAGCTTTCTAATGAGATAATCTCAGCTAAGAATAGCTCTTCAGAGTTGTCTTGTTTGGTCTGAACAGCTTCAAATCAAAGTAAATAAATGATTACAGTATGAGACCAGAATGAACACACACCCTTATTACTTAATTATCAGAATATCATACTGTTTGAATATCATTTTCTATGTTGTTTCCAGCTTTCAAAAAAAGCAGCCCACTCGTTTACCTGGCATCTAGTAGCAGAGAGAGAGCAGCCAACAGACCACACCAGCAGGCACTGACCATCTCCTCCCACACCAGGTGAGCTCCTGAGACAAAAGAAAGACCCCAAAGCATCTGTGAGTGTGTCATGTAATTATTTCACTTAATTTAGACGGTATCGCTTGAGCTTTGAAAAAAAAGCATGCCTCTATTTTTTACATATTTTACACAACTGAGAGGCGGAGAGGTAGAGGTGTAATTCTAGCCACCAGGGGTCAGAGATGTGCTACCAACCAGAATCCTGCAGTTTGGCAATCATGCAGTAAAAACATACCAGAAACACATGTTTCTAATATACTGAGATATGTGGTAATGATGAAGTTTCTTTTTACTCACTCAGCCCAGAAAGCTTGCATGACTTTGTATACCATGTTACCTTCCATCAAACTGCATTATAGAGACATGCTTCCTCTTCCTCCATCCTTAAACTTCCCTCCTGTCAGTTCTCACCTTGTTGTGGCTGCCACTCCTGATCAGGATGAGTCTCCCTGAACTCAGCAGCTGCCTCTTCCTCCGCAGCTAGCTCTCGTTCGATCATAGAGGTGATGCCCCGCACCAGGTCCAGCAGGGCGCTGAAGGCGACAGACATGGCGTAGCCCTCGGGGATGGACGGGGGCTCCACCTTGTCCAGCATCTCCAGACTGAGTGATGAAGAGAGGGACAAGTCCAATGAGATGAAGGTTAAGGTGGGTAAACATTGGCTGGGGTGAAATAATATATTATCTATTCATTTACTAGCTTATTATTTTTTTTATTTTTTATTATGTATTTATTTGTTTATTAATTTTGAATATTTTTTCATTGGAAAAAAAAATATATATATATAAATAATAAATATATTTACACACACACATATGTATATATATGTGTGTGTGTAAATATATATATACACACACACATATACATATATATAAACATACATACACATACATATAAACATACATTTACATATATACATATATATATACATACAAATATACACACATATATTTATATATATACACACACACATATATATATGACCACAGATTGTGTGGGGTTTAGTGATGTATAGTATTTCTACACCTGTTCTTTGTCGACATTATATTTCTAGGTTAAAACAGCTCCAACCGAGAGTCTTCTTTTTGTTTACCATATCATAAACAGCTGTTGTTTGTTTTTCCAGCACTCACGCTCTGATTCACAAAGGTCTGCTTGGCTTTTGTGGCCTCCGCCTACGCATTTGTCGCCAAAAGATAACATCTAATTCACAAAGCGCACAGACAAGTTTAAATGCACCTTAAACTGCACTGCAAACCGTAAAGTGTCTCTGTGTGCCTGTGCTGTTTGTTCTAATTCACAAACACTGAAGTTGATGGCTGCTCTAACGGGCTGACTCCAGGGAGGATGCTTTGTTCAAAATTGTGAAATATGTAGGTCTGCGCTGAGTTACTGTCAAAATAAATGGCTCCCTCGTGCCTCTTCACCGTTAAGCTCATCATCATCATCAGTTTGTGGAAAGATTTGAGCTCTGTGAGAATGAGAGCACACAGGCAGTGTCGTAACTGGGTAGAAACCAAGGGCTCATCTCAAAATGCACTGGGCTGCAAATCATGGGTGTGTTTGCATCTTTACAGCAGTATGCTCTCTGAATTTGACCCCAAGACAGAGCAGATTATGAGGTCAAATGATGTTGATTTTTCAGCTTCAATCACCTCTTATGCAACACTTTTCTACAATAAAAAACAGTCAGCTCCATGCAACCTGAAACTGCCAAGAAGCAAGATTCCTTCTTATCACCAAGGACAGTTTAACAGCAGCTCATCTTATTAGAGGAGGGCCTTCAGTGGGTTCAGTTTGCCGAGGTTTAAAGCTCACCTCTCACAGACTAATGATGAGAGCATTTTCAGTCTTTGTGTAGGGTTAAGACTTTGATCTCTTTTACCTTCATAAAATGCAAAATTGTTCATTTTTGCTTGCAGGTTAAAGCTACAGTAATAGTGAGGCTATGGCATTGTGTTTGTGCCTCTGAGCAGCACAGGAGTGAAAGTCTCTCCAGTTTTTAACATCTACATGTGTGCTTGTTAGACACATGATAAAATAATATTTTCAGGACATCCGAGAGGAGAGATCTGATGTTGACAGAACTTACTAAGTGGCCTTTGCGCTGCCCTGGACACTGACGGTCATAAGGGGGATCCAGGTGCCTCGGTATTCAAATGCAGCTTGGGTGGTCAGGTTTCCACTGGCACCTCCTGTCCCCTGACCGCCCTGAGCGGCACCCTGTGTCCCAGATCCTGAGCCACCTGGACAGACAGTCAAGAGTCATACAGATGGGATATCACTTACTAGTTTATTTCTACTGGTTATAAAAAGACTGGCACTTATGTTGTAGAGAAGAAAGATTACTTTTCAGAGTCTCATTGTGCTCATATTTCAGGATTTTACAAGATTTTAAAAAGTCTGCAAACTGACCTATGGGTGCACTGACAGCTGCAGGGTTGCCAGCATTGGGGACGATAAAGAGTGACTGAATAAAGGAGCCGAGCGCGTTGACGATGTCTCTGAATACTTTGGTGGAGTGCTGCTTCATGTCATACGACTGGCAGAAAGACCTGGTGGAGAAAAGACAAAGAATTCAGCAAATAAACAAATCTAAAAACACAAGAGAACGTTTTTTCCATCATGTCAGAGTACATGAGTTTGACTGCAAACTGAGCAATCATCATTTTCAAGCAGTTAGAGGTTTTAAGGCTACTTTTAAAATCTTGGACGACCTCATGTTGCTCACCGTAGTAGATGTGGCTGCACACATAGCCTATGGACCGATTCTACAGCCACTGCTCTCAGCCACTGCGGCTTCTCCCCATCCAGGAACTTCACCAGCAGAGACAAGAAGATCTCACATTCAGTCACCTGGAAAACAAACACAGACGAGAACCGATTTAATGTCCGATTTTGACCTATAACTGCGAGCTCTATCCATGAATCCCTTCCACAAAGCTGATCTGTGGCCTCCTGGCTGGGAAAGTGCACGTCCATTTTAATCATTGATACAATTTGCTTATTAAAAGTGCTGCAATGTTCAATTACTTGGATGCAGTTAAGCCCCTTGAAGCACCTGGAGCAGAACTAAGACAAAACTGCTAATCCAATGCTAATCAGACAAGATCAATTAAGTGTAGAAAATCCCAAACTCATGGAGCATCAATCAGACCAGTGGGCCATCCCCAGCCTTACCAGTAAGCTGTAAAAGTGCTTGATGAGGACTGAGACCACACGTAGCAGCCTCATGCAGATGGGAAAGTACGGTTTCTCCACAGGTGCAGGTGAGGCGGAGCTGCTGCTGCCCTGTCGGAACTTGATGTTGGGGGAGAAGAGCTTGATGACGAGTGGACACACTCGCTCTTTTAACAGGAAGCTGAACTCCTGGTGCTGGTGAGGGAAGAGCAGAGAGAGAAGAGAGGTAATAAGACTCACCATTTAAAAAAAAAACATACATTCCCATGTACTATAATATATTTACTATATTTATGTACCAAAACCTATAAGGCTGCATATACCTGTAGAAATACCCCCGGAAAATCATTCAGAACAGACTCCAGCAGCTCCAGGCCAAATGTCCGAGTCATCTCAGTCATCCCCACCAACCAGTAGGGGGCATCGGCATTCACCAGCTGGCACAAATCCTACAGGGAGAGGCATGACAGCATTTTAAACAATGCGGTTTTATACCCTACTCACATCACAGTGGTTGAAACAGTGCAGTCACTGAAATCCAGTGTGACTGATGAATGAATAGGAGCCTTTGAACCACGTCTAGCAGATTTCAGCTCAATGCAATCATGAAAAGAATTACTCCTTTCTCCTCAACTTTTAACTCATTTGAATAATTCCCTGTTTTGTGGATTTTTTTCATCTTATAACTCTGGCACACAAATGATGAAGTAATCAGCCAGGCTTCAGATCCATATTAGTGGGATTGCTGTGTCCAAGCTGCTGGGGTAAAGGCATAATATTGTGTAAGTGCTGCCCCCTGGTGGACATACCTGGAACAGCATGTATGCATCTTTAGCACTGGGCCTCAGAGTGCTAACAGACCGCCTGTTTGTGTTTCCCTGGACAGGAGGGGCGTGCTCGACAATACCTGAAGAGGAAAAGAAAGTACATTTTGGATGTTTGAAAAACTATTTAAAGCTTAGCAGTAAAATTAAAAATAAAAAAAGACCTTAAGTTTAACTGGCAACATTGTTGACACTTATCAAGTTATAAGGCTGGTGAAATAACAGCGATAACCATTATCAGGAATATCTAGTGAAGGCAACACAAGCATGAAGTAAAAACAAAACCACCACTTTATCCTCAACAGAGAAAATCTGCATTTTTGTCACTTTAACAGGCTGCAGTTCCACTGGTGTCAGAGGCAAAGAGCAGACACTGAAATGTAGCTGCTGTCTGTAATGCTGTCCTTTATTTGCAGTAGAACTAAATGCTTGGATATGCAGGCTTTTGTACTCTGTGTGTGGAGCAGAAACCTCTTCACCGGCACACAGAGGAAGATCTGGTGCAAACATTAGTTGAAAATCCTTTAAGAGGTCAGACATTGTGCTTCTCTGTGACGTTGCTGCCCTCTTACCTTTGAATCGCTCGTCCTCTGCCACCATCCTCTCGAACACCACGGTGACGACCTGTCTGACCGTGGCGGCTGCTGTGTTGTTGGTGATGTTGTCCTTGGTGAAGTGGAGACGGAAGCACAGCACGATTGCCTGTGCAGAGACAAAATATAAGCATTAGATTTTCTCTCACTTAGGTCTTCAATAAGAGAATAATGAAGGGTTTAGGTTGATGTCCTGTTACTTTTACAGAGATATCAGGTAACCAGAGTGAGTTTGATAGTCCTCCTTATCCTGTGCAGTGTGTTTTCATGCAACATAAAGTAGGGCAAGGATCCCAGAAATGTGTTTATTTATGGAATAAAGAAGACACTATACCTGCAGTTTAATAATACATGGAGATGACTCACAGTCAGAGGATCAAAACTGGGTTAAACGTATACCTGAGAGATACAGGAGAGCAGGAAATACATGCAATGGAGGTGTGTCTCATCCCGTACCTTAGAGAGGACTTCATCGTGTACGACTGTGTTGGTGGTCAGCAGGACCAAGACGGTCTGCAAAAGCTTCAGCTCCTCCAAACCGTTTTCCATCAGCTGCCACAACATGTTGATGATGTTCCCTGCTGCTGCCTGCCGTGCACACATAAACACATTAAATTATTTACATTGATCATTAGCACATCTTAGCAAATTTGAGTTCCAGAGTGCTAAGTTAAGTAAGAGCTCCGTCTGAGGTCACGCAGCTCCCTAGATCAAAAACACTTGTGGTCACAGCTGGTGCTGTCAGCTCAGGGGTCAGGACCTCATGGAGTGCGACAACACTACATCTAGCTGCCAGTTAATATTATGCCACTTGATGCTGACTGTAAGTGACACGGCATGTCCTTCGTTGGGTCAAGCAGCCTGAAACCAAAGTACTCTTTATGCAACCCCTCTGAGATGCTCTTTTGTGAGTAACCGGGTCAAACCGGGAGACTCATCACTTCAAAACCGAAGAAATCCCCTGTCACCTACCTCAGAGAGATTGATCTCTCTCTTTGTGTGTTTCATAAAGCGCAGAAATCCCATGAAAAGACTTGAAGTTTATATCTTGTAGATATAAAAACACAAAACAAGTGCTCACATTATCTATCTACTTCTTTTTTGTGTGTGCATGTCTGAAAGTAGGTATGCAATCTGTATTTTGTCTTTTATTTCTTCACTGCATATGTCAATATTTTGTTTTTGACAAAACTGTGTGTGTTCGAAAAAATATGAGATTCTTCAGATAAAAAAACAACGATGTAAAAAATTGAATTAACTTTTTAAAATGTGTAGTTCTTGTATATAGATGACAACTAATACATCAACTAAAACATATAGTTGTGATGGATTGACCCTTTAATTATTAATTTAGGTTTATAAATGACTCAATGACAACATTGGTTTATATCTTCTAAACTCTTACGGCAAAGGCTGATAAATCCAGAAAATTTGAAAAGCGTTAAATAGCATGTATTTGTTATTCTTGGCTTAGTAGATAGGTCAAATTGATCAATAATAAATGATATCAACTCCAGACTAATTTACTTTTTATTCTAGCTTTAAATCTGCAGCTACATCCATGACTGCAGAATTTACATACAGAGTTTTGACTTTGTTTTTCAAGTGTCATGAGGGATGTCCCAATATGATATTGATATCGGATATCAGTCTGATATCGGCAAAAAAATTAATATCGATTTATATCGGCCTGCATCTAAAATCTCCCATATCAGCACTCCGATATAAGTAGTCCATTCCAGACTCCGCTCCAGCACTTCTATCTAGCAGCAAAACTTGTCATGAACAAGTTTGTGCTAATTTCGGATCAACATCAGTCTCGGCCAACACTGAGGACTACAATATTGGGATTGTATCAGAAGTAAAAACGTAGTATTGGGACGCCACTAAGTGTCACATTATTACCTCAACAGCATATCATTTCCCTAATTTTTCTGTGTAGAAGAGGAGAGTTTTCATTGTTTTTATCATAGGAAATCATGCCCAGATTTGGAGATACTGACACTCTTTGTTCAGCGTTTTAGAAACACACAGGCAGGTTTGAAGTCTACAGCAGTGTCTGTTTAGTCCTTAGATGACATTTTCTTGATCTGTCTCCTTCCCCGAAGACCCAAACTGACACAAACATGACAAAGTATCTGACTCGGTCGTCTCCCGCGACATCCTAACAATCAATACCGAGTCGGGTTTGTCTTGCGAGGTCCTCAGGTAGCTTTTAAACCCCGCAGCTGGGAGTTGCTGCTGATGTTGAGTGGCTCTGGCAGAGGAACAGAGAGGAGTTACAATGTTCAATGGATTGGAAAAATGTGTGTGTTATAGAGTAGGTGAAGTGTTTGGATGTCCTAGATGTTCTGGTGGTTTGTGGGGAACGACGGTTTGATAATAGACGCCCAAAGAGAAGGATAAACACCTCTGGAAGAGAGGTTTGTTTTTTTTTTACAAAAGGAAAGAAAGAGAAATGTTTTCTATCAAAACAAAAAGAAACTACAAACCTCAGACTAGCAGAAAATATCTGCATCATAGACTCACTTTGAACTAGACACCCACCCACCACCCAGTAAAGGAAGGAGCCATAATAAAAATGCATTCATTTTACATACTTGGTATACTGAAGTAAGACGCTTTCAATACAGTGAAATAATGTGGTGTTGGTTTACAGCTAACACAGTAAATAATTAACACATGATTCACACTGAATAATAAAAAAACAACAGAAAATGTTAACCTTTATGTAAATGAACGGGTCAGATGTAGTTCAGGACCGCTTGGCAAAAAACGAGCAACAAAGAGGTGTCAGACCTTGTGCTGAAAACTTCGGTTGAGCCATCACAGGGGAGAAAACTTTTTTTCTTCAACTCCAACATAATAGCTTGTAATTACCACATAAAAGCAGCTGACGCTGACTAAATGCTAATGACAGGTAGGTAGGTGCAAGCTAAATGTGCATAATAAGGCCAGTTAGGAGAAAGACTGTGCATCCAGCCTGCCGCGCTGTCTTTGTTTTCTGAGAAGCTTTCACTCCGCAGGTGTTGAGGACTTCAAGCAGGAGCTTTGACACTAACAGAAAAGATCTCACACAGTCACTGAGAGCTTTGAAACTGCCGCTACAAAGACTTCTTACACAACCGCCGTGACTTAAAAAATGATCAAAACTGCAGGAAAGTCAATGATGGAGGAGTAAAATGGGGGATAACCACACCACACTGTGATGTAGCTACATTTGAAAGGACTACATTTAGGTTGTCAGTTGCAATGTTTACATCAGCTGATTAATTATTGATCCTTCTTATTGATCTGAATGAATTACCCTTCACATGTTACAGAGGATGTGCCTGAGGTTACAGGTGAACTTCAATTTGCATCATGTGTGAACGGATCAAACTCCCTTTATCAATATACAAGGTGAGGATACTGTTCTTGACATAAGCAGTAAATCTATGAATCAGATCAAACATTTAATGGTTTGTGTTAAATGAGAAAGAAATGTCCTCTAAGGCCAAGTTCTTCGGGAATTTCTTGATATTATAGAACATGCGTTCCCCTCGAGGTCCAGGGTTATTGACTCAGCACTCTCTGAGGTGATTATCACCTTGGGCCACACAGTGAAGTTGAGTGACAGAGCGTGATGGCTATAGTGGCCTCTTATTGATTTCAGTTTAAAAGCAATCTTACAGAAGAGGGAGAGTGGTCGAGGGAAATTCAGGGAGCCTAAATCTAAAGCGCTTTATAATTCAGGTATCAGCAGTATATAAAGATGGACGACAGACCCCTCCCCTGATATGATGCCAAAATAACCCCAGTGACAGACCAGCACTGTGCTTGTATGATCTGAGACTAAATGGCACATATCAGCTATTGACATTCAAACACAAACTGAACTTCCTGATAAAACAATAAAGATCCCTTTGGCTGTGTGCCAGCATGTTTGTTTGTTTATGCTGGTATGTTAAGAGCTGTTTTGAAGTGTAAGAAAAAAATTTGTTCACACAAATGAGCATGACTTCAACTTTCCATACTTACTGAAATTATTTTTAAGGGGAAAAAAAGTCGTTTAATGTAATGATTAAACACCGTCGACCTGGCTCACAGGAGGGTTAAATGGATTAACATATTTATCTTTATTGTTGACTCAAAATGTTGGTCATTCGTCACATTAAGGCTTAGCACAGCCTCCCTTTGCCAGCCAGAGATATAACTCTGGTTGATACAGTAGTTACTGACATAATGCAAAAAAAAATTCTACTACCCGGATGTAAACACGCACAGAAAACAGATGGCATCATGTAGCATGGCATGGTTTAGCAGTATTTTGATGTATCGGGTCAATAGGGCACATGCACGACTTTGCCAAGAATGTGAATATTAACCACTAAAAAGGACTGAAGGGAATGAGTTCTGCTAATGTTCGGCAGTGTTAGAAAACCCGTTTGCATTTTTTGCTGTATCAAATAACTTGTGCTGGTTTCTGACTGTTTTCGTGTTTTTTTTTCTTACCTTCAGGCTGAGTCTGAATTCTTATTTCAGTTTCAAGACTAAGACAAGTTGCTCAGTGCATCCTTAAAGTTTGTTGCCCCACATATTATGAAGTAAGGCTTTACGACCCATATTGCAGCAAGTCAGTTGGAGAGCTATAAATATGTTGGCTTCACTTTTGGTTAAGCTACCAAGCTGTCCATCTTTTGATCCCAGGAAAAACACAAACTACATCTGATCAAAAAACTACACTGACACTTGTTTTTCTTCTGTTGGCAACTCAACTCTCATCTTCTAGAATAAATCTAGACAAGCCAAAGATGATATATTTCAGTTTCACTTGTTCCTCATGCTGCTCTTTTAACCAGACTCCAGTCTTATTATCATTTTAGACATATCTTGACCCTGATCACAAGCTGTTAGAGGGCTGTATATAATCACCAGCGTTTCTGAATTTCAGGCTTTTGTCATGGTCCTCACCTCAGACACCACCTCATGGGACATGAGTCTCTGGATGGCAGCCAGACAGAGCTGGGTGATCTTCGGCTCTTTGGTGCCACAGCCCATGAGGAAAGGCTGCACGACCTCTGAGCTGTTCTCCTTCAGAGCTGCGGGGGAAAAGGACAGACAGAAAGATCCGTGTTATCGAATGATTTCTGGAATTAAGCAGGAAACTGAATTTACAAAGATGCTCTTATTACATTCACCTAAATGATTTATGAAGTCTTCAGAGGGATATCAAATATATAACTATCCCTGCTTGAGTTACAGTGCTGAAGCCAAATTTGAGCAGTTTAGATATAGTGGAGCCTTTCATGTAGAACACAGTATCAGCATCTTAAAGTGTACAGGAAATACTGTGAAGAAAATTACGTCAAAACCAAAGAATAAAATAAAAACAGCAACAACAAGAGCAAGTTGTGAAAACCCTCTGGGGATGCTCAAAAGCACTTAAATTTTATGAGTCATGAAAATGTCCCTGCAAAGGTTAAACCAATTCTTCTAAACTATCAAAGTTATATTTGCTTGGTCTCAGCGCTGAATCTGTTTAATACAAATAAAATGAGACTGAAAGTGTGATGACCTTGAAACATCACAGCTTTTTTCTTCATAATGAAAGAGATTCAGAGCTTTGCATCCAACTTTTCTATATCGCTGTTTCTCCCGTGGTTATCACCTGCAGACTGCGGGCCGATCAATCTTTTTTGTCACGCCTCATTACTGGAAACTAACACATTAAAGTTGGAAACAAAGATAAATGAAATGAGAGGCTGCGCGGTTTACAGTCGGAGTCTGACAGCCGACAGTGGAGCTTGGAAAATGTCGACTATGTGTCAACTCTGCAAACCCTACTGAAGCTGGACTTTGTCTATGAAGTCAGCCTAGAAACGGTTTCCTATTCAAGCGGTAACGAGAGCGACCCCAGTTGAAAGTGCTGCATGGTCAGTGAAACAGTTAAATAGAATAAATCCACAATACAGAAACAAATCTGAGGACCCCTGTTATCTACCAGGTCTCCTTTATCTTTCGGGTGAGCAGCTGCACCATAAATACAAGTCTGATACGTTATCATCTGTTTGTGAAATATTTGATTATTGCTTTATTTTCTGATAAAACAAGCGTACTCATTTTGACATAGTCACATACAGTGGGTGAGAACAAACACAGCTGGAACAAGCTGACGAGAGAGGAAAACAGCCCGACTGACGCAGACATTTTTTTTAAGAGGGGGACGACACAGACACAATTTATAAATCATGTGCCGCCAGTGTAACACCACCACCGTTTTAAGTTTCTTTGAAAAATCATCATCCAAACACTGGTGTGCTGAAGATTTAAGAAGCAGCAGTAACCGCAGCTGGCGTCAGCACCAGGAAAACACTGAGCTCTGTGAAACAGATTCAACAGGCATTTAAGAACTACTGGAAGTTCACCAGAGAGAGCCTAAAAGTTACACCAATGAATGATGAATTCACAAAACAAAGAGGGAAGCAGAGCAAGAAACTTAACCTAGATCTAATGAAGTATCTGAAACAGTATTCCAAGTAGCTGCTACTTGGCAGACGCATCCCTTCCTGCCCTGCGTGACCTCTACATTCATTCACAGTCTGAACACAACAACATCCGCTGCATCAAAACATTTACTCACATAGTCAGTATGCTTAGTTTGGTTGCCTGAAAGACCCAACCCAATGAAAATCATGTTTTTCTTGTTGTCCTCATGTTCATATGGCATTTTTCTGATGCTGCAGGACATATCATGGGAACACTAAGAGCAAAATTGCATTTCTGATTATTTCTACATTCAAATCTCTGTGAACTCCTCACAGACCCAAACGGCAGGTTCAGACAAAGTGAGATTTTTTACATCACAAATCTATGCTCCGCCCCCAGAGCCTTACTCTGCAGGCCAGACTCAGAGAAGTAGAGAGACGATCGTGGAACAAGTGTGTGCAGTAACAGTGCTGCCAACTCCTCAGTAAAAAAAGTCACTAGTGGCTGTCGTAAAAGTCGCTATAAGTCGCTGGCTGACATCATCGCATCATTTGCATATTTTTCTGTCTTTTCAGGGTGTCTGTATGCGAGTGTGTCTGTGTTTTTTGATGCACACCCGCTACCTGTTGAGAAGAGAAACATCAATACCTGCTTTCATTTAAGAGTCTCCATACTCCAGAATAAGTCGCTAGATTTGTTGCTAGGCGCTTTTTTGAAAATAAGTGGCTAAGGGGGTTTGAAAAGTTGCTAGGTTGGTGACACTGTGCGGTGGCGGATTGCAATGCTTGTAGGAAAGCTAATTATGATATTTAATTTCATCATGCCCCCAAAGATGTTAATATCTGACAGCTGGATAGCTCCTTTATTACCTGCCAATTCTGCTGCACCGGTAAGTTAGGCTACAAGCTAGCATGAAGAGGAGTATGCAGAGGCGCGTTGTCTCCGCCCACGACTCAGAGGCGAATTGCTAATAAGCTACTGGAGCTCTGCAGAAGAAACACCCTTGGAAATGACATAAGTCACGCGATTTTGGCTATACATATACATATACATATATATACACTCACCGGCCACTTTATTAGGTATACCTGTCCAACTGCTCGTTAATACTTAATTTCTAATCAGCCAATCACATGGCGGCAGCTTAGTGCATTTAGGCATGTAGACATGGTCAAGACAATCTCCTGCAGTTCAAACCGAGCATCAGTATGGGGAAGAAAGGTGATTTGAGTGACTTTGAACGTGGCATGGTTGTTGGTGCCAGAAGGGCTGGTCTGAGTATTTCAGAAACTGCTGATCTACTGGGATTTTCACGCACAACCATCTCTAGGGTTTACAGAGAATGGTCCGAAAAAGAAAAAATATCCAGTGAGCGGCAGTTCTGTGGGCGGAAATGCCTTGTTGATGCCAGAGGTCAGAGGAGAATGGCCAGACTGGTTCGAGCTGATAGAAAGGCAACAGTGACTCAAATAACCACCCGTTACAACCAAGGTAGGCAGAAGAGCATCTCTGAACCCACAGTACGTCGAACTTTGAGGCAGATGAGCTTCAGCAGCAGAAGACCACACCGGGTGCCACTCCTTTCAGCTAAGAACAGGAAACTGAGGCTACAATTTGCACAAGCTCATCGAAATTGGACAATAGAAGATTGGAAAAACGTTGCCTGGTCTGATGAGTCTCGATTTCTGCTGCGACATTCGGATGGTAGGGTCAGAATTTGGCGTCAACAACATGAAAGCATGGATCCATCCTGCCTTGTATCAACGGTTCAGGCTGGTGGTGGTGGTGTCATGGTGTGGGGAATATTTTCTTGGCACTCTTTGGGCCCCTTGGTACCAATTGAGCATCGTTGCAACGCCACAGCCTACCTGAGTATTGTTGCTGACCATGTCCATCCCTTTATGACCACAATGTACCCAACTTCTGATGGCTACTTTCAGCAGGATAATGCGCCATGTCATAAAGCTGGAATCATCTCAGACTGGTTTCTTGAACATGACAATGAGTTCACTGTACTCAAATGGCCTCCACAGTCACCAGATCTCAATCCAATAGAGCATCTTTGGGATGTGGTGGAACGGGAGATTCGCATCATGGATGTGCAGCCGACAAATCTGCGGCAACTGTGTGATGCCATCATGTCAATATGGACCAAGCTCTCTGAGGAATGCTTCCAGCACCTTGTTGAATCTATGCCACGAAGAATTGAGGCAGTTCTGAAGGCAAAAGGGGGTCCAACCCGTTACGAGCATGGTGTACCTAATAAAGTGGCCGGTGAGTGTATATATATATATTTGTGTGTGTGTGTGTATATACATATCTATCTATCTATATGTTATATTTTGCATCCTTTGACTATAATATGTAATTTAGAAGGACAACAGGTGACATGTTTGTTCATATATAGCATTTCAGTTTGCTTCTTCTTAGATCTGCAGTCTTACTTTTACAAACTGTTTCATTTTTATGCTTTGGTGAGCAACTTTGCACGTATAAGCTCTGGTTGACTTTAAAAAGAAAAAGCAGAAATAAAGGTGAAAAACTGAAATAGGTGCAGTATTACCTGGGAAATGAAATCCTTTGCAAACCAAAGTTCAGTGCACACTCTGACAAAGTGACAGCAGATATATCAGTCGTGGTTAACCACCGCTGTTCCCACTCTCACACTCACCTGCCAGTATGTCGGTATTCCTGGCTGCAATGGTCTTAATCTTCACAATCCCAGACTCTGCAGCCTACAGGGGGAAAAAAAACAAAGTACACATTTATAGTAGCTGTCACGTGTGTCAAAGAGCTGCACCACAGTGCTAACAGTGGCAGTCACAAGCTCTTGTAATGATGGCCACTGGGAGAAACAGCTAGGGCCTAGCAGGGAAAAACTGTTAAGAACCAGCTTCAACCCGAGACGGATGTGAAAGCAGAGTGATTTCCCCAGTGAGGTGTCTAGAAGGGGTGACAAAGCAAGATATGGCGTGGGAGAAGCAGGAATGTCAACAGAGAGAGAGAGAGAGGCAAGAGAAAAGAGACTAAATGTGTGCGAGTGAGAGCAAAATAGAGATACTGAACATGTACTAGACAAAACAAAAGCTCTGGTTCTTTTCAGTCAACAACCTAAAGCTACTGAGAGTGTGTTTATATCTTATCTCCAACCTCTGTTCTTCCTCCTACTTCTCCTCCTGCACTACTGTCACTCTACAGAAGATAAAATGTGGAAATTAGGAGCTTAAGTTCCACTCATCATGATAGAAATATTGGCTATGAAATGAGGTTAAATCAGGTAATGACAACAGTCTTATCTGAGACTCATTAATAATGCCCACTCGCCAAAGTCATGCTAAATCACTTGTTCCTTTTTGCTTATCACAATGAGAAAAAATACACACTCAGTTTGTGTCTGCAGGCCAAGCTGACACTGACATTAGCTTCACTTGTTTCAATATACTCAGTCTATCCTAAAGTATACTGTGTCCAGACATACAGCAGTAACAGTACGCCATCATAATATAACCATACAAGGTTTGCAGGATATGCACTGGTATCAAAGGGGTGCTCACACTCAATACTGGCCCAGACACGAGTTTAGAAGAGCTGATTTGGGAAATGAGACAAATGAGACGAACCTGTTTTGTGTGGTTACACTGTGAAATATTTGAGGAGAGATTCAAGAGAGATTATAAGCTGTAAAGCAGGTGTCTTTGTCGACCTGCTGATCTTCATGTTTCGTGTTAACAACAGTCAACTCCCATAAGAACATTTTCAAAAAGCTTGCAATGTCACTCTTGTTTGTCTGCGCTAGAATTACCAGTCAGTTAAACAAATAGAAAGTGTTATTATTGTAGGTCCAAAATACTGGTCATGTGTTGTATCTTGGCGTAGTGCAGACTCTCGCCACTGGCCAGGGTTGATGCTCCAGTTAAGAACACTGCCACAGTCTGATAATGCTCTACTACCTAGATATAAACAAGCACAGATGGCTGATGGTGTATCCTAGTATGACTTGGTTTGGAAGTTTTTGATCTAGGCAACGAGAATAAAGTTGTGTGTTTATTGTGTTTCATTAAAGTGGAATAAAAAAATTCAACTGAAGCAATGCATTACCAGGAACAAGTGATTGGTGGCGCTAACTCTGCTAACTTTAGCCACACTTGAATCAGTCTGACATAGTTTACCTTCAGGATAGTTAGTGGGATTTAAATTTCTTCTTAAAACAACTAGAAATATTACAATGTTACTATTTAATTTCACTTCGCAGACAGTTGTGTCCAAATTAGTTGCTATCCTGATATTAAACACATTACTTATGTGGTTCCAGTAAGGTGTGACCCAATACAACTTTTTTACTTCCGATACGATGGCAATATTGTGTCCTTCAGTATCGGCCAAGACCGATATTGATCTGATATTGGTAAAAAACATGTGCATGACAAGTTTTGCACTCAGCTGCGATGTCTTTTTTGAACTTTAACGAAAAATACTGCCATACAGCCGATATTACTCCTACTATTTGGTACTTTGCTAGTACCTTAGTACACTTTGTTGTTGTTGTCATTTTGTGGGCTCTGCATGCTGAATCTGGGCGCACTATCAGAGTGCTGATATTTAAGACTTTAGATGAAGGCTGAAATAATCTGATATTCGTTTTTATTTATTTTTTGCTGATATCCGACCGATAATAATATCGGATTGGTACATCCCTAGTTGCAATAAAGTTAGGATATGTTAGGCAACCTAATTTCAGTCACTCTCTAAAACCTGAACTGTGAGAAAACAGCTTTACTGTAGGTCTGTAGATTGACAGACCATGACTACATTATTTATCACCTCAGTGAGCATTCATCTTTGGCAGCCGCATGCAGAGTTGTCCAGTTTCTGTGTAGCTTACAGACAGCAAGAGAGATGCACGTAGTAAACAGATATTAATCCACCACTTCTGTTTTTGATACATATTCTTAAAAAAATAGGAAAAGCAGGATTTAATCAGCTCGCACACACGCATCTCAAATCAAGAGTGGCAGTTGCAGCCTCCACAGAGTAAACAGCCAATGGGCCTACATTACCTTGATGCATTTTTCATACAGCCACTGCATGAGCTGACAACATTGCAGGCCTGCATGTGAATAGAGCTCTTTCTAAACCATCATCATGATAATAGTCCTTAAATCTCCTTAAAAACACATTTTGAAATGAAATTCTCCATTTCTAGTGAAGCACAATGAAAACAGGTTATTGAAAATATCAAATTGCACACTGTATCGATATGATACTTCAATATATGGATGAAATATTTGGCCAGCAGCAGCAGGACTGTGTTACGCAAATGTGTCACTTGAGCAACTACAATGCCAAGCCACACTTCATAACCTGCTGAAAAGTCGGTTACTTAGCAACCACTGGCAACTGGCCTTTTACCATACAGCTCCTTAAAAAGTTAATCTTCAAAAAATGCTAGCCTCCCTTTTCTCCTTTGTTCCCCACACAAAGCCAGAGGCCTTTATAGGGCAACAAGAAGAAAACAGAGGGAGCTTTTTTTAGTCTGGAGTAATTACAACAATGTTGTGGCTGCTTCTGATATCCCCAGAGGCTGAGACAATAACATACTGCCGGAGCTACGAAGGATCACTGAAAAGACAAGTGCCAAAAGTGCAAAATCTTGGGTAGAGGGAAGGTGCTTAAAGAAAAAAACAACTGGAACAATATTTACAGCCACATAGTAAGTCTTGGCAAGGTTTTATCGAGTTTTATCTGGCTGTCTGGACAAAATTATGAGTTACAGCTTAGGTCTGATTACTTTAAGGCAACTATCACTATCCAATAAACACAAGATTTGATGTCTGATTTTGGCTCACAGATCTTTTTTTGAGTCATTTCAGGAAAAAGCAAAAGAAAAAAAAAGACATTTTTCCAGTTAGTGTCTCAAGATTGAAAAAATAATGATTTTTTTTCCCTTTATTTTGCATTTTATCCATTTATCTCAAGATTATGTTATACTATGTACTGATGATGCTGTTTAGTTAATTATTTATTATTATTATTATTATTATTATTGATTTATTTTTTTCATTTTTTTCTTTGCTGTACTTGCCCAAATTTTACCCCCGGGACAAGGGTGGGGGCAATTAAATGTAATATATAATGTAAATAAATGTATTTGATGTAATTAAATAAATTAAAAAATAAAAAAAATAAAAAAATATGAATGAGTTTCAAACTGATGGTCAGTTTTTGTTTACATTTTTTCTGAGTGGCAGAGAATACAAACTCGCGTCAGCCATTTCTCAGCTGCTGCTCTACAATCATGTCTTTGAATACCCCCATACAGCAACGTAACATTACTACCAAAGCTCTCCACCAGTCACCCAGAAAGTCAGGTCTGTTGCCAAAGGGCAGCAAAAAAAGAAAAGCAGGTTTTCACCAGCCTCTAAATACAATACAGAATATTTTAAATGCCTTTCAATACTGCTGATGAGAGTCCTTGGACCCGTCAAAATGCCTGGTTTCGGCAAAGTGACTGTCAAAGGGGTGACGATGCTGAGTTTTGAGTAAACTGTTATGTCCGCTCCTCTAAAAGACGTTGAGTTTTGCTTGGAGAATCAGTGAATGAGTGAATAGCGAGCAGAAATGTCTCTGATTAGAAGCACATTGTTCAGGTTTCCTTTCCTCAGCCTCAAGTGGAACCAGGTGCTCCATCTTGAAACCACCGAGAACAAATCCCTGCTTATAAAATCGCCTCCTAGAAACACCATCAGTCTAAATAGAAAAAAGCTTTTATTTTTTTAACTGTGCCCAAATGCTTGATGGAGTCCAAGGCTGACTGAAAAGAAACATTTTACCACCTACTTCCTCATATTAAGTGTTGATGGAGCTGTTTTGTTGCCTGCAGACTTCCCTTCCCTCTGTGAGTGTCAGCCTAAAGTCACTAAAATACTGAGGGAGAAATCCTCTGGTCTGATGACATCAGGAAAACAAAGAGGAGAAAGGTCAACTTTCTCCAGCCTGGATTCTTGATCACTATTATAACTCCAAATTTTAACTTTGCAAAACAACCTGCATGTTGCTCTCTCCTCAACTTCAAATACTAGATTCCTTCTGCAAAAGCATCGGCATACCATAGAATGTAAAACGATAAGAGTTTTACACTTTCACTTCCTCCAGAGTCCTTTTTAAGTCAGGTTCTTTAAGCAGAACTGACCCATGTCTGAGAGCCACATTAGTGGAGCTCATCACACATTTGACTCCCTCAGAAACATGGTGTTAAGAGTTTCTTAGCTCAGCAGTATTTTTGGATCTGAGTTGGCATATTATTTTTAAAAAGGCTCACTCAGTCAAAGCTTCGCTGCATTCGTGTCAGACTCCAAATCCCCTCTCCACATGTCCGTGGCTTGTTATTTCGTCTCTGTACGGTCTACATGACCTGTCTACAAAATGAGACGTGCTTAGCGAGCCATTCAAATGTTGTCCATGATGCTTTCATTAATTCTGCAGGTTTTCCCTGAGACGAGCAGTCACATTTCACTGTGAGTTGACAGCAGCACCTGACTCATCCACAGAGAGCCGAGGCAGGCCTGGCTGCTGGATTTTTTTTTTTTTTTTACAGGCGAAAAGCAATCAGAGCACAACAAACAGCAAAGCCCTGGTGGTTTCACCGACTGCTTCTCAATGAAAAAGAGGCTCTGAGCGTGAAGCTATGATGCAGAAAAATCAATGGGAATCTTCTTGGCTCCTCTTAACCCTGAGAAACCACTGGCTGTGGTGCAATGTCACTGTGGGAGATGGATTGGGAAATAGGGAAGGAACTGGAATGTAGAGTGTGGCCGGGAAATGAGTACAGAGTTTCTTCTGTCTCCCTCTGCAATAAAGATGCACTGCTTTCGTAGGTAACTTATTTCAAATTGAGCAACAGCTAAGACATTCAGAGGGTGGGTACTCAAATCTGGAGTTCAGTTTACACTTCTGATACTCCCCAAACTGTGGCCCATCAATGTACCTATTCAACAACATGACCAAGTGGATCCTCTTCAAAGATATCCTCTCATTAAGGTAAATTTTGTGTGACAATAACAAAACAAACAATTCAATGTCTGTCAAAGCTAACTAAATGCCAGCTTGTCGTGTTTTTCTTTCCATATTTGATAAATTTCTAGTCACACTGTCAGATAACAGCTTAGAAATTCAGTTATAAATTTTTTTTGCAGACAGAACTATTGGCCAGAAGGTGACGCATTAAATATGTGCATGCAAATGACAGCTTACAAATGCCAATATGTCAACAGTATGGAAGTATTCTGAAGTGTCAAAACGGACACTAGACACAATACTGAATATCTGTATTTGAAAAAACTACAATACTACCAATTATTGATGGAGGGTTTTTTTTAAGACTAACAGGTTAATTCAATTATAGGCAAAACTTAGTGATCTTTTCAATCAAAAATTAAGTGTGTTGGCATCGGCCAATAAAAGCTTGAACTTAATGGTATAGGGCTGGGTGATATGGCCTCAAATCAATATTACTATATATTAAGCAGTTCACCTCAATAACGATAAACAAACGATAACTACTCCACAAGCTGCTCACCCCCTCCGACATTAACTACATCTACTTAAACAACTTTTAAACCATCCTCCATCTCCTCACCTGTCTTTCCCTCTTTATTAACTGGATGGGGCGGAGTCACATCTCCGTCTTAAAGGAACATGAGACCATAGCCTACCTACACACAACCAAAACCAACTTTTATTTATTTATTTATTGACACTGAATATATTGACATGGGCAAATAACGTTGGTTATTGTCGCAATTGGTATCAGAAAATGTTCTGTTTATCGCCCAGCCCTATATTGGCATACCAGCTATGGCAAAAATCAAATAAAATGCATCCAGAATGATCATCATCAAAAATCAAGATGTAATAATAGCATATGAGAACAAAATACTCACAGTTGGTCACATTACTACAGAGCGAAAAGGTTTATATTTCCTCTGGTTTAAGTGTCGTGAGATGACCTACTGACAGCATGGTTAAAAGCTATACACTAGTTATAACTGACTCTGAGTGAGAACAAATGGGCTCTAGGGGGCGCTGCACTGATGGAACCTGGTTCACTGTCAAAGTGTAGTTGGTGTTGGACAGAACCTAAGCCAAGTTTTTAGACCCAGAGCTAAAGGAATGGGACTATCTAGTGATATCTAGTGGTCAGATTTGGACTGCTTACCCTGACCATCAGTGGAGGGACAGTGGTCTTCAAGGACAAGAAGGTCCTGGGATTCATTATAGGTATGATCCATCATTTCTAAAGTGTTTACCATTACAAACATCTATCAATACAAGGTCTGTCGCACACAGCCACTCTCTTTTTCTGCATTTTATAACCAGGGCCTTTAACAAAATACAACGTCTTCCTGGAGGGGGGACATCTAAAAGTAAAGCTCTAACTTGACAAAAACAAAAGAATTTGATGTTCACCAACCAAGTCTGTTCTACTAAATGCAAACTATTACACAGTGCACCTTTGATGACACGTTACTATCTGTGAGTGTGACATCCAGGCAAAGTAATAATTGGACTTCACACCAAAAGCCACCAGTCCTCTGCTTACTTGTTGCAAAAATAACATCCCTGCCAGTGCTATAATGGCAAACCATGGTGCGTCATAGAAGAATGGATGGCTTCATTATACATGTTATAACATCATCACTCAGAGCACAATTGAGCTGAGGCTGTGGGGAACTTCAAAGTGACTCGATGCACCGCTGTGACCCCTGAGGGAACGATGTTAGTAAAAGGGCCAGGAAACACGGGTGATAATAAATCAATACTGAAGGAGATGCTCCGAGAGGCCCCCAGGCAAAGGCCAACAAGCAGCCTGAGACCTCAACCCTGAGATGAATGCTTTTTATGGTCTTGAGTGACTGCCACACAAGTCTCACTCCAGTCAATGGCCTGAATCAGTCTGCAGTGGCAGGAACACAGAGAAACTGGAAGCATTTGCTGAAATATTTCTCTCTCGTTGTATTGTAGCCTTTATCTAAGGTCAGACTTGAGAGAAAACAAACTAAGCCTGGCTTTGTAGGCTGATATGCATCACCCTGCTGAGCTGGCTGATGAATATTTCCACGGCTCCAAAAGCCTTACTTACAATAAAGCATTTCATCTCATGACCTGGCTGATCACGGTTACATATGAGAGGCGACAGTGAACCTGCAGTACTTGGTAATTACAGGGAAATAAGGTAAAGAGACTCTGACTGAGACAGTGGCAGCTCAATTACATAACTTCTGAAGAACATTATCTGCTCTCTGTGTGCATTTCAGAGGTGTAAATGATAAAACAACACCTACATGTTCACACTTTCAGTAAATACACTGCAGTAAAAACATGACAGAGTAAATGGAAGTGGTGTTTATCTAATGTTAAACGTAACCAGCCACTTCTCTCATCTAAACCTTACATTTTAGGGTTAAAAATAAACTATAATAAACTCCTCAATTATGAGATCAGCTAAAAGCAGACTGTGTCACAGATAGGGTTATGTCATTTAGGATGTGGCATGATAAAAATAGGGTTGACTGGTGTTTTCAGTGTGAGAATCTAACAATGCACACACACTGTTAAAGACCCTTACATTGCGCCTCCTTGTACTATTCTGTTCTCAAACTAGGCCATGATGTCAGCAACATGGCCACACAATGAAGCCTGTTAGTCAGTCAGTTATTCAAAGAAACTGAACACAAATGGAGATTGCTTCATGGAAAATTGACTTAAAAAACCAACTTCAATGTGAGATACTGAACCATGAAGCCACTGAAGCATCTCATTTATGCACTAAAGCAAAATCATAAACTGAAGTGGTTGGCTCCCATTAATCACTTATTTGAAGTGCGAGAAAACATTTTTGTGTTATACTGTTTCTCTTGTTAAATTTTGTCATGTCTATATAATTGGACAGTTAACGCTTCTTTTGCACTTTGTAAGTGTAATATCAATTATTTTTCACTGAATTATGTTTTAAATCTCACTTTATACAGCTGATTTTAAGAGCATTGCACTCAAAATCCATTTTAACTTTGCCTTCCCGTTCCTGAATAAATGGAAATGAGCCTCCATTCTTTTTCTATTCTGTTCTACTGCATTCCTTCCTATAGTATTGCATTCTACTCTACTCCACAATTAAGTCTTTCAGTTAGCTTAGATACATAATCTGGGGGCTAAAAGCATTAGAAAATAAAAGCAGCAGGTCCAAAGACACTAGCATGGCAATTCAGGGTACTTAACAGACATTATACTGCATAACTAATGTACTTTTTTATGTATACTTACACATACCATAAGCTGGCTGTGTTGTGCATGTTTGTAAGGCTGAACATTTATGCCCCTTCAGCATCACCCTCTTGGAATAAGCTGGGCGTTATTGCAGATTGAAGCTATTTTGTAAGCTATTGAACACAAGTAATCTAAATGACTGTACAGTGTTCTTAATCATGCGAATTATGGAGGCTTGGGGTTTAGCAGGCAAAATGTGTTTTTGTTCCATAGTATCAATACCTACTATTATTGAGAATTGGAGCTTTAAAATGTACATGCTCACACGCAATTTGATCAGCGTGGCAGTGCTAAAATGACGGTGTAGCCATGTATTTACAAGGATCCTATTCAAAACGTGTTTGGGTAGGAGTAGCAAGCTTCTGTGTCAATAAGACACGGGTCAACTGAGTTCAGCAGTGTTCGTCGTAGGGGAGAGTGGAGTAAGATGAGCCATTTTTCATATTTCGGATCGCTACATCAAGTCAATCATAGTTTTGTTTCTAACTAGTGTATCTGCATATATTTTAAGATGCTGTGCATCCCTGCAAACCAACAGAATTGAACCTCCACGCCCCTACCCGGTCCTTGGAAAAGGTTGTATGAAACTGGTCCTGGTACAAAAAAGGTTGGTGACCACTGATTCAGAACATTCACAGCTGTATTTTTGAAAAGAAAAAGTGAAACATTTCAACAATCTGAACTGAAACTTAGATCTTCTCATCAGACTCCTTTACTTTCTCAGTTAAGTCACTGGTTCAACTTACCCCAGAACTACTATGATGACTTTATTAGTCCTCTGAGCTAAAATGCTAGGTTTTTGACCTCATGTTGTAGCTCATAGATACCACAATTGATGTATAAAACAAATTTAAAATTATCTTTTTTGGTCTGAACACTACGGGGGCAGAGAACCGCCACTGCTGCAAATAAAAAAAGAATGCAAAAAAAAAAGAAGCCACAATGGAAGTTACCAATGCGAAAAAAAGGAACTGGAGCCCACTGCAAATAAAAAAAGAAACGGTGCAGATAAAAAAAAGGCACAATGGAAGTTAAGGACGAGTTTTACAATCTAGGCACAGAAGACGACGGCGAGAAGACGAGCAAAGAAGCTAGTGAAAAGGTTATTGTTTAATTTCGCTTTGTAAACTTTTCAATGGGTCATTTGGTTAGGCCATGTAGCGCCTGAGTCGATATGAAGTTGACACTTCACCGGGATCCTCCAGTTACTCCAGTGCATCATCATTATTGGCCCCCAGCAGCTCACTTCCATTGTGGCTTTTACTTATTTGCAACTTTTTATTTTCGCAGTAAGTAACTTTTTTTTTTTTTTGCGTTGCCACTTTTTTTGCATTGTTAACCCTTGTTGTTTCTTTTCTTATTTGCAGCAGGCTTTGGTTTCTTTTTTCGCATCGGTAACTTCCATTGTGACTTCTTATTTTTGCATTCTTTTTTATTTGCAGCAGCGGCAGTTCTCGGCCACCATAGAACACAATTCTCATCAAACTCATGACAGACTAAATTCACTTTCAAGAGTGAAAATGATTTTTTTTTAAATAAATGTCTAACCCCTTCACCCATGTGCTTCTAACCTTCACAGACTCCATGAATTGATGCCCATCTCCTAAATATTTGGTCACATGATCAATTTCTTTTATCATTTTCAAGCAACAGGGGGTGGCTTAACTTACCCCACTCTTCCCTATATAAAGTGTTGTAGTATTTGTAATAATGACATTATTTTAAGGTCTGGTGTCAATAACGACCGTAGAGCTGACACAACTTTGAAATGAGCGGTACAGTATGAGGTGAACTTACTGTCCACGTTCCTAAATACAGAGAGGCCCGGTGTCTAATGGGAAAACTGACTGCAACAGACATGTCAGTGAAGCCAACATTATGTTCAATACAGAATTAGAATTACAGAGGAAACCCCTGATGTAAAAATAGGACTATACAAGGTCCAGTGTGGCTAAGTAGGTGGCTAACCTCTTTGACAGGGGGGAATTTCTTCTTGCACTCCATGGACAGAGACCGCAGATCCGTCTGCATGTTCTCCAGCAATTTCTTCACCGCTTCGGGGCTGCTGGTCGACATCTTTGACAGCGTCTTCGACAGATATTTCACGAAACTTCACACACAATAATGAATGCGGGAGCGTAGTCGCCCCCCACCCATCCACAGCGGGAATATAATCCGTGTCTGCTTTTACTCGGCTGCCTGGTAAAGGAGAAGAAAATCGCCGCGGTCCATTGACACAGTATCCCACTTCTCTTCTTCTTCGGGCGCTCGGGCGCAGGTGAAAAGCGATGACACCGGCATATGTTCCTCTTCTTCAAAGCTCGTTTACACCTGCTTCATAAAGTAGCATCGCCCCTCCTCAATCTGTGTTTTCTAAAACTGCTCACTTATCGAGGATATTTGCCTAATTCAGGAGTCTGCCATCAGCGGCCGTCAGCTCCACTTCCCTTCCCACAATGCTTCGGTGGACAGTGACACGTCACTTGGACTTCCGTAAACAGACTGATTCAGAATAATGGCGACAGCGACCCCTGCCGGCTCAGTTTGATACAGACCACCGCCATGTGGAAAGAAGCCACGTAAGTTTGTTCTGCGTAGTTACACGTCGAAATACAGTTCACCGCCAAAAGGCTCGAAATGACGTTTCAGCTGCAGTAATCGACAATAAAAACATCTATTTTTAACTCTGAACACACATTTTGTGAACCTATGTGGATTTAAACGGAGTTTTTAGGTAGGGAAGAGTGGGGTAGGTTGAGCCACCCCCTGTTGCTTGGAAATGGTCAAAGAAATTGATCGTGACCAAATATTTAGGAGATGGCATCAATTCATGGAGTCTGTGAGGGTTAGAAGCACAGACTGTATACACTATGAACAACTTGGTTCCGCCTTCTGCCAGTATATGGAATTGAAGCCGAAAAGCTCAAGGGAATTCCGCGTTTTTTCCCCATGTTAAACCATTGCGCAGTAGCGTTGTGCGCATTCGGCGGGAGAGTCGCCGAGAGTTGCTGTGATGACGCTCGGCTCAAACAGTATTCTCCAGGTGAGCAACACAATCTTCGTACGCCCATAGACTTTATCAAGTGTCAATCATAGAAAACATGAACCCCCTAATAACTTTTAAAAATGGAGCTGCACAGAAAAAAAGAGGACTTGAGCACAAACCAGTCTTACAATAACTACATGTCAACATCACAAGCAGGGGGGAGAAAAATGTATATTCTGTCTAATAAATTTCTAAAGATTGTCCACAACTCAATAAGCTTTGCTGGTGGAGGCAGGATTTATGACCTGTACTGCAGCCCGTCACCAGAAGGTGCTGTTCTCGGAGTGGCTTCACCCAACAAGGAGGCAGACGGCGTCCATTCAGTGTACAGTCTATGGTTAGAAGCATATAGGTGAAGAGGTTAGACATTAATTTCCAAAAGAACATTTTCACTTTTGAAAAGGAATTTAGTCAGTCATAAGTTCTACTAGAATTGTGTTCAGACCAAAAAAGATCATTAAGGGATACGGGATATGGCTCAACTTACCCCACTCCTATGGTCAACTTACCTCATACACGGGATAAGTTGACCATAGGAGACCACTTTTTTTTGGCATGCTATATTATCAAGACAGTTATGTTTATACTCATTCTGTTGGTTTGCAGGGATGAACAACATCTTGAAATATATGCAGATACATGAGTTAGAGACAAAATTATGAAAAATGTCTCATCTTACCGCAATCTCCCCTACTTGTCTTGTGTGAATTCTCCATTCAAGAAGAACGTGCATGCTTCCCCCTGCTTATTCATTTTACAGCGGCACCAGTACTGTTTAAGATTAATATCCATATCTTTTGACTCACTATTGAAACTCACAATGTGATAAATCCAGGGGCGGAACCTGACTTTTTTGACAGGGGTGGCCAAACCATGAGTACAGACTAATGCAATGGTGACATGTGCACACACATTTTAGTTGTCACTTTTACATCCGGCGCCCGCTGTGTGAATAGATAATTAACCTTTGGAGTACTGTGTACATTTTAGGACATCCTCAAGTCTCAGACCTCAGATGAAACGGCCTCAGATTTGCTATTGAAATGATCAAAACAACAAATTGTTTTAAATCCCTTTGACACTATTTGTTCTTTAGGCTGACATTACATGAAATATTACTTATTTCTGACAAAAAGTTAGAATACATTTTTCCACTGTGGATAATATATATTTTTTTACCCTTAAAGAGATATATCCATTGCTCCACATGCAGTTATTTGGAGGTCTTGCATAATTATAGTCATATCAAACTATGGATGTGATGCGCATCAGAGGAAGGCAGCAGCACAAGTTGGTGTGGCTGTTGTATGAGACTGGATGATGATATGTGCAGACATGCTTTACAGGAGCACCCATCATCCCCTGAGGCTACAGTGACAGCAAGAGGGAGCCCACATACCAAGCTGCAGGTCTGTACTTTGGTATAACAAAAAATAGACCAAACCAGACTTCTGATTGTCTTTCTTCACCATTATGTTTTAGTGCACAGAAGATAACTTGTTATTCCACGTTTCTTTGATATAAAAAGCAGCCTTCAAGCAAGTCAGTATTTCATTAGTATCTGACTTGTATGATCTGTTCATCTTACAAAAACAATCTTTTTATTTTTAAGGCTGTTTGAAGGAACAGAGCTTTTCTTCAGGGAGAGCACAACTTCTGCATCTACTGAAACCCTTTTGAAATGTGATAAAAGGTTTGACAACAGACATAACAGAAAGTAACAAAATAAATCGGCAAAGCTCTAACATTGTGCACTAACTGATTTCAATGATGTAATGGAAATTATCAGAATGATTCAAGTTCATGTCGACAATGAAACCCTTATGTACCTTCATATAAAGTCAATACATGTTTACAAGCTTTAGATTTTTTACTTAAAGCCCCTGTAAAGAGTATTTTGGCACTTATGAAGAGACTTAAATTTATATCGATGTTTTTCCATGCCAAAAAAAGTAAACAAGAACATAAGTTCCAAGATTGAATACATTTTGGGAACCCCTTAGGATGTTTTTATTACCACCTTATTTTCACCATGATTTCTAGTCAGCCTATAACTTGGACCATCTCAAGATGACCACTCCAAACATGGGAACATTTGGCACTGGGGGTTCAAAAACTCTCTTTTATAAAAATGCTTCTGTTGTTTCTGCAACATTTTAAGTCATTCAAGTATGTAATGTGGCATTGAGTTTTCTGAAATACAGTGGGAAGTATTAGAATGAGATTCTGAAGCTTTTTAGCCAATGAGGTTTCTTGGCTTTTTTAAACTGGAACATTTCTTCCAGGTATTACTGTATCGCTAATACTCCAAATACTGCTATCGTTAAAAAGGACTTTTGCATTCAGTTGTGAAATGAAGGCCAACAAAAGTATATACTCGAGTTTGTTTCAACTGAGGGTGTTTTTATTCAGTCATAGAAAATTAACATATAAAAGTTATATGTGTAAAAGTGTTCCCTATCACAAACCAATGATCTTTTATTCATTTCAACATGTAAAGAAAGACATGATGCAGTTCTTCATTGTACAGCAGAGAAACTGACAGCAAGAGTGGTGTTTTAAATTTGGAGTAAATCCCTTAAACCAGCCTGCTCTGGTCATGTTATCTAAGTGGCACAACTGTCTCCTTCAGGCACTTTACATTTAATTTCATATCATGCAATACATAAAGGAAAAGAGATAAGAAAAAAAACACTGTGCTGAAATTAAATCCTGTGGGAGAAATTATGTGACACATTCAGCCCACTTTGCAGTGTTCAGCAACAGACAGAGTACAAACACACGGTGAATAATGAGCATAAAAACATTAAACGGTGAGCTGCGTGAGTTCAGGTCAATCCAGCTAGATAGAAATCCAAAATCTAATTCTTGAATTCCCAAGAACAGTTCACTAATACATATTCACAGATTATTTTTATTACAAATTGTACCTCCTGAGATGATGACTCTCTCCTGCTCAGTACAAACAGAAACACTATATGTGTACATTCAAATACACACAGATTCTCTTCAAGTGATCTTTAGTGATCTGTACACTCTCGTGATACCTCTTGTGCTTTTATTGAAGATGTTAGAATCAATTAAGTAATGTCATGTCAGACTAACTGAACATTAGAGATGTCCATAACACAAAAAAATGCTTCCTTAGAAAGCAGAAACGATCAAATGTAAATTCTTAGCCACTGTGTGACAACAATGGCTTTTTTTTTTTTTTTAAATGTACGAGTGATTCTGCCACAGACAAAGTCCCCCGAATAGATTTGAAACTGTGAGAAGGAATACTGATGCCAGCGAGGAATCTTCAGCAGCAGGTCAACAGGTACAGATCACATGACTCTTCAAGTCCGTGCTGCTTCAATTTCGCCAACACGACTGGTGAGGTATTGCTGTAGTTGGGACGGAGCCCGAGAGAGTGTCAAAGTTAAGGAGAGATCCTTTGACCCCCACCAGGCTCTGAATCCAACCCTCTATTGTCTAACAGTGAGACTCTTTTTCATCAACAGGGAAGTAGCCGTCCTTGTTGGGAGGTGATCTCTGGTGGAGGCTGTCACCGTCCGCTGAGTAGACGGCCAGCAGCTTCTCCTGGTCCTGCTTGGTCTTCGGCAAGTCGGGGGATGGAGTCGTCAACAGAACAAGACGCTGGGAAGGAGAGAAAGGAGGGAGATTTGATGATCATTCTTAAACAGATGTAGACACAGGACAACATTGAAGAGAAGTGTCTGTTCCTATTTAAAAAGGGATTTCCATCCAATATCCTCACTGAAGTAAGACATACAGTATGTTTATCAAAGTGCAAATTAGGAATCCATCTGAACCATCTGTGTTTGCTATTGGATCAGTTGTAAACTAAATACAAGTTGAGCTAGATCCGACAGGAAATGTATATTTGAACTTATCAAAGCCAGTGTTAACACCCCTTAGAAATGAAGGATGACCCAGGAAATTCTACTTTGCAGTGAAAGAGTAAGTCTTACGATGCCTGGCTAGTTTTATCACAAACATAGGCCAGCAAAAACAAAATGTGAGTCTAAACTCTCTAGCACGTGGTAAGTTCATTGGTAAATAGTTTGCTTTTTGGACATCCAGCAGATACAGAGAATCTGTATTATTAAATATGTTTTGGTCCCTATCAGTGTTGTGCAAGTTCACACTACAAGTGAGTTTGCTTAAAGTTTTCACACCTCATAAAATAAAAGTCAGAAACTCTGAACAAGCGAACATGTTACATGAACATGTTACACCTCTCTAAGACCATACAAGATTTTAGTCCATTGTAATCTGTCCTAATTTGTTCATACAGCAGCACCCAGCATGCCGTAAAACCAGCTGTGGCTGCTGTAAAACATGGGGCTCTGTATCTGTCAAAACCTCCCAGATCCTTTTGTTATGTGAGCCGTTGTTCCCCGTCTCCAGAGTGAACTGCATTCACATTCTGGTTCATGAGATGCCAACTGAGCCGCTGAGTTCACTATTCATCAAAATACATGCATGTTGGGTTAATGTGTTAATTTCACACTGGTCTGTGCAAACTCTTAAGGTACCTATCTGTTTCTTAGTATGCATATGTACCACTGAAAGTGCTCATATAAACGCATTGATGAAATGGCTCTTAAAACAAAGATATTCTCAAATATCTGAAACAATTTAAATTTAATTTTCTTCTGTTGATTCTTCTGATGTACAGAAGAGCTGCAGTTATTTTTGCTCATTTAAAAAAGACAGATTTTGATTCAAAATTACCTCTTTCATTGTTCCAGGTGTGTAGCGCAGTTTCATAGCTATCCAGAGAGGGATGCACATCATGGAGGACAGGGCCAGGATCCAGCCTATCCCATTGCCCCACCAGGGGTACACATACTCGTTGTTATACTTGAGAGGTGAGTATTTAATCAAGGCAAACGCAAAGGTCCCCTAAAAACAGAGACAGAGAGATATTAAATGGCTCCATACAGATGGATGACGTTAGCACACACTTAATTAGAAAAATTAGCAACCAACGTAAGAGGTAATAATAGTCCTTATCCTTGCTATTTCCTTGCAACATACAGATAAGTGGTTCCAGTTGGAATAATCAAATGCATTTTCAATTATGACCAGCAGGGGCCGCTGTTTCTCAGGAGAACAGTGTAATTAGCATGCTTGAAAATGTATGTGACACTCACGAAGCAAGTTGCAGGGGTGAAGAAAAGCCAGCAGTATTTAATGACAGGGCTAGGGCGATAGCCAATCATGTCCTCTATGTTGTCATAGAAACGGTCAGCGCCTGTAATCAAGAAGAGACGCAAGGGGGAGTTAACAATCAGTATCTAACACTTTACACAGTTTGAAGAGTAAAAGCAAGAAATATATCATATTAGCTAGTAACTTATATTTCTGATAGACATGACTGCTTATTGAAGAGCTGTCTCTTCAAACATGACTGCTTGAATAAAAAGGGTTAATTTGTTGTGATTATAGTTTATTCTATGACAAATGATTGAAATAGCTTTCCCCTTACACAGCCATACTGTAGCCTCTCACTCTGTTGGTTTAATTTCCCTGTCTCTGATTGGCTGAGCGCAGAGGTCAGTATGGTCAGGGATGAATAGTGTACAGTGAGGATAAAGTCTTTGTCTCTTGGATGCCACAGAATGACCTGGTTGACACACTCACCATAAACCCAAGCAATGCAGACAGTCTCGAACACAGCCACAAAGAGCAGACACATGCCACTGGCTGCGTAGTAGTCAAAAAGCTGGAAGACGTACATGCCGCCCTGCAGAGACAGACATGAGTTTATGACTCCAGATGTTCAAAGAAAACTGCCATGTGGTCAAAGTAATAGAAAAAAACTCAGCCTAAACAAAAGATATGTAGATGTTTCTGTAAAAAGATACACAGTGAAAAAACTGTTAAAATCGAATATCTGAGATTTTAGGTGAATTTGTCTGGAGAGCTGCAATCAAGGCTGTGTAAGAGGCAGAAATAAGCAGTTTTAAAATTAGGTTAATGAATTGCTAAGTATTTAAAATTAAGATGCCAGATTAAAAAAAACCTTCCTCACTCAACCCTCTGACAATATTTTGATATTCATTATTATATCGTTACTTCAAAAGTTCAATCTTCCGTAAACCAATTTTTTAAACGATTCTTTGTAATTCTGGATAAAACTATGTTGGTTTTACAATGAAACCAGGAGTGTACAATTACTAAACAATCATGTGATCTGTTTCTGAGACAAACCTCTGTCAGCATGATGAGCCCCATGAGGAAAGACATCAGAGCTAATGCCAAGATGAAGAGCTCCCTGCGGTTTTTACGTCGGAAAGTGGAGGGGTACATGTCCACCATGGCTGTCACGAGGCTTTCCACACACACAAACTGAACAAGACCAAAAAAATAAAGGTAGAATATATGTTTTAAAAAAGTTAATTTCTCATGAATCTATATGTGCAGATTTCAAACTGAAAAGGTGAGTTTAGATGAACAAAATCAGAGATCTGTGCGCTTTATTTGTCAGATTTGAGGCTAATGAAGATGCACATGTTGGTGTTACCTGACTGTCCAAACCCAGAAAGACAATCATGATGAAAAAGCAGCAGGCCCACAGAGGGGAGAAAGGCATCATGGAAACAGCACGGGGATAGGCAATGAAGGCCAAACCTGGACCTGAAGAGACACGTTTCACTGTGTAAGTTTTGTGCATCTAGACTGCAGATTTTTCTCTTTTTCAGAGTAAATCAGTAACTTTTGAAGTAAACGTAAAGAAATAGGAAGCGTTGTGAACAGAAATACCAACCAGATTCAGCCACTTCTGAGATGGGCACGTTCTGCTCATAGGACATAAAGCCCAGGATGGAGAAGATGGCAAAACCTGCAACAAAACTTGTTCCACTGTTCAGGAAACAGAGGGACAGGCAATCCCTGGAAAATGAACACAGAGAGAAGCATATGCTTTATAAGAAACTGCGCGTAGGGTAGATTTTTGACGCCTCTGAATAAAAGTTAAGTCAAATTTCAACAATATTTCAGACCTATTGCCCTTACTTGTAGCAGTTGTTGTTGTATTTATTGTAGCTTCCCAAAGCAGTGAGGCAGCCCAGACAGATGGCATAGGAGAAGAAGATCTGAGTCCCAGCATCCATCCAAACCTAAAGACAGATCAGAAATAAGACAATAAAATAAATGTATTAAACAGGATACTGAGGCAAAATAAAACATGTCACCCAATCTAAATAATCTTTTTTTTCATTAGAAATTCATTAGAATCTTGATTACCCTTCAATCAAGTCTCTATGTTGAAATATATTATAATAGGATGAGATATAATGTGTCAGGGTGTGATATGATACAGTATGATGCCCTATCAATTGTTTAAAAAATATAGGATAACATCAGGATATCAGGATATGATATGGTGCGATGCAATTCGATGCCCTGTGATACAATACAATACGATACGATATGATATGATATGGTACGATACCTTCCTATACCATACCATAGAACAGGACAATGCAATGTCATGTGATACAACATACAGTAATATGTTACCATACAATTTCTTACAGTACAACATGGGATACATAAAAAACAATATATGATACCGCACCAGACCACAACATAAGGCACGGTACAACAGGATACAAAATGACATGGTAAGATACAATACCATACAACACGACAAGGTGCGACCCATATCCAATAGGCTACAATATGATATTATAGGATATAATATTGTATGATATGATGCTGTGCAATCCTATAAAATGCAGAGTAATGATACCATACAATATAATACCATATGATACCAGGTATAGTAATTCCATACCATACCATAGAGTTAGGCACATTTTGATTGCACCTTTTTGGCAGAGGGATTTTTTTTTGTTGTTGTACACATTAGGCTAACTCCTTACTGGTAATAATATACTTCTTTAGCACACAGCCAAACTACCAAGCTAACTCTAGGACTCCTTAACTCAGCCTCTCAACCTCTCCATCCTTACATCACCCACACAGGGAAGCCTATTACTGATCCCAGTCTCTCCCATGCATTAAGTGCAGCATGTTTTCACCCACTGTGAACTCTCAGCCACACTTCAAAATACAAATGAGGTTAGTCTTTGTGCTCCCAGTTCTACTAGTGCTCTCAGGGCACTGGGGCATGTTTAGATACCTGTCAGCCAGCACTGAAGATCTGATTGACAAGGGGTCCAACCAACAACACAAGCTCTGGACACAACATTACACAAAGGCACCAACTCCACCAGCCTTGCTTGTCTTGGCCGGCACACACAGGGCTTGCATTCATCCAGAAAGCCCAAAGAGGAATTGAAGAGGGCCCCTTTTTTGGGATTTTCACACTGGTTGAAAAGTTCCTGTTACCACCATTCCAAATCTATTATCTTTTCCTTCGCTGTGCAGAAGTCCTTGACATTCAGCAGGACACATTATCACAAGGCAGTGTCTCCTGGAGACACACTGGTCCCAGCATGACTTATGGCAACTTAAAGTCTTGATCAGCAAGAAGACAGAAATCTAAATATGCTTTATCACAAGGAAAAATCTACAAGTCTAAGAGTTTTTAATTGAATTAATTTGCATCCTCCGTTCTCAAACCTGCTTGGCTACAACAAAAACAAATCATCTATGCTAGCTTAAAGTTTTAAAGCTGCTAAATACTGTACAATTGTCAATTCCATTCAAGTGTCATGTCTACTGAAAAAAGTCCAATATTAACTTCTCTTTAATTCCCGAAGCCTACTACACCTTAGCCAAAAGAGCAGCAGATTAGGAGCAATCAAGCTAACAGGGAAGTTAAAAATTATTTGTAGATGTTTTTTTAAATAGATTAAAATCTGGGGAAAAAAAGTATGATAAAAACTACAAGCCAACAACTGAGGCACAAGCAGATTTAATACTGTGCAGTATCTTTATTTTGTGTTAGGAGTGTAGTCAACAGAGGCTTCTTTTAGCTATACCAATAATCATTATATTAGTTTGTATAACCTTCATCTATGAAGCCCTGATTTAACTACTTGGTCACAGATCAATATCTGTTTCTCTCGATCCTTCTAGTTTGGAAAGGTAGTTACATGTTATCTAAAACTAATTCTTAATGATGTTTCTCAGCCTGTTTAAGTTAACCTCACAGAGATTACCAAACCAACAGATCATCGCAAATGATCCCTGCCATGTTGCAGTGACAGGCAGCGGTGGGCATGTTTCAGGTTTTCAGCATTTGCAAATTGAGTATAGCTGGTTCAGGCTGTTCAAGTTCTTATCCTGTCATTTGTTTTGTTTATTAAGTTTTCTTCTGGTTTTATTTGAGTGCATTTTGTGTGTTTTCCCTAGTGTTTCTGTTCCCTATTGTTCCTGTTCCCCTGTAGTCCAGTCTTGTGAGTTTTTAGTTTGTGTCTGACCCTGTTTCCCTCCTGCTCTCTGTGTTTTATTCTTTAGTTTTCAGTGTTTCCTGTTTTATTTTGTAGTAGTTGATTCCTAGCGTTTCTAGTCTGGTTTTACTTCCCCAGTTTTCACTCCTTTGTTAATCACCCTTGATGAGTCTCACCTGTGTCTCGTCTGCCTCACCTGTTGCTCGTTTCCCAGTGTGTATTTAATCCCTGTCTTCCCCTTTGTTCTTGTTGGTTCATTGTGTGTGTGCGTGTCAGCCTGTTCCCTGTGATATTTTATCTCTAAGTCCCTGCTCTCCTGAGTGTCTTTTGATTTCTTTGGATTTTGCTTCTTGTATTTTTTGGAGATTTCGACTTTGGGATTTCTTTGGTTGGACATTTTCATGTAAGTTTTTGTTGCCTTTCATTCAGTTCATTTTAAATAAATCCTTTTTTTTTTGTCTGCATTTGGGTCCTTTCCCTTTTATTTAATCCTGGACTATGACATATCCTGTGTTGTGTATGACTTCACCAGCTTGCCTTGGTTTTTTGAATATGAGCATGAAAAGGAGGGAGGTGTGCTCTCCCTACTCTAAGCTAACATGTGGAAGGGCAGTCAGCTCCCAAAGCAGAGTCATACAGCCAAACATAAGTCACTGCATGCAAATACTAATTTACTTTGACAAAAATAGTCCAGACTGAATGGAACATTCTTGAAATGGACAAAAATATCCTCTTGTGTCTGACGGTTATGATGTTGCTGTGTATGTGAATAACTAATTTGAACTTAAGTGTGACTGTTCCAGTTTTGAAACGAAGGCGTCAAAATACTTTGTTAAACATTAAAACGTTGGCAGACATTGGATGGATGTTTTCCTGCCCTGCTCTACTAGTTGAGGTCAGTGTTCCTTTAAATGTTCAATGCATGTATACAGTGTTCCAGCAAATGTCTATTTAGTCTACCTGTGGGTCTGACAGCCGTCCCAGGTCAGGGTAGAGGTAGAAGTGAATTCCCCTAAAGGCTCCAGGCAGGGTGACGCCTCTGATGAGCAAGATCAGCAGCATCGCATATGGGAAGGTGGCTGTGAAGTAAACCACCTGAAAGGAAAAAGCAGAACTTTATACTTGGATATACTGTGTCCAAAAGTGGTTTATCTAGCAGCCAAATTGGGGTTTTATTAATTCTACCTCTCATTGTGCATCATTTCTTTCAAATGTGAGGACAGAGCAGACCGCATGGCAAGTGTATTTAGATAAAATCATGTACTTCAGGAAAAAAAAGGCTGCAGAAAAATGTGATTGTGTGCCTGTAATGAGCTGAAATTTCACCTTGCCAGTAGACTTCACCCCCTTCCAGATGCAGAAGTAGCAGATGACCCATGCAACAGCCAGACAGATGACCAGATCCCAATTCAGAGAGCCAATGTGATGGATACCTGAGGATATTCGCAGTACTCTTCGTCTGGGGCACACATGGAAAAAAAATGAGACAAATATTAGAAAAGTTTTATTTACACTTTGAACTTCTATTATCACAAAACTGTCATATCCAAGCCTTGAATTTAGTACAGTCAACTAGATATGTGTGTGTGTTTTAATGAGCTAAAAAGCTTGGTGTGTTCACAGTTCAAAAGGCTTCTTTAAAAACAAAACTCCAAAACAAGTAGTAAAAGTTGTAACCAGGTGAAAAATCCTGATTTTTAAACAAAAAAATATAAAAAAATAAACCAAGAAAAATCTAGAATAAATCTTTGTAAATGGAATAATTTGCATACTTCGCTGGCATGTTAAGTCATTCTAGGACACGGCCAAACAAAAAGATACTTACTCCCAGAACTCAATGACAGGAGAGGTGGCGTTCTCATGGTGATTGATGGAGCTGTTCCCCCTCTGAAATTCCATACAGGATTCTTGAATGAAGGAAAGACAAAAAGACATTCAATCCCCTGAAGAAATCCAAGCTTTCTCTGAGGTTTCCAAGTAACACAGAGGCAAGCGAAACAATGCAACCACAAAGATGAAGGACACAGAGGGCGAGGGGATGTTTACTGCTAAATATAAACCAAAAACACAAATAAGTGAAACTAAATTAGAAAGCTGATAAAATATATGCTAAATTCACACATGTTAAATAAGGATTGTATTGAAATCCATCAGTAATTTAATCTAAATCTGGCTTTTCAGATTTGCAACAACACATCAGGCTAAACTCGATTAATGATTACACAAAGACTATACACTAATGGTAGAAAATCCATATCTTGGTCTTTGCTCAGTAGCCCGTGTCTAACCTGTGTTCCATGTGTTGTTGCAGGAGGCCCAGGGCAGATCCCAGGTGAAGGAGTTGGACAGGAAGAAGATGGCCCAGGCTAACACAACGATGTAGTAAATGTTAAGGAGAGCAACAATCACCTGGGTGGCATAACCCACACCTGAGGGAAGAAATGTTCTGGTTAGATCGGAGCATTCAAGTGATGACATTCTTCTCTCTAACAAGGAAAAACACAGAAATATAAAGCTCCTGACACTCTCAGCCACTCCAGAAAAAGATGAGTGGTTTATCATTTGATAAAGCAAATGACAACTAAAAACGGAAGAGTGAATTAAAAAAGCACAACTTTCTAAAACTTGAGCCTACGCTTGGCTTAAGTGCCAATCCTCCTCTAGTTGGTTATTTATGGCTGATTTCACACATTTTGAGGCAGAAAATGGAACATTAGCCAGTGCTTGTTGCTTTTCTGCTATTGCAACTTCATACTTAACCATCCCACATCTGATCAGCACGTGTTAAATGTTGCCTGACACTCATGCATGCACTCAGACAGACAGTAATGCACAAATGCAGTGATAATGTTTTCGAAAGTATAAATGCACATTTTATGCACGCCTGATATTCCTCTTTAGAGGAATCTCCACTGGAATAGACAGAGTTTGCCTCCTAGCTGGGTTATTAGGGGTTCATGTTTGCGATGATTGACACCTGATACAGCCTATGGGCGTTCAGGGATTGCGTAGCTCTCCCGGGGGATACACTGTTTCAGAGCAGTGGATTAAACATGTGTAATCCACTGCTCTACACTGTTTGAGCCGAGCGTCATCACAGCGACTCTCTGCGACTGTGCGGCCGATTGCGCGCATTGCTACTGCGCAGAGCTGGTTTCAGGAAATGGAGAAAAATCCCGGAAACACCGAGAGCTTTTTGGCTTCAAATCCGTAAACAGGCGGTAGGCGGAACCAAGTTGTCCATAGTATATACAGTCTTTGGGCTTAACCCAGCGAGGAGGCAGACGGCGTCCATTCTATATACAGTCTTTGGTGGCTATTGTCTCCAGAAGGGTTCCGTATATTTCTGCATTAAGATTGAAGCAGCTGTCTCTTTAAGAGTTCGCTCCTTCCTCAAAAGGCGGGAGCCGGTACCCAGCGCCTCGGCAACCAGCGTCCAATCAAAAGTGCGCACCGAGCGTTCAGACTTCCGGAGTTTGTTTGTTTGCAGAAGTAAATATGTCTCACTCGCAAGCAGCATGGTCCTATTGGATTACTGCGGTTACAATGCAGAGTGCAGACTGACGTGCAGCAACACGGTAAGCAAATGTACCGTGTACCTGCTCTTTCATTTTACACTGTCACTGACAGGTTTAGATATAGTCACTCGTTTTGTCACAGTCTCAAAGATCTCCCTCTCATTGGCTTTGAAAATGTATGCAGACCTTCTGAGTATGTGACGCCAAAACTTCAGTGACAGTTTTATTTGATTTCAGTGCTACAACATTATCCCATATTGATTTTTTCTTACCTTCAAACAATGGACAGATTTTCCTCCAGCAGGTGATGCCTCCTTCACTCGTGAACTGACCCAGAGCTGTCTCCAGGAAGAAGACCGGGATTCCACAGGCAAACAGGAAGATGAGGTATGGGATGAAGAAGGCACCTGTGAGCAGAAAATAACTTCATAGTAGTCTAATAAAATGTAAACTTGGGGGCTTGTTTAAATTTCAAACTCCTTCAATGAATTCAGATATGTTTCTTAAAAGTTTGAGATAAATCTGTTTGTGCATATAAGTTCTCTGGAATCAGATATCAGCTAACTGACTGCTAAATGTGTTTGTTTATTGATGTTCATGACCTTCATTGCAGAGTGGATCTCTTTGAATAGATCACATATTAACCCTGGATTCTTCTCTAGTTTAACGTTACCACCACACAGAAGCTGAGTTTAGGTTTGGGTTAGCTGCATCAACAGGATACAAACTTGGCTTGTGTTTGGCTCCTAATCTAAAAGAGCTGCTCTAATGTGACAGAGAGAGAAAGCTAAAGCTCTGGAACAATTATCATTACTGATCAAAACACGTTAAAATTTACTGCCTCTTCTTGGGAGGTATTCCTGCCACCACACCCGATGTCAAAGATAATTTAGTCAATACAGATGGTTTTGTTTGACAGGCCGGAGATGGGAAAGCAGAGAGGAAAGATGGGAAACACTTACCTCCTCCATTCTTGTAACAGAGGTAAGGAAAACGCCACACATTCCCCAGGCCAATAATTTCTCCTGCCACTGACAGAACAAACTCCAGCTTGTTGCCCCATTGACCCCTCTCTATCATCTTCTCCTCTGTGCTTGGTACGATGTCCAGCGACCTGCTGTGTCCGTTGGAGGGTTCCACCTTTGCCATGTTCTCCAGATCATCTCTGCGTCCTGAGGAGGTACAGTACACAAGAACAAAACAGAGATATGACAAAAGCCGGCGAACATAGGACAGGATGGCGAAAGATGAAAGGTCAAACTTTCAAACACAATTAAGTAAATTTTACCAATCCAGTTTAACATGGATCAAATCAATTAATCAGTCTTGATTTGTATAGCACTTTTCATACACAACCATGTAGCACAAAGTGCTTTACACAGCAGAGAAATAAAAGAAACAAAGAATACCCAAATCTACCCCAACCCAAGCGCTCATTCCCACCCTGCGATCTAAGCGCAAAACAAAGTAACATAAAATGAAGTTTAAGAAATAATGAATGAAATAAAAACAACAGTAAAAGATACTAAAATAAGAGCACCAAAATAGCTCAATAAAAGTTGATCCTATCATAAAAAAAATAAAAAGCTAAAACACTTAAACTAAGTTAATGATATAACATTTAGTTAAAAGCAACACTAAAAAGATGCGTTTTGAGTTTGCTTTTAGAATCAATAAGACTTTTAGTTGTTGTTTTGGACAACATGGATCTTGTCGAAAACAAAGTTTGTTAAGAAATTTTAGGAATGGATTGTCAGGTGCGTCTTCAACTGGGAAGAGAGCCTGCACAGCCTCCACTTGAATTTGCTGAGGGCCCACCTTTCCTAGACGTTTTTAATGCACACAGTGCTCAGACTCTGTTCTCTGATGCCAACCACTAGCTGGACAAAAAATATGAGCGTGATTTTAAATCTTGTGTTCTGGAGTAACCTTGTTTGTTATTTTTGACAAGCACGCTTCTCCATAGGACCCCAAATTAAAATTCACTGGCGACAATAGGATACATTGTGTGTGTGTAAAGGTGTGGGTGTTTGTTTGTGTGCACTATGATACAAAACTGGGTCTATTTCAAGATGAAGCACGCTCAAGGCATAGAGGGACAATATGGAATCACAGGAACTCGCCTAGTACCGAATTCCCACACTTCACATCACGTGTGTATGATGACATGAGCTGTAATGTATGTCACTTTTACTGGGTTGGATGAGGTCACTAATTGCTCGAAGTTACATGACCACGTTAAAGGCTTGTCAAGCCTTTGGCAAGACCCCATTTTGGGGCCAGTGCTGCTGAAAGAATTTTCTCTCAGTGGAGGAAACAGACAGCTCACTGACTGTGCTCACTCCTGTCAGGTTGCATTAACAGCCTTCTCACCAACCCTTCTGTTACCCCTTTTCCTCTCTCTGGAGCTCATCACGGTCACTGCTGCAGGCCAAATTCAAACAAATTGATCATCTTTCTGCAGGGACACGCTTAAACTAATTCAGTTGCAAGAACACACGTGGACAAATATCCACCCTTCTCGTCTTCATCGCCTTCACTTTTAATGCACATTTTATGTTGTTTGACCTGGACGGAAAAAGCTGCCTGTTTTCTGAGTTAAACAACACATGGGATTGAAATCTCATTTTGCCTGACATCTCCTTTGAAACAACCTGAAGGAATTTGCTTCTACTGGCAGAGGGCAGAGGTGGAGCACAAATGTGACTCTGTTTGCGCTGTGTTGATGGGGTTGGAGGTTAGACCTTGTTTAGTGCCAAAACCTCAAGCACCAGAGCCAAATTGTGGCCTGAGGTAAAAATAGAGCCCCTTGTTTTCAAAAGGTAGTTGGTGGGAATGAAGGCTTGGTGCAACAAAGGCAGAGGAACCCCTCTGCTTTGTGCTGGCAAATGAGAATCATCAATGGCCCTGCTGCCAGATCACACTTTACCTCACTTTTTCAGTTTCTTAAAGGCTGCCAACATGCCAGCCTGATACCACACTGTCCTTTTCATAGGTGCAGTGTAATAATATCATCATTTAGAGGCTGAAACAGTTTTCACACATAGCTGCTTATAGACTGTGGAGGAAAGGCACACCATGAGAAGAAAACGCTAAGATGGAGAATGACTTCATTGAGGTGCAATGAAGCTTCAATCCAGGAAACGGTGCCAGCTTTACCTCTGACTGAAAAGCTGTGACTGACGGACCAATCCATTGAATGATTGACTTAGTGAATGTGTGACTGAATTTCTGGACAAGGATATGGTGGGCTCTGTTGAGTCTTTACACTGCCATTATCCTAGAAGATTACCCCAAAGGTTCAACATTGCACTTCTATAGCACTGGCAGCGAAAAGTTAAAAAAGAGCCAAAATGAGTGTGAAAACACTGATGTTGTCCTTTTTTATTGCAAAGTTTCTCTACCTTGTGTCGAGTCACAAAACACCTTTCATACACACATATTGAATCAGACAGTGATGATCAGTGATGAGTCTCCTGTCAGATATTTTACATGCTTCAGCCCCTAGCCGGATGACGTCAAGCAGCAATCTTTGGTCTTGAAACATACACCAGCTGCTGTAAAAATTTGGTCTCCGTACAAGAAAGGTTCAGAAGCGACTAGTTTATTCATTGTCAAAATAAAACTTCAGATTCCAACTAACTGACTGGTGTTGAGGTGAGGAAACACCCAGAAAAAAAGCCAATGTGAGCATTATACATTTAACCTGGTTAAATACTCAGTCTGCATGTGAGTACTGTCAAACGAGTTTGCTGGGTGTGGCTAAGGTTAGCACTATAGACTAGATATACTATGGACAACTTGGGTCCGCCTTCCGCCAGTATACGGATTTGACACTGAAAAGCTCTCGGTATTTCCAGGTTTTGTCTCCAATTCCTGAAACCAACATTGCACACTAGCATTGTACAAATTCGGCAGAAAGCATATTCCCCAGGTGAGCTATGCAATCTTCGTACGCCCACAGGCTGTATCAAGTGTCGATCATAGAAAACGTGAACCCCCTCATAACTTTTAAAAATGGAGCTGCACAGAGAAAAGAGGACTTGAGGACAAACCAGTCTTACAGTAACTACATGTCAACATCGCAAGCAGGGGGGAAAAATTTATATTCTGTGTGATGAATTTCTAAAGTTTGTCCACAGCTCCATAGGGATGGCTGGAGGAGGCGGGATTTATGACCTATACTGCAGCCCGCCACCACAGGGTGCTGTTCACGGGGTGGCTTCACCCAGCGAGGAGGCAGACAGCGCCCATTCTGTATACAGTCTATGGTTAGCAAGTTCCCCCTGCAGGTTAAATTCTGTATGACTGTTGGCAAAGACAAAACATATGACCAGTACTTCAGGTTTATTCCATTTTAAAAGCATTAGAAACTAGTTCAACTGAGCGGTAATTCTTGTGCAGATGGCAAAAGGTAAAAACTGCAATAGTTTGGCTTCACACACACAAGTGTAAGGGGGGAATTTATTCTTTAAATAGCTTGTCTGTTTTCAATTATATTAAGGCTTATAGTCATGTATAATGAGTCATATTAAAGGGCATAACTGATTTGATCGCAGTGAGCTTTTCCAATATGGACCCCACAGTCTTTGAGTGGATGACCCACTGAGCATCCATCTGTATTATAATATGTCAGTGGTTAAAACATCGAGACCCTGATAATATCACTTGTATTATTTATTCAGACTTGAGTTCCCCGAATAGCAAGGCTTTAAACAACTGTACACAAAACGGCTCTATGATCAAAACAATGAAGTGGCGGTTTCAAGGCCCAGTATATAAGTTAGCTGCAGCTAATAATGAGGATGTTGACTGCAATCAGCTGCTCATTTCGCCTTCCTCTTTTCAGGTTTTACAGTGCCTGCTTTGTTAGTGTACTGAATCAAGAGTGACAAAAACAAACATCTCTTATTTTTTAAAGGGTTTAAACATGACAACGAACTACTAATGAAACTTACATTAATAGAAAAATGGAAATTACGTTACAACATTAAAACCTCTCATTTGGATGGTTTACGCTGTTGTATTATAAAGTGTGTTTATGAAATTGATGTGAGTTTTAATTTCAGGTTTTGATTGAATTTTAGAATTAATGTCATATTGAGTTGATTAAATCAAACAGATTAAATTACCAATGAACTAAGTTGATGTAAGTTGGTCACAATTTTTTAATTACCACCACTCAGTCAGTGTGAGTGTCCCTAATTTACTTTTCACTCTGGTTATAGTTTGTAAGTGAAAAGTCAACAATGTCCACATTTGTAGACCAGTCAGTCATTACTATAATTGTTGGTCCTATTCATAATATCCATATAGGAAGGAACAACAGCCTGAGGATGCCTGAGCCTGTGGGTCTTTGTGGCATCTCAGGGACAAAGGCAGAAATCTGGCACAGATTCTGAACACGTGCAGCTCAGAGTTACATATTCATACTGTCTTGTGCTCTCCAGCTCCCACAGTCTGCTAATTGCAGGCCGATACACAACTGGGTTAGTTATATAAGGAAAGGACATCAGTGTCACACGTCTACCTGTTTGCATTAATGATTTACAGTTGGTGTTGACTGAAAATTCACTTGATAGGAAGTGGTTTTTAACTAGCTGTTCAACATAAACTGTAAAGTGTTTTAAAACTGCCTCACGCTTTTGACTAATTTATGAATTTAATAGAATCAAAACTTTGAGTGTCGTGTCTAAGAAAGTGAGCATTGAATATGGAGATAGATCTATTTCAGTATCCTATGGTTAGATTTACATTGTGCATTTTCTGTTGTTAACTATGTGCTAGTTATGTTTTTCATAACTGCAGATAAAAAATTTAAAACAAGCTGATTTGTCCTTTGATCAGCAGTGCACCTGGTCACATTTGATCACCGATATCACCGTTGTGCAGCATGTTTGAATGCATAGGAAGAAGTGAGGTGCTTAATATATGTACTGAATATTATAACTGTCATGATTCCTCAAAGTGCAGCTTTTGCACTTCAGTGGTATTTTAATGCTACAGGCCTTTTATTAGAACAATGAAATAAGCATGTTAAATTTGCAGTAAGCAGAGATCACTTAGATAATTTAGCATGCAAGAAGTTCTACAAAATAATCACTTTTATGCAGCTCTCCAAAAAATAAACAATTAAATACATAAACACACATATTTCTATAAAATACCATATATGGCTATACTTCTATTCATCCACTGCTGACTAAATAATAATAATAAAATAATAATATCCAATCAATATTCAATGGTACTCACCTTTCATGTTTCACAGCAGTTTCAAGATGAGGGTATGGCACCGTTTCAGGTTTCACTGAATAACATTCATGCAGGGGTGGTGATCAGAGAAACTGGAAACTTTGGTGCAGCCCGCAGTGAGGTTTTCCCTCTGAGTTGCCCCTCTCTGACGACCCCTTCCCTCCCTCTCCCTTTCATCCAATTCCATTCAGACACCCCCCCCCCCCCCCAAACACACACACACACACATCCACAGACACACACACACACAAACTCACTGCCCATAGCACACTAGAGGTCTGTGCTGTCTCAGCGTGGTGGGCTGATTGCGTAACCTTTTGACACACACATTCTCCCAGGGCCTGTCTGTCCAGAGAGCAACCAGAGAGTATGGAAGGAGGCTGGTCAGATATGTTCACATATGTATACAATAATTCCACTTTTCACTGAGGCTGCTTGGATGATGATTCAAAGATAGAAAAATGTATCATCTGCGTAACGTCTGAATAATAAATTTACTCTTCCATTTTCCAACGCGTGTGTCCAATATTTCAGCGGTTTCTCCTGAAATTGAAACATCACCCCTGTTTCATGAAGCCCCCTGGTCCACACATTCTTAATTCAGCCCCCCACCCCAAAGGAGTCTTTATTCCTTCTTCACAAACCAAGTAGCCCATTCAGAACATTTTCCCACCGCAGGGGTCCAGAGCGGCCCGGTTCAAGGCATTTGTTAGAAGGTCACAATCCAGAGGGTCTTTATGGAGGTGGGGATGAAGGGTGGGGGGGTGACTGTTTTTCCTGTCTGCAATCTTTCAGGATAAGGTCTCTTTTTTTGTAAACTTCCCAATCCCCCCACCTCAAATCAAATTATAATTCAAGACACAAACACGTTGAAAAAGCTGTCTGCCTGACCTCAGTTTGAGGCAGTTTTGACTTCGAATGTCTGAACCAACCTGTTGAATTTTATGTGAATCAGTTCATTAATAGTGGTAAAATAGTAGTCAGCAAAAGATTTTAATTCTGTCACATGTTGTCACTCACCTAAAGCAACTCGAATCCCTTATGATAGGCAAAGTCCTGAAATTTTCAAGACATTAACGTTCAAATACTTGTAGTCATTGTGTTAGCATATTGCAGGGATATGCGTATTAAACTTGCTTTCAGATCTCAGTTTTGTTTGGATGAGGAGAGTGACTGTTTTTGAATTAATATTACATCAACATGCACAAGGATAGTTCAGAAGAACAAACACAATAGGACAAAATAGTACAAAAGCAACTAAGGTGAGCGGTAAAGAGTATCAAAAGGCAAAACCTACTTTGACTCAAGTCGTGTCATTAAGTTTCTCACTCACCTGTTGCAAGTGTCCTTGACTATTCAGACATCAGTGTGTCTTGGGCTTTTTACAAGAGAGCTTGCAGGAAAAACTGAGTTAAGCCAAGGTGAAAAGATTTACCCTTTGTACCGGTGCATGCATCCTACGTGGGCAGTGTCTGGAAATTTACTGGAAATATTGTAGCAATATTGGTATCGGCCAGTACTAAAGGTTACAATATCAGTATCGTATTGGAAGCAAAAAAGTTGGATCGCGACACCCCTAACTCTAACCTCCTGTTACCTTTTCTATTTATTCAGTATGAATTTAATTGAATTTCAAAGATGGGCTTGACTTGGCCTCCTTGCACTCTTCTGTGAGGTCATGGCTCGGTCGTAGAGTTGGTCGTCTCCCAATCGGAAGGTTTATTCAGCATGAATTTAATTGAACTTCAAAGGCTGGCTTGACTTGGCCTCCTTGCTCTCTTCCGTGGGGTTATGGCTCGGTCGTAGAATTGGTCGTCTCCCAATCAGAAGGTTGGGGTTTCAATCTTACGTCCTGCTGTGCGCATGCCCACATGTCCTTTCGCAAAACACCCAACCCCAACTGCCCCCACTGGCCGCGCCCAGTGATATGTGAATAGGGTTTGTCAAAAACAGATGTGTTAAATGCATGGAGGCCTCTGTTGTCAGTGGGTGAATGTGATATGTAATAAGGACTACAAAAAGTTCCATATAAACATAGTCCGTATACCATTTACTATTTGGTAGAGACAGTCGTCCTTGAAATTGAAGCTCAAGATTGTTGTCATGCCAGTAAATACCTCTGAGGCACAAAAACAAAAGACAAAACAAGACCAAGAAACAGAAAAGGGATCTCCTTAATGAACTATCAGTCCCAACTGTCTCCGTCTGGGTCGCTTCCTGCTGTTCTATGACTGTAGAGTCACAGGTCACTGCTCAGATTGAAGCCTGTTTATGGACGGTCTCCTTCCTGTCTCCTTGCATCAACCTTAGACTGACATTTACCATAAACCATGGTCTTTAAGGTAAAGTTGCAAACGCCTTAAGTTAAAGATCTTCTGGCATTTAAGTTTGAGTTAAATTTTAATCCACAGCTGTGCAGACATTGTGGGGGGGCTCTCTCACAAGACTTGCTAATGATTAATACCGATCAGCTTGATCTAAAAAAGAAAGGCACACATCAAAAGTAGCAAACTCGAGGTTTGACTGAGCTGTATGTATTTTGTGATTGATGGTTGGATAAATGAGAATAATACTCCTTCACTTTTACCTTTTTTAAGTTTTTGCAAAAGTGAATAACCAACTATTGTCTGTATACTGTAATGTTATTGTCTTTGGAGAAATAAGACTTTAAACATGCAGCTCATAATAAAAAAAGAAGTTTACTTTAGGGTTTATTTTTGTTCACAGACTTCTGACTGCAACAAACTTTGAAGCCAAAAAACTGTCCGCAATGGTGAAGTAGGTAATAGGTGTGTACACAAAGATTACACGGTGTGTCAATAATGGGATGGCAGATTTGATCTGTTAAGACTCGTATGCCCCCACTGACCAAACAAGACACACAGAGTTCAGAGTAAACAATGGTGCTTTATAACTGATGGAAAATTTTTTGTCCTGTGGTTTACCAGTGGGCATTTGGCTCGTGATGTGGTTTTCTAACAAATGGGAAATAAAGACAAAAAGGAGGCTGTAATATCTCCCTTCAGTGTTTTTGCATCAAATATACTCTTACATGTGTAGTAAAATATCACAAGGACAAACCCATTCAAAGAAATTTAAACCTTTGCCTTCATGAAGATATTCAACTCAAATGATAGCGAGTCACGGAGCTCTGCGAAATAGAATAGCTTGCTCAGTGAAAAGGTGAAGTTTTTAACCAAAGTGTCTACAGTGTTCATTAAAAACATTTTTTTTCCAGTCTTTCATCCCCAGATATTCTGCTGTGGCTCTGACCACATTTCCCCTTTGTGAGACTTTATTTTCATGACCATAATTCAGTTTTCCTTTGCGTCTTACTGACTTTTCTGTGAACACTAGCTTGTGGTTAATTTAACAACAATCGAACCAATACCATTTCAATTTCTAGCTTTCATACCTTTCATAAATCTCATCAGATCATATGAAATTCCTTTTACTTCCAACTTTGAAGTATACTCAACACCTCAAACAACATGTTTGCAGATTCAGTACAACAGTTTTAAGACCTTTGTTATCTGCAACTGCACCACCTAGTGCATAAGATCAGCATGAACTGCATTTTGGTGTCAAGATAATTGATGACTGTAGATTAAGTATTAAATGTCCTAACCCTTACTTTAAATTTAAACCACGTCCCTAACCGTCACTCAAACCTCAACCCTTCTAACTGTTGCAACAACACAAGGTCCTAGAGATACGGTTCCTAAATTGGCTCTGCAGGCACATAATATTGCTCTGATTTGCATATAATATAATTTCAAATATTGTTTCATAAACCTTGAACATGTTATAGTGTTTGGGTGGCTTTGATGTTGAAATTATGTTCTTCCTTCAAAGTATATTGACTTTCTTAGAGACCAGAAATGACAAAGTTCATCAAAAGTTGCATTTCTTTAATTTTAATACATTCAGAAGTACAAACAATGCCTAAAAGTTGATGTTGCATTAACATCCAATCAAATTTAAATTCACTGATACCGTGGAAAGAGGTAGCTGGAAAACCTGGAAAAATAGCTCTGTGACACCCCGGATAGATATTCCTGTGTATTCAATTGTGTGGACTGAAAAGTTACGGAAAACAAGAGTAACATTAATCAACCTATCACATATAATCATTTCTTTGTACATTTTATAACCATGGTGTTAGTCAAAAATGAAATACAGAGGAAACAAATGAGCCTTTTGTCACCATGCATCCCAAAGAGTCCATTTATTGGTTCTTTTTATTATCTGTCAGCTAGAGCCCCCTAGTGCTCAGTGTGAAAACACATCATAGGAACAAAAGAGGTAAAGTGAGGATGCTGAAATATGTCCAAAAGTTCAGTATTCATCGTGAAACGGGTACTCTGGATGGTCACTCCACCTGTGATGAAGAAAAAAACAATTGTATGAAATCTTTTTATTGGTGGGAGGATTAGGCCTCTTTTTTCCCATTGGGTACTTTTTTTTATTGTGAAATACATAAAAAAAACACACTACTGTTATGTATAACATATTTATCATCTTCACTCTCACTTCATATTTTCTTTAAATGAGTGCTCATACTTACATCAGCAGCTCCACAAAACGAATATTCTTGTTCAGTGCTTCGATTGCTTTCATTTCCTCCTCAGTTAATGAAAAATCAAATATCTGCAACAAATATAATTATTTTTATTTATTCAACATCTCTGAAACTAACCTTTTAAAAATGCTGTATAAATTGTAATTTGGCACCATAACTTGTTTAATTGCCAAATACATTAACTTTATACAGGAGATACACACCATAGTATACTAAAAAATAAGACCCACCTGGAAGTTATGTTTGATCCTCTCTGGGCTGAAGCTCTTGGGAATCACTACGACCCCCCTCTGTGCGTTAAAGCGCAGAGCCACCTGAGCGCTGCTCTTGTTGTACTTTTTTCCTATAGATACAAGCACCTCGTCCTCCAGCAGAGGGGGACATTTCAAATTCACCCTGAAGGAAAAGACAATTCATACCTGGATGGATACTTATCAAATTAAGAGGATAAAAATTAGATCAAACTGACATGTTGCATATGAAGTTTGACATACATATAGTTTCTTATTCCATTAGACTTGGATCATTTGATTTAGGTAGGATACATTCAGTGACTAAACTTTGTTGCAGTATACATATAAATCCACATGTAAATGCAACTGATGTTGTTGTTGAACATTAATTTCTTATCCTAGAACAAGATTCTATTCATAAGTGTCACATCCACATGGATAATGTTTCTTTTTCTTCTTTTTTTACCAGGATGCATCTCTGGAAGAGCCGATTGGACAGTAACCAACGATCACGATGTCATTCTTGCGGCAGTACTCAAGGAGTTTTGGTTGTGTGAAATATGGATGACATTCAACCTACAAGTAAGTCATACAGAGACAGACAGTTAGCCCAAAGATATCTGACATTATGTTGGTGCCCTGTGCTCTTGTTACTCTGGATAAAACTGGATGGAGAAGAAAAAGAGGATCCAAACTTTTTATACAATCGAGAGCTGCTTTTTCAAACAGTCTCTAGTACATTTCATTTAGGTTTGGGTATGTCTGTTGAGTTTAAAGAATGCTCTATAAGTACTAAAGGAAAAAAAATGACAATAAGATACAGGTTTTTATTCAAATGGGAAATACTTGAGCTTTGTCAGATCTGTCCTTGAGAGCAATAAAAGATTACAGCTGATAAGAGGGGACTGCTCAGATAACTTTTTGCATGTAATATAGTCTGTATGTTTGGTCAGTACAAACACATCGTAAACCAAAAACCACAACATTTCTCAAGCTGGTAATAAATACTCTTTATATTATAAAGTAGAATTTAAATAGTGGTCAGTGTTTGTTAAATGGGAAGCCTCGAATTCAAATTCATCATAAAGTAAAAAGATAAAGGTTACCCTCTTCCTGATAACTCACACTCCTGAACGATGGGTTATAATATTGTGCAACTGATAGTGATATCTCTGCTTTTGGAGCGAGGGAGACTTTGTTGTCTGTTATCAGGTCTCTGGGTTACCTGGTTGGACACAGGTTTGTGTTTGAGGCCAGGTTTATTCAGAAGCAGCTCCAGCTGTCTGCGGTTAAAGTTAGAGACTCCGAGAGATTTCACCAGCCCGGCGTCTTTGCAAGCCTCTAAAGCCTGTCGAGAAGAAAAAGATTTACATCATCGCGGAGATTGAGAGTGATTATCTTTGCAGACAGAGATAGAGGGGAAAAATGTGAAGCACAGTAATGAAGAAAAAAACAGACCTTTGAACACTGAGAGGCTGTTTATAGCAACGACCTTGAAGCTGCATCACCCACTGTTCTAACATCAGCCTTCAAGTTTAAAAAAACATTATTCACCAAGTTTTTCTGAGTTGTTTGTTTTTCTATAACCCTTTCTGACATCCATGACACATGAAAACAATCAATTAAGGGAGTGTATGCTACGCCGGTTGTCCAGGTTGGATAAATCTTATGTTACAAGCCTGTGTTTGATGAAACTACACAAACTTTGATTTAATGAGACAATTAGTGAAATCTCTTGTGAAGAGTTTCCAGCTGATCATGACACTTGATATTAACACTGAAGCTTTTTTAATTCTTGAAACCACTGCCACAGGGTAAGAGTCAGACCATGTGATCAACAGCAAGATATATAGAGACAAAAGAAAACAACAGTAAAATGGTGGCTGTATCTATATGTCTTTATGAGTTCTGTGATTTGAGATGATAAACTGTGCAGTTAGTCTTCACAGACTCGCTTTACTTTCACTAACCTGTCTTTATGTGTAAGGTTGTTTACTTACTAAAAGTTCGTTTTAAACTCAGTAAATTATACTTCTGTAGATTAAGGCAGTGATTCCGACTGGACAAGATCAGCAAAGAGATCAGAATAATTGCTTTGTCTACAGGGGGCGCCAAAATCAATACACACTGAAAGTTCTGCACCGTAGCTTTAAATCTACAGTATAGACATAAATAAAGACACATATTGAACTCTTGGCATTTTCATATCTAACATTATTAAAATTGAAATGGTAATTTCTGGTGCTACAATTAAATTTCCCCCAAAAAAATTGTACCAGGCTGCCATTGTCTTAGTTGCATTTTATTTTCAATGTGCTCAGTATTTAAAAGTTTTTTATATGTATCTAAAACTGTATATACAATTGAGTAGCAAATTAACCTAGAAAATGGTGTAAAAAAGACAAGGAGTTGTTACAAATCAGAGAAAAGTCTAGTTATGAAACTGCAGAAGTGTCTATCCACACAGAACTCAACAGTACTCACCTCCCATGTTGCACAGAGGTCTGTGTGATGGTAGATGTATTTTCCATCCTTGTCTTTTGGATAAAACTCATTTCCAGGCTGAAATTGAGAATGCATTTGATAAATTACTGTAAGAACTCGTACTTTTAAAAGCCTGAGAGATTAATTCACGCGGGGGAATGTTTTATTTGATTAGCATGACTCTTAATTGTGACAAAAAGTTGAAAGCTAAGCTGTAGATGGCAAGAACTATAGCTAACTATCAAAAAAAAACACATGTCAAAATGTGACCAAGGCAAACTACCTTGAAGGCCATAGGCAGCTCAACAATGTAAAGGTCCACATAGTCCAGTTTTAGGGCTTTCAGGGTCCTCTCCAAGGCTGGTCTTACCAACTCAGGTGGATGGAAGGTGTTCCAGAGCTGAGACGGATTTCGCAAAACTGCATTTAACATTGAATGGTGATAACACTTCATATCTAACTTTACAGGAAAACAGTTTAAAGCGGTCAGATCTTCAAACAGTAACCACAGACCTTTGGAAAATAAGTGTTTTTACCTTCCCGCAATAAAAGATGTCCTCTCTTTTCACAACTCCTGCAGCAATCTTCTCCCTAATAGCTTGACCCACTTCATGCTCATTGAAGTACACCAAAGCACCGTCAAAATGCCGGTAACCTACATCTATGGCCAGTCTGACACACTCAAGGGCTGTACCTCTGGGTGTCTGTTGAAAGATACACAGAAAATTTGAACGTGATTTCACCTTATTTTTAGCCAGTTGGTCCAAAATACATGCATGTTATTACTAGACATTTGTTTACCCATGACATTGAGTCTATTTAAACCTCTGTTAATGTTTATCCATTCCCTGAAAGCCATAAACATCAGTACTCCTGAAAAGTTCCCCTGATAAAGCAGCTATTATCAAACCCTGCTAACATTCAAATCTAGAAAAACCCTGTAAATTGTATTTGTACCGTTCTGGGGTCTCCATAGGTACCAAGTCCCAGCAGTGGAATCCGGTTCCCATCGCTGAGAGGAATACTGTGGCTCTCTGCAGTCAGATCCATGTCTGTGAACAGTGATAAACTGAATCGCTCTGTGGTTGCTCATGCGAGCAGAATGGTTGCTAATAGGTAATTTATTGAATGACCATGAAATTTGAACCCAAACACTTTGGCCTGCACACACATTTGATGGTGGCTTCTCATCGAGAAATGCAGGTTTTTAAAACAGATGATGAACTTAACTGTTTTGAGCTGAGTTTTTGATCAATTCATTATTAATTTTATTTTGATGGGACCATGTGCAAAAGTGAAGATATATTAACACTTAATGCATTGTGCCAGAGTTAGCTCTGTTTACATCTGCAGGGTCTTTGCAGGTCACAATTAAAACATTACTGATTTGAACATTATTTATTTCACAGGGGGGGAAAGGGCGAATTCAAACAGACATCTGCACACAGTATCAATACAATTGATCAAATCATGTGCTCTGAAGTGAACAAAATCAACTTATTGTTTTTGCAGTTCAGCTCATAGTTTGTCTCAGTGATAAACCCAGAGCCAGCCTGAGGCATAAGCAAACTAAGCACCTGCTTAGTGCCCCAGCGAGCAATCAAAAAAAATTATATATAGATTTTTTTTTTTGCATATTTGAGTGATGCTTTCTGTATGATCAAATATATAATATTGTAAAAATAAAAAAGTAAAAACATTTTGGTGCTGCTGCTGATGTAGGCCTATGATTCTCACTGCCGATACGCCAAAGCTCCACTACTGTTATGTGCCTTCTGCTGTGCAATGTGCACTGATTAATGAGATTTGAGATTAAAACCATATGTGGCACCCTGAACATCATTCATCAGTCATTTATTGGTATTATTTGTATAGTTGCATTGTTATTATTTCTGTTATTACCTAGGCCACCCCCTTAAATGTACAAAGACATGTCAGGCACATTAAATTTATACTGTAGTAGGTGTGTGAATGATCAACAATCAATATTATTGGCAGAAATAGAGGGCCCCAATATCAAATTTTGCTTAAGGCCCCGTTGAGTCTCGGGGTTGGCTCTGGATATTTTATGCCTCTCCATGGTTGAATGTAAAGCAAATGTCACACAGTTGATGATATAAATGATTTAGCTTCAAAGGTTTTCGAATGACAAAGTGTTGCTCACCCACTCACCGATTAACAAACAAGAAACAAACACCACCTTTGACCACTGGAGCTTCCTTAGACATAGAGCATATTATCAGCACGCGCGCGCTGTTTGACCACACCCCTTTCCTCCCGCAACGAGCGCGAGCCGTGCAAATTGAGCAACATCCTGGCACGCGACTGTGAAACACCTTTCGAGTGGATCTGTTTTACCTTTTGGCTTCGGTCCGTGTAAATACTGTCATTTAACGAAAGGATACTTTCGAGTATTTGTCTTAACATGTGAGCAGCGCTGTTTATTCAGAGGAGAAGAGAGAGGGTATGAAGGGGTGTGAAGATGTTGCACTCGGTGTAAGGTTTTCAGCCTTTTCCTCTCACCTTTAGTCGAGGATATCGCGTAAATAAATGGAGGACCGCACGGACGGACGAGAGTCGGCGGATGCTGCTGCTGTCATCGTCGTTGAGAACGAAGCAGAGAGCATGCAAGTGCAAGAGGAGAAGTCCGAGACAACCGAGCAGAATTACCTGGACATCTGCCCTGTTTGCCGTCTGAACTTTCACAGTCGAGAGCCCAAACTTCTTCCCTGTCTGCACTCCTTCTGCAAGAAATGTTTACCTCCACCCTCCAGGAATTTGGCCATGGCTGAACCACCGAACTCCCAGGTTGACAGGACGACCAAACCACGTGAGTCACTTTGTTTACAAACAATGACCATGGATCTGTAAGAAAGGAGGGTCACCTCTCCTTGTCCATGCATGTCAAATGGTATATTTATTTCAGGTTTATGAGAAACAGGCGTAAATCCTAGTTAAGTCTAAACTGTGTGTGATTCTAGTGAATGTAATCCGCTGCCCAGTGTGCAGACAGGAGTGTATGGAGGTAGATGTGATGGAGAACATCTTTGTGAAGGACTCAGTGGAGGCTCCCAGCAGCACAGTGGAGAAGAGCGCCCAGGTTAGTGACAAAATGCATCACAATATAATAAGTATGTTGTCATATTTCTATTTTTCTGAAGTCTAAAACCTTGTGCTTGGGTATCAGTGTTTCTATGACATCTTTATCTGGTACTGAAGTATGTTTGTTTTCCTCTATCATAGATCAATTTACACACCAGATTATACCCTCCACTTTATTGCCTCCTTTTTCAGCCTCTCATGCTTGTATCATCTTCCCGCAGCTCTGCATGACTTGCGATGACAACACCGAAGCGGCCGGGTTTTGTGTGAACTGTGTCGAGTACCTGTGTGCCACCTGTGTGGAGGCCCACCAGAGAGTTAAGTTCACCAAGGACCACACCATCAAGCTGAAAGCAGAGGCATCACAAGGTCTTCTTACTGCTTTTGTCTCAACGTTTTCTTTTGTGAAATACCTTTGGTGTTACCATGACAAAGGAAAGAGCTGTAGCAGGATCAGTTTTTTAGTGTCACGCTGTGCTTTGGATGAAGGTGATTTTTTTTTGTTTCTAATACAGCAGATGAGCAGTTGAAAACATTCAAACTGTGAATTCTGATGTACAATTGCAACCCTGTTGTGTGCCAATAATGACTTTACCTAGACTAAATCATCTTGACTCGAATAAAACTCAGAGATCATCTATAACACCTGCTGTCCTTGAGTGTTTTAGAGGCTATCCTTGTGATTTAAGGCAGGAATCAGCCTCAAAATGAAGAATATATTTCAGACGTTTGGACCTCTTCCTTTAATCATGTCACTCTAAACTTACTCATTGCCAACTGTAATTAATCCACAAGTAAAATAAATGAAAATAAACCTTAAGTATTCATGTTTTAATGTTAAACCCTGTGACTTTTCAGACAGTTACCTTTGTATCATGACCCTTGCGCTGATTTTCAGAGGTCCATGGCGGGTCGACTCTGAGGCCGATGTTCTGCGACATCCACAAACAAGAACCACTGAAGCTGTTCTGTGAGATGTGTGACCTGCTAACCTGTCGGGACTGCCAACTGGCCAAGCACAAGGAGCACAAGTACAGTTTAACTAGATTTCATGATGAATTTACACCAGGGCATCAAACATCAAGGATTATACACCATGTGCGGACTCTTAAACTCTGTTACACCTAACATGTTTTACTAAGTCATTACAAATATGAAGCCAAAAGATAAGTTGACTGTTCTAGTAGTGCCCAAAGTGTAAATATGCACTAATATTATGAAATTATATAACATTTATTAAATGTTATAACTGACTGAATATTCCCTTGGGCTAGTTACCAGTTCCTTGAAGATGCTTACAATAACCACAGACAGCACATGGACAACTTGACTCAGCAGCTGCAGGAGAAAAAGAAACTTATAGAGGAGGTAGCAAAGTCCATAAACAATGGGTATGTATTTCCACCGTATAACCTGCTTTAATAAGAATGAAAGATCTTTTGGCTTTTAAACCTTATAAACAATAACAACTGTCCAATAGTTTTTCTACATATGGTCTTTTGAACTTCTGATTGTTTATTGTTTGCTTTCCAGACTTCTTCAGGTTGATCAGAACCGCTTGTCCGTTCATAATGAAATAAAGAAATCTATCTGCACTTTGATTCTGGAGATCAACAAAAAGGGAAAGATGCTTGTTAATCAACTGGAGGTATAAATTAATGTTTGTGTTTGAAACATGGCTGAAATAATGCATGATTTTTATCCCCCATGCTGTAGACTTACATCCAGAAGAACCCCACTTTCTTGAGATCTCTGCTGACTGTTTTATCCCGAGGCCTTGAATGCATACCCTGAAGCTGTTTAAACACTGCAGATGTTCACTTATTCATGTTTTCCAGGCTGTAACAAAAGATCATGAAAGTGTGTTGCGAAAACAACAAGAGGACATCGGCTATCTATCCCGACACCTGGATCATGTTATCAACTTCACCAAATGGGCCACGGCCAAGAGTGGGGGCACGGCGCTCTTGTACTGTAAACGTCTGGTAAGGTTTAGTTTCCTGATGGACTCAAAATTATTTCAACACAGACTGGTTTTCTTGATGTGAATCTAGGCTCAGCTCTAAAAGCAGGTTTAGAGTCTGGTGTGTTTGTACAGGATGAAGTAGGAACATATGCTTTCTGTAACATGCAAGTGACCTCCTCTGAAAATTATTAATATCACGCCGTCTGTTGCAGATTCTGTTTCAGATTGGAAACCTCCTGAGGGCAAAATGTAGTACCTCATTTGTACCACAGAGCACTGCACGCTTCCAGTGTCGAGCTGCTTACTGGGCCTCAAATGTTGATCTGGGTAAGGCAAACGGATCCTGAAAATAGTTTCCCTACAGCCTGGACACGTTTTATTTTTTCATTTTTTCATTCAATTAGTTTTTGATTCCTTTCAATACCATGATATAGTGTGTAGATGACTAATCTCAAGAATAATGCTACAACAGTAAAAGGACACACAAACTTGTGCCACATATTAAGGCCAGACTGATGATTAGAGCTTAAATTCAGGCTGAAGTGGAGCCTGATGGGCTTAATAAATCAGAATGACAGCATAACAACCTAAAGCTAGTGATTTTTCTATCAGATATATGTCATAATCATGATCCTTTAGGAGTTTCTGGTTTCAGTTCAAGAACTTAGTAATTAAATCATTTTATTCTCTAAAAACGTTACAATGAAATAGATTTGTTATAAGGTGTTTTACACCACAGTCGCTCTCGGAAATCCCTTTTCTTTTCACAGGATTAGTTGTTTCATTTCATCCATGCAATTGGTGATTATTGATTTTAAGACTTAGTAAATTTGAAGTATTTTGAATGACTCTTTGTCTCGCAATTTGCACCACTTACCTCTTACCACTAGGTTTATCCTGTGTTAAAATTGAAGAAGATCCAGACTTTTGAATAATAGATATATTTCTTTGTTGCTAATATGTGATACACTGAAAAAAGCTTGGCCTCGATCCATCAGTCGCTCTTTGTCATCATCATCATTGCTCCCTTTTGAGTGGGAGTAACTCCGTTTAGATACTGAGTGATCCAAGATTACTGCTCCCTGGACAGCTGTATGGTTTAAAATAGAGTAGTTCCCAGAAACCACATCAGAACTTTTTCTACCAAAGGACAAAAACAGTTTCTTTAAATGTGAGAAAAGAAAATGGGAATATTCCTGGTTGGGTTAAGTTTATATGTTGGGAAAATGTAGCAGCTGCAATTATTTTGATCTCCTCCTGATTGGTTATGTAATTGTACCATCTTTAGTTTTCTTTCTCCTTTAACATAAAGTTCCCAAACTTTCTGCTGCATTATTACCCAAGCCTTGTCTCTGCTGTAGTGCAGTCTGTATTGTGTTTTTGTCACCCTTACTTGTTATGCTCATCCTGTCTCTGTGTGTATATTACCTCAGGCTCTTTAGTGGTGGAGAGCACGCCAGGCCACCAGCTGGGTGGATTTCAGGGTATCCCTCACCAGCTCCCCTACCCTGGGCAAGCCCCCTCAGGCTCCCCCCACAGCTTTGCCTTGGGAGCCCCCCATAACACTCTGGCTCAGCTCCAAATGCAGGTGGACAAGCTGAACCCACAAGTCCACTGGCAGCCCCAACCACCTCCTCCTCCTCCCTGGATGTGTTACCAGAGCGTTCGTCTACAGAGAACCGTTCCAGGGCCGCTACACGGAGGCTCTCCAGGACGCAGGTTTATGGTGCCCCCTCCTAACCACGTCAGCCCAACTAGCAGCCTACTGAGCCCTGGGTTTACGCCCCAGGTTAGTTTGCGTTTCTGTGAGTGAATGTGCGTGCGTGCTCGTGTACGTGTGACTGACAAGGCTTCGTAACGAGCAGCGACAGCAGACGGCATTGTCCTAAATAGAGCTGACAGCCTTCACATCCTGGGCAATTTGTGTCTTTTCCTGTCAGGATAGATTTCAATCTCAGACAAACTAAGGACTCAAAATCAAAAAATAAAAGAGCTAAATCTGCAGCGCAGCAGCAGCAGCAGCCAACACGTGACGGAGAACAGACAAACGATTCCATAAGAAAGGGTTGATATCATCTCATCAGTTGTTTAGTCTAGTTCACAGAGTGTTTTGGCTTCAGGTCTGAAGAATAAGCTCATTCTTAGGACAATACTGGCATGTGGAGTGTACACATGAATTGTGTCATACTGATGAGAACAAGCTGTTGCATAATGGAGTCTTAAGTGTTGTTCTCAATGAGGCAATGCAAGTGTTTTTGTATATCTTACAATCAAACAACACCGAGCTTTCTAGCATGCTGTTGTAACGCCTAAGTAAGCTTTATCAGGATGTCTTTGCTCAAGAGGGTTGCTGTGTAAATAAATGAGCATTTGACTCCACTAGAATGATGTATTAGGGTAAAAATTTTAATAGGAAGAGGTAAGCGTCAAGTCTTTGGGGTTTGATTATTCTTTTGAAAATTATAAGTAATGGAAAAGGCTTAAAAAACCATGACTGCTGTGTTTAAAAACAAGAGGTTAGGACCGAAACCGATTTATCCTCGGCTTTTGACTACACATGAAACTCAAGATCTACATAAAATTTATCTATGATCTTCTAAGCTTATCCATGCCCAGTTTTAAATGCATATGTTTCACACTCAAAACTTTCTTGGATTTTATTTGCATATAATATTATCTAAAATAGCAGTTTCTACTTACAACCTGCTTTAGTAAACTGGTGTTATTGTGGTCCCCAGTGCTGATCATGTGTGGTCTTAGTTATAGTACACCCACTGTGACAGACTAGGGCTGTCACTTCGGGCAATGGCTACTGCCATAATGCTAAAATGCTCCACTAGCTAATGTATGTAGACATGCACAGATGACATCTAGTAGTGTGGCATGATATGGTCACTGTGTCTGGTTAAACTGACATGCATCAACTCAACTGGACTAATGCACAATCAGCACAGACGCGTGGATACAAACCTTTATGTTCACTAAAGATTAGTAGGATCACCGCTGCTAGCTTTAGTTACACTCTGAAAAACAAATCTAATGTTTTATACCAGCAGAGTCCCACGTCTAGTCTATATTTGATAGTTTTCTCAGTGATTTAACCTTTAGACTGATTGGCTCAGTCAGAATCTAAACTAAACCTGTTTTAACTTGTGAATATCTCTGATACATTAAGATTTATATCTCTAGTGTTTCTACATGAAACTTAAGACCTTGTTCAGTGTCGATGACACAATTACCATATAAATGCACTTTTTAAATACATACTGACTGTAGATTTGCATGATTTTACTGGCATGTCATATTAAATAAAGACAAAAAAAAATTAAACTGGTTGTAAAATAGTGCTTGATTAAAACTTGTATTTGCAGCCTTCAGTGTTTCAGTCAGGAGTTATGAAACAGACAGAATTGAAAAGTGGTGCCTCTTTATGACCTTTAAAAGCAAAACAGTACCATCATCAAAAATATTTATGTATTTTATATTGTGATTAAAAACCATTGAATTTCCCTTTGGGGATCAGTAAAGATCTTCTTCATCTTCCTCATGAAGAAAAGACAATATAAAGCTCTACTTTGTCCATAGATAATGTTGATATAAGTAAAACATTTGTCTGAAAAAGAAAGTTGGATATTTTCTTTAAGAAATCAGCTTTCACATGTACAGGAGAGAGATACGAGGTATCACACTGTCCACAAGGGGCGCCAAAACCTACAAAAACAGAAATGTTTAAGGTATTAAGAAAATGATTGATTTTAATACTTTATATAACATACTGTGTATAATGCTGTCTTTGAGAAAAATAGTTTTTTTATGAAAAGGCTTGGTTACGCTGGTCATTGCCTGGGGATATTGACCCAGACACTCATTATAGGTGGACCCTTTCATCTGCACCTTCATCCCCTCAGGGATGTGTGTGGCACGGCAACTATTGCATCATTTCTCTTTACCCATCTTTCTCTCTCTCTCTCTCTCTCTCTCTTTTTCTTTCACTCGCAGCCTCTGAGGATGTTGGGTAGCAGCCCCAGCTACCAGCCCAAACCTGTGGAGGGGTTCTCCTCTTCACCTCTATACACTCACATCACAGCCGTGCCCATCAATGGTGGCATTAGTCCATCTCAACTCAGGCACACGGCAAGTAACTGCATCCATTCATTCATCTTTATGGATATTTATGATTTTAATAATGCCCTAAATGGCCTCCACTCCTGTGTTTAGATTGAGCCCGCATATCTGGATAGGAGAAATGATTCTGGTGGTCCATTATGTTTGCTGAAAACAAATTATCCCCAGAGCCTGCCACCTTCCATGCCTGACAGAAATGGTAAGTCTGTGCTGTTATTGTGCATTTTATTATGCAGATTCTATGATTTACTGTAATTTTGATTAAAAGAAAAACATTCATGCTTTTCCCAAGTGCAAGGGCAGCAGTGTTCACCAGGGTACGCTGCTGTATCCCAGGAGGAAAAAACAGGGTGAGGGCACAGCTGTGCACATACAGATTCACACATTCACACACATACTCATTCTGTCTCTCTCTCTTTATCTAGTTATATTGCTCATTTCTTTTTAGTCTTTGGTTCTCTTCCTCTTTTTGTACTAATTGGTCCATGCTTATTTTTAAAGGTCTATTTCTTGGAAACCTCCAGAAACACACACAGCAGGCCGAGCGGTGGGATCAGCTGTGAAGAAACGAAGAAGGTCGTCACCAGAGCCCATCATCGTCATTAAAGATGAGCCGGATGATGACAGTGGCTATGTGAGGAGATAATAAATCATTACTACAGTCCATTAATATTCAGTCTGTGTTACAGGTTGTAATTGAGGTAAACACTTTGATTATAGGTACTATACTGAGGTCATGCTTGTGGGTTCTGGATAAATCATGAATACAAATTGAAACTAGAAATGCAGGAGTCTCACCGCCCAGGCCTTATTTTGTGATTTTTAGTCATTACTTTTTATTTGTCTTAGTCAAACTACTTCACAATCCACAATAATTGATCATACTGTACATAATTACATTTTAAAATTGGCTGACTCTGCACTTATTTGAGTCGCTTCTTGAAACTAACTTTTATTGGAGAGCTTCTCCCGACTTTATTTAACCTAAAATATTATGATTTTAAGTTCAATTGGTTTCATGATCCGAGTGGGTTGATCCCTTTAAAAAAATTTTTGTTAATTTTGCATTTTTCTGTTTCCTGCCATGAAAAGCACTTTGTTTTAAGATTTTGGAAAGTGCTCTTTAAATGAAGATTATTATTGTTATCAAATTATCACTGTGTAAGAGACTGAGCAACCAGGCAAAGGACAAAGGTGTGGGAAAAGATTTTGATCCTTTAATTTTACTCAAAAAAAGCAGAAATCAATAACAAAACATCCAACTTAATGTGGTAGAAAATCAACAAAATCTGAGCCCACACTAAAAGAGGTGAACTCAGCCAAAAAAAGGAACTAAAGTTACAACCTAACAAACATAATCAGCTACAAACTCAGACAAACACCATCAAATTATCCAAAACAAATTTTTACAGAAAAAAACTAAATACTCTGTTCTGACTGAAAGCATAAAGACAAAGTTTTTATAAAGAATCAAAAGTTCAAGCTTCTCCTTGCTTCCCCCTTGATGGTTTGTCCCACTTCCCGTGGGTGGGCTCAAGAGGCCATCTTGGAGATGCAGACAGTGTTTAGTCAGGTGAGCTCGAATAAAGACAAACAAAAAGGTAAGTATTACTTTGAAATGACATAAACTCAAATTGAATCATGATGAAGAAAATTAAACCATGTGACAGTTTGTCAACTAAATTGTGTGCATGATCCTGCCATAAATGCAGTAAAAGTGAATTCTTTTTTAACGAAAACTGTGTTATGTGATTTTCCTAAACTGAAACGGATTTACTGTGTCAAAACCGAAAAACGAAGAAATACAAACACGAGGCGGTCGTTGAGGCCACCACACACTGTTACCTTTGATAGGTGTTGTAATTGGAGGTTTACATCACGCTGTAACATTATGTTATTAAAATATATTCAGAGCAGATCTTGAAACTGGACGCCTATTGCTTTTTTAAATTTTCACCAGCATATGGATCTGACACCTCTGTGGCAGATGTACCGACCCAATCACAGTCCTTTTTTCAAGTGACAACAAAGACGCTCTGCATTTTCCTCCTCTAAGTTGGTTTAATGTTTTGATTAACTACTGGGCTTTGTGTTCCCTTTTTTTATTTCTTTTTGATTGCAGGTACATTCAAATCAAAGAGTCAGCCTCCCTGACAGCACAGGTGACCAGCCCCAAATCTACACCCAAGGCGAGCCAAACCAAGTCCCAACTCCTCGTCAAAGCACTGAGGACAAACCCCACAGCCTTAACAGCCTCAGGGACCAGAGTGAGACCCATGATCCAAATCACACCCCTTCACTGGGTCGAGTACAGCAGGCGGAGCAGCAACGAGCTCCTCTGAAAGCCTCAAGTGAAGTTGTGTGTGCCGTGTGTCGGATTGGGGGTGATTTACTACACTGCCATAAGTGTCCCAAGGTGTTTCACCTGTCGTGCCACGTTCCAACTCTCCTCAAATCTCCCAGGCAAGCTCCGTCAGGGGAAATTTATTCAAAGATGGTCTCAGATGGAAATTCAGTATGTCATGTTGTTTTTAATTTTCAAGTTTATACCAGAATCAAGAAGTTATCTTACTCTATGAGATGACAAAAGACCCTCCGGCTGTATAACAATGAGTTTTTGACAAGTTGTTTTCACATTTTGGAGGTGTGAGGTTTTCGATCTGACAGCAGTGATATGCTGTTGTTAATGGATGCTCCTGCTTACTGGCTTTAACGGAGATTTATTGTGTCTGTACTCTTTCTTTCCAGCGGGGAATGGCTTTGCTCTCTCTGTTGTGACCCGTTACTCCCTGAGATGGAGTATGAAAGCAAACCCGAAGCCAAAGCGGTGAAGACGGAGCCTGATTCTGACGGAGGATTTTCCCCCGTGGATAAACGGGTCAGTGCTCATCTTTACAATGAAGACAAACAAATCCTGAAAAGATTTGCTGGAGGAGGCGGGATTTATGACTTATACTGCAGCCCGTCACCAGACGGTGCTGTTCTTGCTGTGGCTTCACCCAGTGAGGAGGCAGACTCTGTCCATTCTATATACAGTCTATGGTTGCCACGGCTAACTTGACAACCTGAGCAAATGTGGTTATCACAGCTCAACACATGGTTCAATCACAAAACAATCGATATATCCAGTAAAATAGTACCAATGTTTGAATCAATACAATGAATTTATTTGAATAACAGCCAACATATTGCTATAACCACTGTCCAATGAATATATCGCACACTGAAAGAAAATGTAGAACTTTTTAAACTCTTCATACTGTCACACCATGGTGCCAAACTTTGTGAGATAACCTCTGAAAGGCAAACCTCAACAATGCTGCAGCTTTTGGGTTGGTCCGGTTAGTTAAAAGACTGATCCTATACAACAAATATAACTTTAAAATCTTAGCTTCTCCATAATACTAATAATGTCTGATACCGCTTCCTTTTTTTTACAGAAGTGCGAGAGGCTGTTGTTGCTCTTGTTTTGCAGTGACCTGAGTTCAGACTTTAAAGAGCCTGTATCCCCCTCGGTGAGTCTGGAAGCATGACTGACCACAAACAAAAAGTTAACGCGATTAATGTCCCGTTGTGTTACTGTAACTGTCATCTTAATGATGTGTAAATGCAGTGTTTATTAGACTAACTTTAACTAGATACTGTAATTAAACGTGCATTTTTTGGCTGACACAAAGCTTTTAGTGTTTTGTATTCGTAAAAAAGCACAGATTGTAAGTATGATGAATTACACTTCTTATATAATCTGTAACTTCTTCTGCACAATGCACAAGCTTTGTGTGCCATATTAATCTCAATACCACTGCAACATCTCCCCGTGAAGTTTTATTGTTGTATTATCTCTCCCCCTCTAAATACTATAGCTGTGTGCTAATGAGGGGCTGACTATAAGGAGACCAGTGAAGCTCTACGCTGTGAAAAAACGACTGGGGGATAAACAGAGTGCGTGTTACCAAAGCCCTGCAGAGTTTGTAGCAGACATTCGGCTAGTCCTTGGGGGCTATGAAAGTGAGGTAAACAAGAGAAGAAAAAATACCAGCCCTTGTCTGTTGTGTTATACAGTTCCTGACACCTTGTAATCAAATCTTTTCTTCTCATTTCTTCCACTTATTTCACAGCAGGCTGACACAGAGGTCATCATAACAGGCAGGCAGCTAAAAGATCTCTTTGAAGAGCATCTGAAAACCACTTTCCCCGATCAGACCTTTCCAGAAATCAAACAGGAGTCGATTCCTGAAGCCCCTCCTGAGTCTTGGCACTCATTCCTTGACAATATATCCCCCCCTGCAAAACACCATCGCAAAGACTCCCAGGAGACACCAAGCTGCCCCGGCGGAGAAGAGAAAGTCGTATGAGAACCAGCGATATATTTGTGAAATTTTCTAACAAACGTTAATAATAGAAAGTTACCATGAGGTTCATAAAAAGGGTTTTATACATTCATTGATACATTTTTAACCGTGTGCATGTAGCTCCTTTTAAAGGATTTACAGGTCAACGCTAGCTTGATATTGTTATCTTATTTTTGAGTTTCAGTACTAGTTTGCTCATACTAAGTTATAAGTCTACTAGCAGGATAGATCAGGTTATCAACACAGTAATTGATGTTCGGTTGTACCTGATAAGCTCCTTCCTGCTTTTCTCTCTGTAAGTAATAATTTATGTTGTCTTGATTTGTTTCAAGCTCCTTGAGTCGACTAAAGTGGAATCAGAAAAGAAGCAAAGCTGAGTGAGAACACAACAGACTGAACATATTTGAGAAGTGCAGCTTTTTTGGTATTGTACAGGTAAATATTAAGTTATGAAGAAATGTAAAGTTATTTAAAGAAAAACTGTCAGAGTGAAGAGCTTAGCATGATGTGCAAGGAACTTTTTTTAAGTTAATTTTAAATTAAGATCAAGATTTTTTTTTTTACAGTTTCTGTCAGAATTCGAGGGCCAGAGCACATAACCAAAAGCCTGCTTGCATGGAAGTGAACTGTCAGGTGTTTACAGGGTACAATAAAATACAATTTTAAATTATGATTTTAATTAAATGTGCCACTTTATAACAGCATATCAGTTCATGTGTGTCTCACTTACCTTCAGAGGGTCCATCTAAGCTTTAAGCCTCCATGAGGAACTCGAGGAAAAGGTTATTTTGTCTGATTTTGTCCTGAAATTTTTTGTTTCTTTTTGATAAAAAAAAGCCACCCAGCCAGATTTTTTGCCATGGAAACCGTAAAAGACAAGTACTCTTACTTTATTTATTGATAATCACGTCATGTTGGTCTCATTTGCTTTAAAAGATCATTTAACAACATCAGTATTAATTCCAGTTTTTTCACGGCCATTAGAAAACGTCTCACAGATCTTTAAACATCAGTTTAGTCACCCCTCTTTCTCCTCTTGCAACAAGTTTCCACGGTTGTGTTTCCCAACATTGAACGAGTCCTTTGGGCCCCACAGTGCTGCCCCGCTGACTTCCCTGCTGTGTTAGCGGCCCTCAGCTGATTGACACAGACATGGCAGGACAAGCCTTGTTGAGCTTCAAAGGAACTGTACCTCACCCCCAACAACAAGATTAACACTGTTTGAAAGTGACCTCGGCCACTCCAATTTCCTCCACCTATGATGGAGGGGGTCAGTGCATGCTGCTGGTTCTTGTTAAAACCCAGGGGTAGATTTGAAGGCTGAGAAGAGGGATGGATGTTTACTGAGCTCCTGGAGAGTTAGAGAGTGGCACTGCTCCTGCTCTTGTTTGAGGCATTCTTCATTTCTTTTATTGCCTGTTATCTCTTTCCAGCAGTACGCTACGGAAGAGATAAAGAACAGATCAACCATGACAGGATAGTCTTTGTTGCTGTGATAGCTGTTACACCACAAAGGAAGGGTGCCGCATCCTTGACTGATGGATATCTGCAGGAAATGCTGCAAGAGATAGAGTCAAAACCTAGAAGTCTTTCAGGATCATTTTAATTTTTACGCTGCGGTGCTCTCTTTACCTTCCGATGGTCTCCACTTTTCTGAGGTAGTTTTACCAACTTGCAGAAAGCCAGCTGAGGTTAGATAATCCATCACAAAAAACAATGTGTGTGCTTTTGTTGTCATCAAAATTAAATAATATTGAAATTTCGCAGAGTACAGAGATTGATTATAAAAGAAAAACTTAAAAGCAAAGGAAAAAGAGTTTATTTTGATGGATTACCTCCTCAGGCAAGTACTCAGTCTTACACAAGAGTGCGGTGTTTCTCAAGTAGGTTTTATTGAAGCAAATTGACTCTTGAATACTTGTAGTGAAAAGGACACTTTTGTTACATGTACAAGGAAGATAAACAAGGTAATATTAGAACATAAACCACAACCAGAGAGCACTTCTGCAATAGCATTGGTAAGGTATACTGTTAACGAAGTCAAGTGGCTGTCTTGAAGGTACAACAAACATTTATAAATGTTAATTATGCATTTTAATGGGTTTAAAGATCCCAAACTCCAGCCTAGTCTGTTTAAATGTGGTCTTTTAGGAAGACTATAAACAGAGTGTAATTACCAGCCGAAAGTGCAGACTGCGGTGGACTGAGGAGCACAGGGATTGAGACAGACTCCTCACACAGTCCACTAAAACAGACCAGTCACCCATTTATGACTGTTGTATACTTGTGGTATTCTCTGTATGCCTGTGGTGTGCTGATATCAAGTCTTTGGTGAAGTTTCTAGACCGGCCAGACTGGTGGTGGAGACATATGGCTCTGATTAGACGATCATTTAACCTCTCTCTGTCACCATGCCCAGAGTCAGCAGACTGATTGAATTTGCAGAGGGCCCAAGTTGGTACAAAATGTTTATAATGCAGTCTAGCAATTATTTCTGCAGCTTCTTGCCAACTCTGGTAGACTCTTGTGTGTGTGTCTGTGGTTTGTTTATACCCAGCTCACAGTTCATGATCACTTTGGCTGATGGTGAGCCCACATCTGTGGCACGGTTGCAAAGCTTAAATTCATTAACTTAGCAGAAAATGCCTCATTTTCTTTGGTACAGTTGTGAATTTTAGTCACCCAAGAGAGGATGCAGTTGTATAAAACCACATTCAAATCATTCTCAGTGAGTTTTAGCATGCACAAAGATAACTGTGGACCCTTATTTGCAGACACTTACTGTAAAAATATTGAAAACTTTATTCCCCACATTTCCCGTGACTAAGATATCCGAAAGGTTTCGAAACTTACAGTCTGGACATAGCCACAACAGATTTTCAAAATACCCCAAAACTGGCTCCAGATGTTGAGTAATCAGCACAGTCATTAGTCACAGACAGAGAAAGTCTGCCCTGCCATTGATGGGGAGACAATTTCCATGTGTGCATGCATACCTTGCAGCACAGTAGCCTGAAGACACTTAATTCCTCCTGCAGCCAGGCAATAAAAACTATGGCAGCCCACATCCCCTTAGGCATTATTTCAGCTCTAATGCTCTCCAACGTGCATAAATGAATCAATCATTTCACATTTTTGAGAAGGAAGCTCTTCTGTATCAACATTCCCCTCAGAATAGTAAAAAGATATTGCATCATAAATCTCCTATAACTCTTTATCTACTATCCAAACTGTGTCATTAATTGAAATGAAATGCAAATGAGCTCATGATTGATATTTCATTTGGAGTTAATGGTGGAAAATAAACTCTGATTTGATTAGTGGTAAGTGGTCGGTGTCTGTGGTCTCAGCCCGCCCCTCACAGTGCCATAATTAGACGCTCATTTCTCTCCAGTCACGCTGCAACTGCGACTCACCCAACTCCATCACATCCACCTCTCTGCCTCGGACTTTTTTCAAGAAGCTCTGCGATCAATTCGCTCATCCCGCAGAATAACTGGCGTTAGGACGCTAAAAGCTCTCCAGAAACCGTTCATTTGATCACTTTATTTGGCGTTTCTTTCATTCAATGGGTCCGTGTGTGGTGCTGCTCTGCTCTCTGTTCGGAGTTCTCCTTGGTCAAGGTAAGTTACCTTCCTCTGTGTATTTGCATTTACAGTGAGTGTGTCGTATTTTTTATCATAAAAGCCAAACCAAACCAGACAGGAGCATTGCTATCCAATAAGGGTGTTTGAGAGTATAACATTGCAAAGTAACTTTTTTTTTTTGTCAAGATGGAGTCAAACTGGCAGAGAGTGAGACCCAGGGAGGTGATGAATGTGCCACAGGACTAGTTGGGGCATGTGATGAAAGTGAGGTTCATAGAGTTAGCTGCTTCAAAGAGTTGCAGGTCTGTCCTGAAATGAAACATGGATCAAATTTCTGATTCATGAACATATACATGAGTTTTGCCATTTCAGCTGTTACTTGAGTTTCCTTTTTTTCTATGAGGTAATTCTAGGTACAGTAAATTTTAACAACTAAAAGTGTTTGAACTGTGCTGTGGTCGGACAAATTAAGATTTTGACTTAAAAACATCCACCAAAAAGTTCAAAATCATGTCTACAGACAGCCTTGTCAGTGTGCCTGACATCGGCAATATCATTTGTGATACCGGCTTTATATATCGGCTATTGGCTGACCTGCTCTGTAAATATCGGCATTGGTATAGGATGTTGAAAAACCTTTATCAGTCAACTAGTGATACAAAAATAATTGTAGGATGTGTGTAGAATTGTTCCAATATTAACAGAGGTACCAGTATTAGCTAAGTACTGGGCATAGGCTAGAATATCCCAGCGCACCAGCTCTTAACCAGAAACAATTCACCCCACCCAAACTGTTGTTTGGTAGTCAATAATGTAATGTTTTGCCACCAGTATTGTGAACATTATTCAATTTAATATTTGATTGCACAAGTGTTTCCAATACTTTGCACGAGCTATTGACAAAAACTGTAATTCTAGGAACAGTAAATGTTAACAACTTAAAGTGTTTGAACTGTACTGTGGTCGAATGAATTTAGATTTTGACTTAAAAATATCCACCAAAAAGTTAATAATTCTTTCTTTTTGTGTTTTTAAGTCATTGCTAGGATGTACACAAAGGAATCAGACACTATTAAGAGTGTTATAAAGTAGTTTCCCAGTAGGTGTGTGTCAGAGATTCAGCTACCCATGATGTCTTACTTTCTGAAAGTCAAAGGCCAAGTGCCTTGGTATGCTTGGATGCTGTAGAGGAACAACCAGGGTCTCACCAAGAGAGTCAGAGGAGTGTGATTTATGCTGAAACCTCCGCAGCAGGGTCAACGAGGCATACTATGAGCCATATCCAAACCCTTATTGCCTCCGTGAACACACATGGGACAGTTTTCACAGTCAGCAGGACAGCTTTTCTTTACGCTGCCTTCTTTGGTGAGAGTTATGTCACAGGTCGACTTTCAGCCCAACCAGCTACATGACATTAGAAAACCAAACTATGTAGACAGATAGTGGGCTGGTACCAATACCTATGTTAATATTAATTAATATTAGGGGTGGGAGAAAAAATCGATAGAGCATAGTATCACGATATTTTGTCTGGTGATATATCATATCGTCTCATTAACCAAGTATCGATTTTTTTGAATTAATTGTTAATATGAAGTCAAATCTATAATAATGGAAAAATAAAATCAACTGTTTGTCCAGTGAGATTGGCAGAGGGGACATCATAGAGCAGGAGAAAGTTAGTACAACAATATATAAGGTTTGCAGGATGTGCTACATGAAAATAAAATACAGCGTAAATAAGACAAACATAAAGGAAAGACAAATGCTAAATTCGCTAAACAGTTGGAAAAATTGTATAAATCACAATATATTGTATCGCAACACTCACTGTATCGCAAAATGTTAAAAATCGCAACAATATCATATTGTGGCCCAAGTATCGTGATAATATCGTATCGTGGGGCCACTGGTGATTCCCAACCCCAATTAATATGGCATTTTGAAATGGCATTGGTCAACATCTTACCTCATGAGGCCAATCAAAAATCATGTCTACAGACAGCCTTGTCAGTGTGGTGGACATCGGCAATATCATTTGTGATATTGGCTTTATATATCGGCTATTGGCTGACCTGCTCTGTAAATATTGGCATTGGTATAGGCTGTGCAAAAACCTTTATTGGTCAACTAGTAATCAAAGTCAGGACACAAAAATAATCATAGGATGGGTGTAGAATTGTTCCAATATTAACAGAGGTACCAGTATCAGCTAAGTACTGGGCTTGTGCTAGAATATCTGTCACTCAGTGCACCAGCTCTTTACCAGAAAAGGTGCGGTTTGGTAGTTTGGTAGTCAATAATGTAATGTTTTGCCACCAGTATTGTGAACATTATTTTATATTTAATTGCACAAGTGTTTCCAATACTTTGCACCAGCTATTGACCAGTCATTGAAAAACAACAACAACATCTGAGCACCTCTTCATGGCAGATAAACAGGACTTTTATTTCACCAGGACTGACAGATCCCTCTGAATAAAAGCCTGGAGTGCAGGGAGCCTGTGAGAGAGACGCACACTGCTGTTGTGATATCTGGCTAAGGCTAACTGCTCTCTCTAGGCGGAGCTCCACCACTGGGATCATTAAGTCTTGTTTACATGAGGCGTCTAGACGCTGGCAAGCCATGTGCTGCTTAGCCGAGACAGAATGGCCCTCACAACCAGCATCGCCATCCAAGATGGAAATCAGTCCTCTCCTCACAGACAATACATCACAGAGAACCATAGCAGACTCTATCTAGACAGGGACATGGCTGTGCCTGGCTTACTTCTGCAGATAAAACAACACCACACAGCGTAAAAGGTCCTTCTGCTCTTTCAATTTAGGTTTTCAGAGCAGCAGACAGTGGTGGCGTCTGTGATTCCTAGTGGGTTGGAGTTGGTGATCAGCTAGAGGAGAGCTACATTTAGGAGAAAGGATGACAGAAAAGTGGGAGTAGTGGCAGACTGAGACCAACCTTTCCTGTTATTTAGCACCAACATGCTGCATCCTCAGCAGGACAGACTTAAAAAAAAACATTTCTGTGTTCTTCATCTGCATGTTACTATTACTCCTCTCTATTGTAATTCAAATTGTGTTTATTCAGGCAAAGAAATCATTATATTTGTCCAAGTACTGATGCCAAAATCTGAAATACTACTTAAAAAACAGATCAGCAAGTACTTAAGTAAATGGACAGAATTAATACCAGTAATTACCAGCACTCCCAAAACTCATTTTCCCCTCTTCTCTGCATCTAAAATCTCTGAAATCACCAATCCGATACAAGCAGTCCATTCTCGACTCCACTCCCACACTTCTATCTAGCAGTGCCGGGATCCAGCATGCAGAGCCCATGTGATCACAACAACTGTGTGTACTAAGGTACTAACAAAGTAGCAAAGAGTAGGGTTGATGTCGGCCGTGCTGCAGTATTTTTTTGTTGAAGTCCAAAAAAGTTGTTGCATCTGATTGCAAAACTTGTCATGTGCAAGTTTGTGCCAATATCGAATCAATATCGGTATCTGCCATTACTGAAGGCTTCAATATCAGTATCGTATTGGCAGTAAAAGAGTTGTATCAGGACACCCTTAGAGTCAGGACATACATCCAAACAGGGTTCGGATTATAGCCTCTGGTTCTCGCTTTACAGTAGTAGTTTTTATTAACTTTCTACATCAGGTGAGAAAGCTAAGTCACCACTGAATAATGCTAAAGTAGGAGTAGCACATTCAGGATCTGGGAAGAAAAGAGATTTTTGGCCATCTCCTGTAAGCATGTATAGACAAGACAAGAAACCTTGACAAGATGAGCACCCTGTTTGCTCACAGTTGGCTCTTCTTGTCAGTGACGCCTCTATTTGACACTGTTATTGCATTTTTATATCTGTATCAACTTACTCTTTAAGTACCATATTTTGGGGCTTACTGACAGATTGAGAGACAAACAGAGAGACAACCTGCTTGGTAGGCCTATGCAAAAGCTTTTAAAGGACCATCTCATTTCATCCAGCTGCTACAAGGTTTATAGGCCAGTGGATTCTGGGATATGCCAGACTTCCACAAGTCAGTGGTGAGTCAGCTAATGTGTCTGTTTATTGAATCCTCAGCACATATCTGTGCCTCAGCCTTCATGTAGTTGCAGTGTTTTTTAAGTTTTGTTTTCCTGAGGTCTTCATTTTTTTCAAAATTAACAAGGTTTTCTCAGGAAAAACATCATTAATTTCAATTTACTCATTCTTATATTACGCACAGACTTAGTTCTGGGCTGAAGGGCTGAGTTTATAGAAGTCTGCAACCAATTCTGGGAAATTGAAGGTTTTATCACACTGGTTACACAGTGTTGAGCAAAGTTCATCAGTGCAGACTGCTATTTGTGATGATAGCTATTCAAGCTCTTGTGTCATCTTTAATTTAATAGGCGTAATAAAATTCCTCCTGTCCCTCTGGGAGAAAGTAGCAAATCTATGAAACTGAGGTCTGCTCTTCCAGAAACTTGTCCTCCCTACGTAATCTGCATTTTATCTGAAGTTGCAAAATCTTGCCAGACTTTTCACAGCAGACGCTCCATCTCAAACAGCTGGATTTGTTCAGTACATTTCACAATCACTCTTCCTATTAATTCAGAGGGTTGAGTCAGTAACCAGCAACAATTGGTATTGTATTACGGTGAATCAACAGAATGTACTTCACGTGGAGTTTGTTTTCGCTTCTATTTATTCCAAGTACTTGTTGTTGAAAACAAATCAACATACTGATCCTGGTCTGAGCCAGAGGCTAAAAAAAGGAAAATTTCAGGAACCGATCTGCCAAAGCTATTTCACGTTTGGCAGATCTCACAAAAACCACAGGCGGATGAGTGTAGTCGATGTGTTTGCAACGGTTGATTGTTTACAGAGTCGAGACATTCCACACTCTCTAATCCACATGAATAAACAGCCAGATTACCACGGAGCTGATCATGCTCCAGGCAGAAAGCTTCTCTCGTGTCTGCAACAACATATCTATCATTCATTGTCTTTGGCAAAAATAATGCCTACAGGCATTTTAATTTGCAAGACAGATTGTGAGTTCAGTTTTTCCATGCTTAGACTTCAGATCTTTTTTGAAGACAATGGTATGGTGTGTTTTGATGGGAGTAAATCTGATAATACTTTGTTGGCAAATTAGTGTCAATCACACCATGATTCATTTTTGCCATGGAGAGACCGTGCTTGTCAAAAGAAAAAAAACAAAGTCAACCTAAAAGAGTCAACAAAACCATATTGATCTTATGTTTTTTGATTGAACAACCAGAAGATTTGTTCAACTGAGGCTTATGCAATACTCATAGGCAGCCACACCGAACCTGGACAGCCATCAACACCTTTACTGACAGTTTCAGTGTATCACTTGATCTTACTCTCTTACATAGCTATTTATTTGAAAAATCAATAACTTAAAACTAAATATTGATCTGGAAGTTATCTAATTGATTCAAAATTATGTTATTTCTTATTAAAGACCCAATACTAGCACAAAGCTGTGCAATTATAAAATGTAAGTCCTCTAGAGACTTTGATAAGAGCAGCATCTAAAGGAACTATCTGTTTCAATTTTTTTTTCTCTTGACAACAGTCTGTTTTTCATAGCAACGGTCTGTTCTTCATAGCAACAGTCTGTTCTTCATAGCAACGGTCTGTTCTTCATAGCAACAATCTGTTCTTAAGAGTAACAGTCTTGTTGGCAAAGCAGCTCCCTGTTCTCTATTGTAAAGTCTGTACTTAATAGCAACAGATTCATAGCAAGGGTCTGTTCTACATAGTGTCAAGCTAGTCTTTTTAGTAAGTCATTCCGTTATACCGACAGCATGTTTTACATTGTCTCTTCTACATAGCAACAGTCTGCTCTTCATAACAGTGACCTGTTTCTATGAGTTATAAACTTTTTCTTATTACATATCTGTTCGTCATAGCTACTGTCTGCTAGTAAGAAATGTCATAAAGTAATTCCGTTATGAACAAAATCATTGTTCTGTAATGGAGATGTCTTAAAATCAGCCAATGACAGAGTAAACTTGTAAAAAAATGCTCTTAGGTTATTTAAAATTGACAAGAAGTTTGTCATGCAACTACCATAGTCTCCCTCCTCTTAGCAATCAGAAAGTATTCAGGTTTAAGGTATTAAAATGTACACAATGTGTATGAGTATTCTAGCTGTTCCTTCAGAATTCCCCAGTAAAAGAGAAATAAATCACTTGTGAAAAAACTGACTTTCTTTTTGTTTGTAAATGTTTGTAGGAGCGGAACAGATGTCCATGGAGGACTGCTGTCAAGACGGCCAGAGGAGGGGCAATGATAACCAAGACTGCGCATCCCTCCCACTTATCTCGGGGTCAACAACTTGCATGTGAGCAGGTGTTATCTACCACTTTTATGTGAATTGGAAACCTACATACCACAAGATCTGCCTGGTGCTGATATAATATTTACATGTCATTACCTGCTGTACCTTTTGTCACCGTATTTCATTTTCACAGAAGCTCCTGCTATATAAGCTCTAAGGGATCTGGCCTATACCATTTATGGGGGAAATGTCTGTAGGCCCTTAATATAGGATTGCTTTACCTCACTCCCATAAATCTCCGGGCGCATTACTCACTTCATGTGTGAGTGGGAAGCACTAATAGTGACTGGGTAATAACAGGTCTGTGTGTAACCTTAGAAGGTGCACTTCCACAGGTTCAGGACTCATAGACCAGGCAGGCCTGCTGCTGTGAGCACTGATGGCAAACATATTTACTGTAGCTACCCAAACTTGTCCAAACATTAGTGACGATGGCGAAATAGAGGGAAAGGGCAGAGGATTGTGGTGAAAGAGGGTCGTTGAAGAGGTTGTTTTAAAACTCAGGAAATACCTCTGAGGTGAAACGCGACATAGGGTGACGATGGAGAGAGCCAATAACAGGAAATCTTAACCATTACTACAGACACTAAAGGGGAAAAGTACAAGAGGACAGAGTAGGTAGAAAAAGAAAAACAGCAGAAAGACTTTGCCCTTAAAAGGTTCTGCAGAGGAGGTGTGTGCTCTGACGTGAACCTGAGATCCCTGGTAGTTTATGTGGAAAGAGATTTCTGGTAAGGGTTGATAAAGAGGCTTGTTGGAAATGAGAGAGGAGACGGAGAGGTGAAACTGCAGTGAGGTAGATCAAGACCAGACAGAAAGAGTCATGTATTCTTAACTGATTGGACTCAAAGAGACAGCAAGTGCTAGACAATACAATAAAACTGGATTAAACTGAGATATGAAGACACCGATATTACGGTAATAATGTGCACATGTGTTTGGGTGTCCTTTTGCCAAACATTCCTTTTCATATTAGTAATATCAGTTTGTGTTTGATACCTTTGAGATTAACATTTTATGAACTACGTTTGCAAATAACGCAGGGGTCAAGATCTGGTTCCATATTTCTTACATTATAGGGTTCCTCCCTTTATTCTTATTGAAATGTTTAAAGTTACATCTGAAACATGTTGGCCTGAATCCATTACTTATCTTCTTACAAGGATGTACGCAACTGGGAATGATAGCCAGTTCCTCTGTATTTCGTAAGTCAGTGGTTCGTAAGACAGGACTTCCAGGACTGCTTTTTTTGTGCTGGGTGGTTTACAGTCCAGTCATCCACTTGAGAAGCAATTATTTGTCAAGAGGAAAGTGAAATTCACCTCTTCAAGTGTCTCCAAAAAATAACCGAAGTCATTTCTTGGCTTGTTAAATCGCCCCAGTTTCACAGCAAATAATCAGTCACATGGGGGCTTCACTCTGGCTGTCTTAAGCAGTATGAACCTGAAAAAGAAACCAATATTTATGTGATTTAAAAAAAAGTGATTCAGACTTGTTAACATCAAGAATACAAGCTTTTCCAGGTATGTCTTCAAAAAGAGAAGAAGACAGCTTTCAAAAGAGGCCTATAGTCCCCCTTTCTTTATGTTAGGCAGCGATGCCCGTTGAGTATCTTTGCTTAATTTGCAGCTTACTAACCTTATACTGGCATCTGTGAATATGTATTTATAAAGGTATATATAGCTCGATGTAGGGGTGTCCGAATCAACTTTTTAACTTCCGATACGATACCGATATAGTAGCGTTCAGTACTGGCCGATACTGATATTGATCCGATATTAGCACAAACTTGCGCATGACAAGTTTTGCACTCAGCTGCAACGTCTTTTGCATGCTGGATCCAGGTGCTGCTAGCTAGAAGTGCTGGAGCGGAGTCTGGAATGGACTGCTTGTATTGGAGTGCTGATATCGGAGATTTTAGATGCAGGCCGATATAATCCGATATTTGTTTTTTGCTGATATCAGACTGATATCCGATATTAGTATCGTACTAGAACATCCCTAGCTTGATGGTGTTACTTTTCACACAACTTTGTAGTCACAAAAGTTATGCCTTTAGAGAAAATCATCTGAGGCTAGCCATAAGTGCTCACATTGGCGTATGTTAGCTGTTGCTAAATTGCCTGCTGTTACTATGTTACTTGTAGCTTGAGGTTCTGATCAAATTTAGAGTAACTCCAAATTTCACAGACCGTTGAGACAAATCTAGCTTGCACTGACCTTTGTTCACAAAGCAGTCATCAGAACGCAACAATCAAAGACAGCTACATTGATGCCGTTGTTGTCCCAAAAATATAAAATCTTCCTGCTGTTTTTCATGACTTTCTTTCACAATAAAGAAAACACCTATAAGAGACTGTCCAAGTCAAACTTAATTAATGATGCAGAGGAAAAGCCAAGTGGTGAAATGAAACCCCGGACACTTCCCACACTTAAATCCAGGCATATTAAGATACTTTTATGTCTGATCTGTAACCACAGTTTGATAACACTCAAATTCGGAGGAAAACCTTGTATGACTGTTCTCCAGTGATGTGACTAACCCCGTGCAAAGTGTACCTACTGGAAACTGTTAGTCACCCAGCTGTTCTCACAGGACATGGCATGCTTATTCTGAGGGAGCGGTTTGTTTTAGCGGTTATTATTATCCCAGTTATGTCTCTAAAAAGCCACCGTGAAGAAAGCTTGTGGAGGTGGACATCCTGGGACTGAAATACCGGTTGAACTCCATCTGCAGATGACAGACCTCCGGGAGTGCTGCTCAACCCCGCTTTAAGCTCAGTGCTGCAAATCACAATACACCTCCAATGCTCTCCTCTGAATTCACGCAGGACTCACTCACCTACTCATCAAGGCGTTTTCAGCATGACAACTCTGAGATCCCCATCAGGCGTGCCTCAGGCTGATTTTAATGGGCTACCCTGTAAGGCAGACTTGTATCACTGTGGGGGTTATGGATGGAGCAGTGGAAAAAATGCACCACCACCTATGTGTTGTGGTTTTTCTTGCTGACAGGATCGTGCAGGAGCAGTGCTGTGTGGCAGTGCTGGAGGATAACATGTGCAACACTGGCATCAACATGGCCAAAGACCAAGGAGCGTGCGACTCTTTGTTCACCAACACCTGCGAGACCAAGACTAAAAAGGTGTGTTTGTACCGCATGTGCATGTGTGTGAGCGCAGAATATACAAAGAGCAAAAAGCAGTCCCTGTGTGCATCCAAACTCTCCTTTAGCTCACCCATGTTCTGTTTATCACTCTGCTGGACAGAAAGTTTAGAGGGCAAATGATTAATGGGAAGGATAGAGTGCATCTGGGAGTTTTTGTGTATGTGTGCGTGTGTGTGTGTGCCCCGAGCAGGATGAGACATGTCACTCCTGGGAGGAATGGAGCTTGTTGCTGTCAGATACATTATAAATTTAGCTTAGACTCCAGGATCTTACGCAGGCGCACGTCCAAGCACTTTTCAGCCCATTTATGTTTTTCTCTCACACTGCCTGTACCCCCCCTTTATTTTCACAACATACCTCATATCAACACATCGCACAGATGAATGCTTGGCAGAATATTGAACGCCTGGGATGCAAGTTTGTGCGCTTTCTAGAAGGGATGAGATAATCGGCAGAGAGACATCTTGTCTTTACTTGATCGGCTCTAAAGTACAGCTGGTGGCTTTTGCTAACATGTGCCAGACAATAGATACAGAAAGAGAGGGGGGTGATTCATCTTATCCTTTTTTAATTAAATAATTGTGCAGTCAGATCTATATGCACAGCTTTACTATATTTGCTAACAGCCCTAAATGAATTATGGTACAAGGAATAAAAATCCCCTCTAAGGCGGTACAATTAATCCTCATTTCACTGTAATCATGAGAGGAGAATTTGCAGTAAACACAGTCTGGTTTTATTACAGAAAACAAAAATAGTTACTCATTCTGGTGAGCTATCAGCCACCCTCAGACTCACTGGCATTTATTTATGTTGGCTGCAAAAGGATGTCATGCAAACAAGCATATTATAACATCAAGATCAACAGACAGGCATAGAGACAGAATTTTGACAGTATACACCTACCATAGGGCGACCATACGTCCTCTTTTACCTGAACATGTCCTCTTTTTGTCCAGACTGTCCGGGGGAGTTTGTAAAATCCTTCAAATGTCCAGGGTTTTGTATGGAAGTTTTGAGTTTGTGTAGCGTGGACTAACTGAGTTAGAAGCATGTAAAATACACTCAACACGATCAAAAAAACCCTCATAACTTTGCCTGCAACTCCGCCCTGTGTAGTAGAGTCCTCTTTTGGGGGGATTCAGAATATGGTCAACCTACCATTTTTTTTTTTTTAATTTGCAGCATTTAAGCTCATCATACCAGTTTTTTTTTCTTTCATTTTTTTTTAACAAAGTGTTGTTGAACTTGCTCAGATATTTACAAATATGTAAATATTTGTGTGTGCACAGCAAGCGTGTCTCTCTCTAAAGGTAAAAAGACAAATTTCTACAGGCATATCTCAGTTTTCATTTCAAACAGATGAATGTAAATGTGAAGTGGTTCATGCAAGCTTATGCATGATGTTTATACAAATACAAGCACTGGTATACATTTATATGAGGTTTGCATTCATGTATCTGAAAAAATGCTCCTATTTTAAGTTCATTTGTCACCTTTAAATACAAATTTAAGTTTCTTATAAGATCATAAGTTCAACTTTCATAATCAATATTAATTAACATTAATTTTAAAGTTAAAACCTGTTGAGGGGCCAATGCTCTGCCCCCTTCTGCTGCAATGGAAAAGTTCCCTACGATCCAAGTCGTAAAAGATTTTATCCAAACACAGAACATCCACAAAGATCCACAGATATCTCCAGATCTATGAAGGCTGTGTGGTCTTGCTCAAGTTGTCTGTGATCCGTCTTACCATGCAAGAGTAAGGTTGAGATCCCTCTGTTTTCTCAGGTAACTTAAATGTATTTGGTCCAATTGATGGGAATTTAAGCTCCATTTAGTGATCCAGATCGTTTGGCTCAACAGGAAACAGCTCTTTTTGCTCCCAGATGACTTTATTGTAGTTTCAGAGCTCGACGCATTACTGGCAATAAAGAAATAAAATAAAATAAAAATTGGTGGAAGACATAAAAGCTTTGAATGTCACATGAGCTGAGAGGTCATTCAAACGAAGACATTATAAGAGCCCATGATACCCAGCCAACACAGGAACCCAATCACAAAAACCTGAGACCAAGGGGACTGCTATAAAACATAAGAAGAATAAAAGGTTTTAAAGAAGACAAAATCACATGAGTCTTAAGACGTGATTTAAAAGCAGTGACTGTTTCTGCACACCTGATGTCCTCGGGGAGGTCGCTCCAAAGTCAAAGGCCCCTGATGGAAAAGGCCCTGTCACCTTTAGTTACAAGTCTCGACTTTGGAACAGCAAAACTTCGACTAAATAAATGCTCAGCAGGCAGAAATTACATACTAACTTGCTGCGTAATGTTCAGCAGGTAGTGGACATTGGGTTGGGAGCTTTTTCTACAAAAACCCCCAACTGTTGTGGCGAGAAATCTCTGGTTAGGGGTTAAAAAAAGCAAGCAGTCGGCTGAAAGATGCAGAAGAGTATATCTCTGTACAGGTTGGTGTAACTACAGAGTCAAAGGACACGTCATGGAAAAATTTGACCTGCTCTGATTTGAGGAACCCTGCTGATATGGAATTTTAAGCAGATTAAAACCGCTCCCATCGAATCAGGGGAGAAACTTCTGTTTGTGAGCGATTTTTTTCACACAGTTTTCAAACACGCAAATCCGTCAAACAGATAAAGCTTCCACTGTTTGCATTGGAAAGTTTTTATTCCCAGGAGTTGCTTGAAACGTGGAAATGTTCTGGGGTAGTGTCAGGTTACACAGATTTGCACCCACATAAACTCGACTCAGGCAGAGGAGCTTTAGAGGTCTCATATCTGACAGATTAAAGGCGCTCTTCCAGACGCGTTATCATAAAATCAACCAGATGCCACACATGATTTCTTTTCAGGTATATACCCTTATTGCAAAACTGAAACGCCGACACACCCATCCCCCACGCTCTGCACTGCTCATCATCATCCCCCTCCCCTTACTTACATTACCTGGCTGCCATAATGATTGATGGAGTTTGCTTCTGCCAGAGGGGATGATGTCATCTCATCACTGTCTGTCAGTCCACAATCTTACTGACTCTCTGCTTCGACTGTGTGTCTGTCAGTCAGTCTGAAGCCTGTCAGTCAGCTTAGCTTCTCAATCATCTTTTCTGCCTGTCTAGTTGATTGAAAACCCGGATTTCTGTCTGAGTTACACCCCCTCCATTTTTCACCGCATTCTGCCGAGCAGCATCACCTTTAAATATCCTCTTCCTTTGGTTTGGAGGTTTTGTTTCAAGGATGCAGAACTGGTATATCTTTCTTATGTAAGTCATGATGCACCGATTTCTGTCCCTTCTTCTGCAGATGTGCTGTGACTGTTGTCTTCTGGGAAAAGCTGCCCAGGAGCAGGGCCTTCCCTGCGACCACAGCCTGTCAGTGGGCTATCAGTGCGGTCTGGTATCCAGAGCCTGCTGCGAATATGGAACCCAAGACAACCAGACAACATCTGCGGGACAAACTGATTGTAGGTGTGAAGGAAACATGGAAGAAGTAGGCCAAGAAATCCCATTTTCTCCTTGAGTTTGTTTGATTTGAAGAACATTTTCTCTTTAAGATGGAGAAATAAATGAGGTTAAACAGCTAACACTGCTGGAAATGCATGACTTTTTGGTCACTGCTTCAAAAAGTTGGCATCCATTTCCACTGGTGTTGATTTACAAACATCAACTCTGACTCACAATGGATTTACAGGGTCTTTGCTTTTTTGTTGTTGCTATAATTATTTCAAGAGGTAGTAAAAATCCTGCATACTTGAGTTGAAGCCACAGCTTAATACTCTTTAACAGTGGCTTTATGTGTAAATGTCTAAGTATCATAATATTAAAAGTTGTAGTATCAGGACTGCTTTTTATTGTAAAGCACAGAAATTATGTGATATAAAGAAACAGTCTGTCTGCTGTTGCATACATGCAGTCCTTTCACTTTCATTGTCGTGTAATCCTGGTCAAAGTGATGCCTCTTGTTCTGTACATGTGTCAACAGTGTTTTCTGACAAAAACCTCAGCCTGTTGTCTTGTTGGTTGAATTCATGACTAACTGTGAAGATTTGCGAGGGAACAAGTGAAACAGGCGGTTTCTTCTAAGCCTGCTGTCTGTCTTTTGGTCAGGGAGTTTCGCAAATTTGCAATATCCTAATTGCCACTCTTGTTGGTGGTTGTCTTGTTTGCCTTGGCGAGTCTTGAAGAGACATGAGTATGTTTTTTAAATCTGTTAAAAAATGGGGTTTTAAAAGTTATGAAGGAGTAATTCAAAGTGTCAAAGTTGTTGTTGTCAAACATAGGCCAACACTGCCCCCTATTGCAAATATGTGGTTATTGCTTTTAGTATATTGAACATTGTAAACCTTTACCAAAAAACTAATGGTCTTAGTGGAGCTGCTTCGGAATGTAAAGCAGATATACAGTGTGAAAATGTGAGAAATATACTGTGAATACAAACTTAACCCTTTAGTGCCTCAAACCACAAATTATGGCCAGAAAAGCTGAAATGTTTATTTAACTTACTACTGAAAAACCAAAAAATTCAAAATGTCCTTAAAATTTAACAAATATATTTATTTATCTAATTTGATACATTAGATGTTTTTCTAAACTGATAAACCACAACAGGATATTTTATCATTTATTAGACTGCATTCAGGTGTTTTTTTAGTAATTTGTTGATCATATTGATTTGATAGAAGTATCATAAGAGTATGTATCAAATATGATACAAAAGGCGTTAAAGGGATATGTGCATGTGTTTTTTCTTTACAGTACCAAACCAGGATGAAACCAAGGATAATGGAGATAACTCTGTACTAAGTGATGAGTGCAATGGTATGAGAGAACTCTGTATTACAAAAAAAACAACCTTTCTATGGTTGAATTGTCATTTTTTCAGTTACAAACTGTTTTTTGTTTGTTTTTTAAGGGCGATGTGCTCATATCTGTGTGAACAACAACACCTGCGCTTGCTCTAAAGGCTACAAACTCAGGCCGGACGGGAAGAACTGTGAGGGTAAGTCGTCCTCTTCTCAGTTTTCGCAGTTGGATTGTAATTTTTTTTTCTTTTTGCTAGTGAAGCCTTAAACTTTGTCTCCACAGATATCAACGAGTGTTTGCTGGGAGCCAGTAACTGTCGAGGAGGAGAGCGCTGTATCAACCTGGAGGGCTCGTTCCGCTGCCAGAGAGAGGTCAGCTGTGGGACCGGCTATGAGCTCACTGACAACAACAACTGCATAGGTGCAACAACGGCCCCGAGTTTTCTTCTACTTTTATCCCTCTGTTTCTAAACAATGTGTACTCAACGGCTTTTCTCATGGTGTAACCAGATATTGATGAATGTGAGACTAAGATCCATAACTGCGGACCAGAGTTTGACTGCCAAAACACCCAGGGGTCGTTCCGTTGTCAACCCAAAAAGAAGTGTGGTTCTGGCTATATTCAGGACGCCCTTGGCAACTGCATTGGTAAGCTCCATGCTACAACAGACAGAGACATAATAACTCAATATCAGTACTCCAGAAGGTGCATTTATTTAATAGTTCATTACCTTTTTCTTCAAATGCATGATTATGACCTGGTGATTAAAAAAATGGTCGGTCTACCTCACTTTAAATCCAGCATGCTTTGCACAGCATGGTGGTTGCTTGCTTCTTTTTGCACCATTCTCTGACTTAAATACTTTGATACAAGAAATAACATCTCTCTGTATTTTACACTGATGTACTAGTTGCTCCAGGATGTCATTTGCCTTCTGGGTGACAAAAAATCTGATGGAAAATGCATCCATGTATTCCAGAGATGCTTCTTACATCGGTGAACCCTTTTCAGACCAACTTCTGTCCTTTTCCACAACAGAGATTAACTTAATGCCATTTTTTGTTTGTCTGTTTGTTTAGATATTAATGAATGTGTGAGTCAGACGGGCCCGTGCCAGCGAGGACAGATCTGCGTGAACACACCTGGCTCTTACACCTGCCAGAGGAACTCTGTAAACTGTGGTCGAGGATATCACCTCAACGAAGAAGGCACACGCTGTGTTGGTACGGCTGAAAAATTGACTTTTATAAGACAATCATGAACATGGCTTTAGGAAGACCACATATTAATGAGCCATGACAGTAACATGTTTCCTGACTGTGATGAATGCAGAGAAAAATATCATGCATACAGTAAGGATTAAACTAAGACCTATGTTGTTTTGTAACATGTGCATCCCTGCCTAGATATTGATGAGTGTAAAGGCCTTGAGAAGGTCTGTGAGGGTCATGGTTGTGTCAACCTGGTGGGCTCGTTCCGCTGCGAGTGTGAGCCTGGATACATCTTTAACAGCATCAGCAGGACCTGCGAGGGTAAGATTGAGATAGATAACTCTTAAAGTACTTCTACAAGCAGCTTAATGTCCTTGAAAGTAAAACATTCATCTTTAAATCTGCAAGTAAAGGTCAACATGTGCATAAGAGAAAGAGTCAAACATTCTCACTGCAGTATTTTTAAAACTGTGTGCTTTAGATATCAATGAATGCAGACACTACCCAGGCCGCCTGTGTGCTCATAAATGTGAGAACACTCTGGGATCCTACAAATGCGGCTGCACCACCGGCTTCAAACTCGCAGCCGACGGCAGGAATTGCGACGGTAAGACAAATATCCTGCAACTTTTGTACAATAATGATAGTATAATGGAGTTTCAGATCTTATAGGGTGAGTATTGTCAGTGACTTTAACTGATGAAGCTCCTGGTCAAATAACTACAAGATAATCAAGCTGTTTTGGCTTGGTTTGTGAAGTGAGAGCATGCTTCAAGTTTACCAGTACAGTTGTAGCAATATCTATAATCACTTCACAGTCTGTTCTATGGCATTGACACTTCCTTTTGGCCAAATCTCACTGAAAAAAACATTAATTTTAAGTTTGCATATATGTCAAGTTTAAGCTTAAAAATTGTTTTGTTTTTTTTATCAGCCTTTCACTAACATATTGATCAAACTTAATTAAACAGGATTAAATGTGAGAATAAACAAAACAAGACTAAACCTGTTTTGTTATTCCTTGTGAGAAACATCGATTAAATAAGACGGTTTTTGTTCAATAGAAGCAACCTTGTGAACCTGGTTTTATAAATTGTTGGTTCAGCTCTGATGGGTTTTCTGATTAAGTGAAGTTTAAATTAGATTTTGGGAAAGTTATAGAAAATATGAAAAGGGATTCTAACACTTCACCAACATTTATACAGATGAGGGAAGAAAAACTGACTCATGACACAGGAAACAAAACACCCTCAGAAAATTAAACTCTTGATTTTTTATAGTATTTTTGGTCATCTACCATTTTTCTATTTTCATCATAAAGGTCTTTAATCATTTTATTTGTGTGTGTTTAGATTTGAATGAATGTGAGACAAATCCATGCAGTCAAGAGTGTGCCAATGTGTACGGCTCCTACCAGTGTTATTGTCGCCGTGGCTACCAGCTGAGTGATATTGATGGCATGACTTGTGAAGGTAAAATTGAGCAACTTAAACAGGAATTAAGAGCTTTACATTTAAAAAACTAGTTCATCGTTTGTTTGTGTGATCCAAAGAACACTGCAACAATAATATGAAAATGTTTCTCAACACAGTAGAGCATTTGGAGCACATGTTTGACGGTTTTGTCTGTCTCTGCATCATCTTCAGATATCGATGAGTGTGCTCTCCCCACTGGAGGTCATATTTGCTCCTATCGCTGTCTAAACACTCCTGGTAGCTTCCACTGTTCCTGTCCCGTCAGCGGCTACACTCTGGCACCCAATGGGCGTAGCTGTCAGGGTAACTCACCTCTGGTGTAAACCAACACCAAGCTTATACCAACTCAAATAAAAGTCATTTTACTAATAATTCAAAACGTCTTTTTCCCATCTTTTTTTTTCTCCTCTTCTAGATGTCGATGAATGCGTGACAGGGACACACACATGTGCGGAGAATCAGAGCTGCTTTAATGTACAGGGAGGATTCAGGTGTCTGTCCTTTGACTGTCCAAACCACTACAGGCGTGTTGGAGAGACGTGAGTATGCTGGTTGTTGTCTGATGTGATTGAAAAGGATGCACACTTGATAAAGTCTATGGGCGTACGAAGATTGCATAGCTCAACAGGGGGATACGCTGTTTGAGCTGAGCGTCATCACAGCAACTCTCGGTGACTCTCCCGCCGAGTGCGTACAAAGCTACTGTGCAATGCTGGTTTCAGGAAATGGAGAAAAATCGCAGAAATACCGAGAGCTTGTTGGCTTCCAATCAGTATAGTGGCGGAAGACAGAACCAAGTTGTCCATAGTATGTACAGTTTAGTCATCTAGCCTCAAGTAGACTGACTTAAAAATGGAACCATTGGCTCTGTCAATGCTCAGCTGGGTAGCAGCCTTTTTTCCTCTATTTACACTATTTTTCAGTATCACTGCTGTCAGTTATTCATTCGTTCTCTTTCAACATCGCCCTTCTTTTTGATTTACAATAACTGCAGAGTTATTAATTATTTTTCAACATTTATCAGCTTAAAATCCAACACACAAACAACCACAAACAAGTAGGGCTGGGCGATAAACCGAAAATTTACAGATATCGAAAACCACAAAATGGCGATGTCAAATTCACACTGTAGGCGGGTTAGTGCAGAGCGGCACAGACACAATATACAGTGCCAATGACAATGTTTGGCTCTACGGCACAACTCCAGCGTGGACCTAAAACTACAGTGAGCCTCAAAGAAAAAAACAGGCTAAACCACACACGTAGGCCACCTAAACTGACCCTTATTTATATATCTGTATGGATCAGAGCTCTGCATGTCCAGTTTGCACAAAGCTGGAATGAGTTCAGAGGAGAACTTGGCTGAAGCATGGTTGACTGTTTTAGAATGATAAAATGCACATGGATATTTTCTGGTTTGCTCATGCACAGTAGAGGCTGTGTTTGATCACTCAGTGACAGAACTTCTTGCATGCTCCCACAGAGGGCACCACGACTGGCCTGTGAAGTTATTACGCTGCAGACTCATGTTCCTCCCACTGCATGCCATGCACGGCAAATGAAATTCACACCTGGTCTCTCTTTCTCTTTTTTTGTGCCTGTTTTGTTCTGTCTCGTTTTGTCCTTCTCGTCCCCCATCCTCCTCTCTTTGCAGTCGATGCGAACGCTTGCTTTGCAATGACTCTTTGGAGTGCCTCACCCTGCCCATGAGAATAACCCACTACTACCTCACCTTCCCCACCAACATCCCCGTCTTCACCAACATCTTCCGCATGGGCCCCTCCCACACTGTGGCCGGCGATGACATCCAGATCGCTCTCATCGCCGGCAACGAGGGCAACTTCTTCAAGACGGAACGAGTGCCCACTGGCGGTGTGATTTCAGTGGCAAAGCTCATCAACCAGCCGCAGGACTTTGAGCTGTCCCTGGAGCTGAGCCTGCGTCGTTACGGCACACTCACCACTTACCTCTCTAAAGTGCTCGTGTTTGTCACCCAGGAGGAGCCTAAAGTGCCTTACAATCCACTACTTGAATAAACACAAGAGATAAACAAGGTTATACAAATGATTACACTCTTAAAAAAAAAGATTTGTCTCTTTAAATGCACCTACAAAATTTTTAAGATTGTCAAAGAAAAAACAGCCAAGATGACAACAGGTTTGTTCAACAAATTAGCACATCATGTGATGTAAGTAGAAGCAGATAAAATACATTTTATACATCATATAAATACAGTTGTTTTTTTTTTTGCCTAGATGGATTTTAATCTTTATTTACAGATATTTTACTCATAAAAATGTAGAATGTGTACACAGGGGGTCTCGGATTTTTAGTATGAGACATGTCTGCTTTTTGTTTGTATTATGGTCATGGTCTGATTAGAATTGACCAATCATGTTTCAGCAGGCTTTGGTTGTATGCAGAAAAAAACTGTCCTTAAGGAGAGCAAAAGCAGGCGAGCCAGCAAGCGTAACACTGACATCTTGAACCCGTCCGGCAGTAATCTGACAGCAATAAATTGAAACCTTCATGCAAGTGCAGCAAACAAATTATTCTTTATCTGTATTTCAATTTGGGTCATAAAGCTGCATTACAAAACCCACAATGGATTATTTTTTATATATGATGAATCTGACCTCTGTTCGACCTTTTAAGAGTTTTAATTTCTTTATGACACAGATTGGAGAACGTTTGCTTTTTTTTCTTCTGTTTTTGTTATTTTGGCAAATTTAAGATTGACTTTTCCCACTTGTTGCGTTCATATACTTTCCCATTTAATCACGTTACAACTGCTTGGTTGTATAAAATACTTTCAATTTCCAAAGGCTGTTTCAGGATCACAAGGAGGTGCTTTTTTAATCAGAACAATAATTCCACTTGCAATGATTGGACTTATTTACAGTACCATCCTTTTTTATGAACATATGGGGAAAGAAACCCTCAAAACTATGATAATTGTTTAGTAATTGTAAAAAGTAATCACCGAGCACTACTTAACTACCAAAGAGTGGCATCTCTTCCTAGAGGCGTATCTTGCCCTGATTGTCAGATGATGATTGCTGATGTGTTTCCAGATTGCATTAACAGTGATGGCAGGCGCATTTAAATTCACATTTACAGCTTGTGATTGTAATAAGATCAGAGTTTCTCTCCTTTTTTCTTTCTTCTTTCAGTAAATTATGCGATTAAATGAGTAGACTGTTTTGACAAACCCTCTGAATATTTTTTTTGAGATGACGCATCATTTTTTAAGAGTGTTTTTAAAAGATATAAATCAACACACAAAATTAGAAGCACAATTTAAGATATCTGGCATGTTACTCAATCAACTTTTACAGCCACTTGAATGTATCATCTTGGAGGTAAGGCTTCCTAACAACCACTAGGTGGCGTCCTAGGTCAGCTCAACTGCTGACATGGTAAAGTCCAGAGTCTGCCTATGACTGAGTGTAATTTGATGATGGTTGCATGATAAAGTCTGACGTTTTTCAGTATTTTATGGTTTATGTGTTGGATGAACAGTTTTCTATTAAAACTGAAATAGAAATAACACATGTTCAAGTCATATCCAGTTCTTGATCATGGTGCATTGTGGGGTTTTAATCAAATGCAGCGAAGGGAGCAGCTGGAATGCGAGGGGCGAATCACATATGGAGACACGAGGATTTTCTCACAAAGTTTGATGGTATTTTTATTCAAACAGCATCGATGAAGAGGGGATCAAAGGATTCAAGCTTTAAAAGTCAGATTTACATTCTGAGGTCTTTTCACACGAGGTCTTTACACCCACTTACCAGCCTCTTTTATTAACTACATCTGCAGGTGTCATTGGTTAAAAGTGTTTACCTGCATGTGTGTTAACTCAGAATCAAACTAGACAGACTTACATCGAAAGAGAAACAGCAAAAATGGTCCTAGTTTTAACATCTTTGAGTCGAACTCTTGAGTTTCATGCTATGAGAGCGTTTACCACAAATTTGGCGACTTCTAATGTCTGTCGAGTAATTCCACACCTCCATTTTTCTCGTCAAAACTGAGCCTTTTATGGCATTCTTCCTCCCACTTCCTAAACATTGGTTAACATGCACCACAAATACATCTTTCTGTGAAGGATATTTTCATGCACATCTTCTACCTCCTGTTATATTTTAGTTTAATGTGAAATGCACAGATTTCCACTGCATGCTGCGGGTGTAAACCCCAAAGCAGACAGATAACCCAAATGAAGGCTGAGTAAGTGACATGAGATGGGATGCAGTGGCAAAGAAGAAGGAAATGTGCACCAGCAGGAGAGGGTATAAATAGTCTGACATGCTGCGAGGCTGCTGCCCGAGGGCTGTGGCTTATAATAACTGTAAATTCAGATGTCGTAGGTTCCTCCTGTCCTGAGCTGTCAGGGCCAGTAAGGATGCACTCGGTCCCTGGTGGGGATATCCTTAAAATAAGAACATAGTGGCGCGCTGAAGGTTTTTTCCTCCGCTCTGACATTGAGTTATGGGGCTCTGGGCTCTGGCCGGTGGTCTGAACAATTTGTGGTGCAGCAACATCACCGCGCACAGAATGAATGATGCCCTGCAGTGTTTGTGTTGGGGCGTTATCAATGTGCCGACTATAAATAATAATTACCAAAAAAATAAAAGGCCGTACGCTTGACCAGAGGACTTTCATCCAAAAAGCCTGTTTTTCTTTCTGGTCTGAAAGTATCAGGGTTTTTCTCCTGGGCCGGGCCACGTGAGGCATGGAGCAACAAAGAGGACGTGCATTGGTGCATGCACAAACATATCCACAAGCATGTTTGCATGCACAAGAACACACATGCACAAGTAAACATTCATACAGAAGCGTTTATCTTGCAGAGATACACATGCACAAACACAATCATGGGGCTGTAATTAGCTCCACTTGCTGCCCTCACTTTGAAGTGCCCATCTGTGTGGGGGGGGGGGGGGCCCAGTTCACCCTAGGTCATTATCTTCTCGTAAATTTACTCTTTCACCTCATCCTCTAGAGCCCCGCTCGGTCCTTTCTGCAGCTCAGGCCGCAGTATTTTAAACTAGAAGAACATTTTGTGGGTTTGGCCTGGGCCAAAGCAAAACTTGGACCCACCCGCTAATTGCTAATTACAAGCCCCTACCCAGTGGTGGCTTGACTTTTTGTCAGGGGCTTCTCTCCTCGCTTTCTGTGGAAGGATCCCTGCAACCCAAGCCGGGCCTGTGCTTTGAGCTGCAGCCTATAGGTCCCCTGAGGAACTCCAGAGATCCACGGCTCGCATGACTCACAGTGCGGCTGCATGGCTGCCATACACATTAAGTAGACTTATACATGGCAACTTGGCTGTTTTTATAACCCAATATAACCATGTTCTGACTTGTCTTCTCTGCAAAGACAAAGCTTCAATTTCAGATCTTGGATGTCAAATCGGGGCTTTTATTTTGTTTCAATAGCACTTTATGATCACAAGTTCCCCATGGTTTCAAAGACAAACTCTTGATTTATGAGCCTGTTAATGCTGCAAAAACCTCTCTCAGAGTCTTACGCGGCAGACAGGTAGTGAATGGCGATACTTCAGGTGGTGTTAGCTTTAGGAGCCAGCAGGGGCCCTCCATTCCCCCCGACCTGTCAGTGATTAGTCTGTGAAATAAACAAAGCCTTAAATAATAGGATGAGAGCTGCCCCGGGGAGAGGCTGGGGAGTTGTCTAGTCATGTTGCTCACAATTTAGGAGTCTTTTAGAACACTCCCCCGCCCCATAAATCCTCCTCAAGAGATTATCTGATGTGAAGCCGGGGATGTTCAGCAAATCCAAATATTTTCCTGAGCAGGTTGTGGATCATTCTCTGTGAGTGTAGTAATTCATTTCCCACACAGCTTGAAATCATGTATCAGAAACGCATCAATGGCAGCACTTGTCTCCACAGGCTGCAAAGTTTGGCTTCAGCATGAACTTTTTTTGACCATTTATGGTTTATTGTTCCTCCAAGCCACACGGAAATCTGGTTGTTTTTGATGTCGTCTTCTGAAGCTGATATCCAGGGCGTCCATTTGAGTTGCCGTACCGAGTTCTTGATTACAGACTCTCTGGATGCGCTTTGAAATCCAAAAGCTGGTCAACCCTGAAGTCTTTCAACAGATATTACCAAAAGGTCAGAGGCCATGTCTGTGTTTGTGTTTTCTTTGTGTGTGTATGTGTGCGTGTGTGTTTGTGTGTGGCTGTGTATGTTTGCTCTCTGCTTTAGAACGGCAAGGCTTGAACGCTCTGACACCATCCGCTGTATAAAGACATGTCAGCCCAATGACGTCGCCTGTGTCCTGAACCCCACGCACTCAATATCCCACACCTTCATTTCCCTGCCCACCTTCAGAGAGTTCACGAGGCCGGAGGGTAAGTCTTTTATGTGCCTATCAATAGCCCTGCTGAAGATTTGAAGGAATTTAGCTGGGGACACAACCTACAAATATTTATAATTTAATATGTATCATTATTCACTAACCATCATTTAAAGCATCTGATAAGTTGTGCACACATTGTTGCTTTTTAGCTGGTTATAGAAGAAAATCTGGAAGGAATGCAGACTATCTTTTAAGATAGCATATTGTTAAATTTGAGTAATGGTCAAACACAGCGCAACACCAAGTTAGACCCCTCCAAGAGATTAATTTTGCTGACCGCTTGCTTCTCTAGTTCCACCAACTTCAGCAAAGACCACACGATAGCAATACACAGTGGTGTATGATGCCACGTGTAAACCTTAACCAAAAAGCCACTCTATAGCCTCAAATAATGCTCAGAACAGCATCTAACTTCATCAAAAGTACATATAGGGTCCCAGCCAAAGTACTAGCGAACAAACATCTTTTTAGCTTTGCCTGAATTCTTTAGCTAAGAGACCAAACACAACTCACCCACTCTCCTCCAGCAGCCGCTTGTTTGTGGGGGAGCCCTGATGAGTTGATCACCGAGCGTAGCGGAGTTTTGCAGCTCAAGGAAGAACATTTATGATTATTACTTCCCTTTAACCTTTCATTATGTCAGTCTGGGTCACCTGCAGAGTAGCTGTGCATAATTTGCAGCTCAAAAAACACCTTATTTATCTTTTACTGGTAGCTGTAAAAACTCTTAATTTCATTGTTTTTCAGCCACACTTTGTTTTGGCTGCTTTTGCACAAACATAAAGTCAAACACAGCTTGTGGGTGTTACTTTTCACACAGCTTTGTAATTACAAAACGACTTAAAAGTTGTTGCAGCCGTTGATGTCTGGAAAACATAAGAGGTAATAAAGAAGAAAAAAACTGCTGTGGCTGTCGCTTGAAATCAAACAAACATGATTTTCTGAGACATACTCAAGAAAACGCAGAACTGAGGAAAAAGCCATGTGAAATGGAGTTTTGTGCTTTTATTTTGAAGTATTTACCACTACCTGCGTAAATATCAGATCTGAATAAACAAGCAGTTAAAAGAACAGTTAAAGAGTACGAATGTAGGATTAATTTGTGAGCTCAAGGTGCACAAGTTCTGACGTTGTTTTTGGATTCACAGCAAGTCTGTAAATTTCTGCTTTTAAAAGTTTCTTGTCATCCCTGAGAGTTTAATACGAGCTCCTACAAGCTAGCCTGCTAGTCACTGCTGCTTCTCCTTCAACTCACCTCCATTATATGATGTGTTACGACCAGTTTACCACTACAACAAACTCACTGTATTGCCTGGGACAGCCCTTGTTTCTTTGATGCCCTAAAAATGAAATAAATACAACTTAACCAGTTGGATAAACTCCCAAAATAAATACTCTGGATTCAACAAACAACAGAGCTGTGTTTTTATTTTTATTTTTTTAAGATCAATCTAATCTTCCACTCCTTTTTTTCTCTTAAGCTCCACTTTATATCTCTTAATCTCAAAGCTCCCATCAAATGAATTTCCATGCGGTTGTCCAAATTCATACAACTACCCCAGACCCCTAATTTTGCCTTCCCATGATGTCCAAGTATCCTGCTGCTTGGTAATAATAACTCAGGGGAAGTGACAGCTGACAAGAATCTACTGGCTGGCATGTTGCACATGTTTCAGAGACGCTTATTTTCAAAGTCACAGGGGGTTTAACTCTGCCATGTCTCCTAGGCTCTGAGTCTTGGTGTAAAGAGACTGCTGAACAATAAAAAAAACTGCTTTGTGACTCTTTTGATTGACTGTTTTGGAAAGAAAAAAAGAAAAACAAAAGCATGAGTTTGCCTTTACCAAGTGTTAATTTGGTGCTTTTAAGGTTTTTTCTGTTTGTCATCTTCCAACAGAGATTGTCTTCCTGAGAACGACGGTGCCAGCGTACGGGAGCTATCACTTAGGCAGCTACGACGTCAAGTTTGACATCTTGGAGGGCAATGTGGAGAACGCCTTCGACATCCAAAAGCGGGTGGAGAATGGAATGTATGTGGGTGAGTACGGAGATTTGGCTTTGTTGTGGAGTCTGGATTAAAAACAAGCTAGTGCAAACATAAGCGACATTAGCAACAATTGAAGCGTTAACACGCAGCCCAGCAGGCTCCAAGTTTGAAGACTACTTTCTTTTGTTGGGGGGAGGAGGTATGTAATGTTTATACTGTATAAATATATATGGATTTTTGTCTCATTTTGAAATATCTGCTTTTTTTTTAGAGGGAGGGGGTCCTACTGGATTCTCATTTTGAAATCCATGTGTTTTTTATTGCAAATCAAACTCACATGTGCACATTGAGAGGGGACACAATAAGCAGAAAAATATCCCCTGAGGAATGTCTGGACGCCCTGACTAAAGTACATCTGACACAGCCTGTTATGGTCTGTGCAGTGTGGTGGCATCATGTAGCTGTCATCGTCTTCATGGGAGTTTCTGAGCGTCTATGTCTCTGCAGCGTTGTCCTCTGAGTGGCTCTTAGAGACAGACGCGGGCTTGTTTCTGTCCCACCAAATATTTGGCATGGATTTTCACAGTCTTGCGGTCAGACAAAGCTCTGTTTAATTCACTTATCTATGGCTGCGCATAACTAGTGCTGATCATTACTCCTCGCAATAACTCATTGAAGCCTGAACCAGCGGGAAAAGAGGAGTGCGCTTGGGTATTTGAACGCATTTGTGCATGGGTGATTGCTTTTGACAAGCGTAAGCATTCATCATTACTACCTGTTCAGCCCTGAGTGAGCTCAAACTTGTAGCAGCAGTTAGCATCTCCAGTGGTGTGTAGCAACAACACATGTTTGGGTGGAATCTGGTGCTAACCTGTGGGCTGCACACGGGCGTATTTTTTTCAAAAGCTCATTTTGGTCCCCTGCAGTTTTAACCATCTCAAAACAATGTTACTTTACGATATAGCAAACCGATACACGTCGGGCACTGGGACCAAACAGCTGAAAACTGGTTTCCCTCGGTTTTGGGGCCGCTTTTTGTGTGATTGGCTATCCCTGCTGTCAGTCATTCCATACCCGCTGGACGCAATATTTTTTTCTTGGATAGTAGGGGAAGGTTTCGCCTCCTTTGCCTCTGATTGGCATGAAGGGTTCATGGCTCTGATTGGTTATTCCTTGTGAAACGTCATTGTCTTTCAGGTTAGGGTTAGGAGATTCAGAATTGCGATAATGTTCTGTAATGTTCTGTTCGATGTACAGAGCCAACAGCCCACGCTTGGCTTGAGCGTGTGATGGTATTTCCAGCTTTTCCAGGCGGGACCTTCTCCTACCACCTTACGAAAAAATATAGCCCGCCGGACTGGTGTTTTGCAAGTTACTCGTAGAGTCAGTCCAGGAACATCGCCATTTGCCGATGCAAGTTTACAGGAGGGCGTCGTTCATTTTCCCTCCGTGGCATCAGATTCATCTGAGGTTTAATTTACATCCCTGTATCGGGTTTGTACTTCCATCCACCTGCTGGCCATATTGCTTTCTCTGTTACTGTTGTATGCGAGATGTGCTGTTTGCTAGGCTATGTGTCTCAGCAGTACTCAACAGTACTCAAATCACATTTGTCCCCCCCCACCTTTGAAATCAAAATTTCGTGCACATTTTTAGGAGCGCACAACAGAGCCTCAGTTTAGGGGAGATAGGGGTAGTGAAGGGTGACATACTGTTGGGTCTGTCTCACTGCTTTTTCAAATGTGGTTTGGGATGCAGGCAAAATGGGGAGATGACTTCTTCTTCTTCTCTTCTTAATGGATGGAGGGATGGCCCATTGGTATGCACATCTGTCTGTCAGGGAGAAGGAGAGAGTGTGACTGTCGTTGGCTTAGCCTGGATTGTGGGCGCACGCAAGTGTTCGTCTCTTGTACACTTGTGCAGAAACAGATGTTTTCTTGTCAAACGAATCCAAAATTCAGATTTAAAAAAAAAAAGGGGAAAGTAGCAATTACCACTTGGTTCCCTTTTAAAGAGCTTATAATTACATTTTACTATCTTATAGTGGTTTGTTCGAGTTGGAATAGCCTATTTCTGCAGTGGAGATAAGCCTTATTCTGTAATATTTCATCAACCCAGTGTGTCTGTGCTTGTGTGTACAGAGGATTTCAGAGAAATTCCCTGTTTATAGTGGTGCTCGTTCGCAAGGGCAAGTATGTATTTGTGTGCAAAGAATAACATTCTAGAGAGAGAAAGACAAAGAGGGAAACTGAGATTCAATGAAAGAGGAAAGAGAGAGAGAGAGAAAATATGTGCAGAAGTAATCCTGGGCGCTTTGCTTCATGTGGTTAAATGTATTGTTCCATTTCCCCACGCTAGGCCTCAGTGTCTCGCCGAGCATTAGAGCACTTAAAACCAACGACCACATGAAAGGCGTGTTTGTGAGGAGCCACTTCTCTCCCAAACCCGTTGGATGGATGCTTATTGGATGCAGCTCTTGCATGTTAGCACCAGTTGCCCCATCACATATCCAAATTGGGGCCCTGCGCAGTGTTGCCTTTTAGTCACAGCCCGCTCGCCGTGAAGTGTGGCGACCACGGTGCGACGAAGGTCCTCTTGGTTTCACTTAAGGGCTTGTGCTGCTGGCGCTCTGGCCCGTGGATGCTGCTGTTGCGTAACCATTGTCTGAAGCTGGCTGACGTGTCAACTTAAGGAAGCTGAGTTTCCAGTATCTCCAGTGTCTCTCCAACAGTGGTATTACAGCTTGGTGGGACGTGAAGAGAAGCAGACATCCAGGCTCCACTAATGAACAAGTGCGTGAACTCGAGCAAACTTTGGCCATTGTTTTTGGCCACTTTTTCTGTTTTTGAAAGGGACAAAAGAGGCAATTAGGAATCCCAGGAATCTGTAGCTAACGTGAAAAATTTAATTTTAAAAGGTTTGACTGGCTGACGCTCGTCTCTGCTTCAAACCCCCCTGTGCTGAACACACAAACACAGAGCATTCATACAATCGTGCACACAAAACCACTCACATGTAAGGGAAGAGAACCACACCAGTCTCTTCTAACTCCTGGTCATCTATCATTGACTTTCCCAGCACTGTCACATCTGGGAGACAACCCTGACAGCCTGATGCATCTGTACAAACACAACCGACCCTCAGTGCTTGGAAAACATGATCAGACCCCATCAAACACTCACAGATTCCCATGACAACAACGGTAGCGCACTGGTAACTACACAAACCGCCCTGCAGGTACATAGACACCACAGTTATCTTAAGACAACATACGTGGCACATCTTAACATATTTGGAAACACAAACAGAGGAGGTATGCGTTACTCATGCTGACGCTGTCATCCACTTCTGATTTGCGGCAGGTTGTTTGGATTGAGCTGATAATGGGATGATTGATTTTGGCAGTCAGCAGGTGGATGGATGAGTCCTCCCTTTGAAAACACTGGAGAGCAGTGTGGTCTCTGCTGGAAGCTCGGGTTAAATCCGGGGCTGAGTCTCTCACCTCTGACAAAATGCTGCTGCTTCTCCTGTTTGCTAACCTGTCAGCGACATACATCATTCTGGGGATCAATATTGTCTTTGAGCACTCCCAGTAAAAGTTTCATGGGCTTAGTGTCGATTTTTTTCCCTTTATGTAACAACTTCAGCTTTGCTTTAACCAACATAAAGTATAGGATTGTTACAGCTATCTAATCCCATTTCTCCTCTGGTCACCAAGAAGATGACCAGGTAGGAAAAACACTGCGCAAATAAGGCAAAATACCTGAGAACCTGAATATGTAATGTGAGATGTTGTTTTACTTTACCAGACTGATTTGCTGACAGAGATCTACTTGTCAGATTTCATTTTAAGGATACAGATTATTGGCCAGAGATTTTTTTTTTGGATTTTTGGTGCCCCAAGAGTTCAGGTTTTGTGTTTTCCAAGCGTTACTATCTAACTATGTTCATTTATTTTGTTTGCCTGGAAGAAAACAGCATTTCACTGACAATGATTATTTTTTTTATCAATCCTAACAAAAATGCATCTGTACATATAGGTAGCAGTCAAGTCACTAAACCTTAAAGGGATATTCCGGTGTAAAATTAAGTTAGGGTCAAACACACTGTAACACAGAGTTAGACACATCGTCGAGAGATGAATGTTGCCAACCGCTTGCTTCTCTAGTTATACCAACTTCAGCAAAGACCGCACGATAGCAATACACAGCGATCTACGTCTCCACACACAAACCTCAACCAAAAAGCCACTCTATAGCCACAAATAATGCTCAGAACAGCACCTAACTTCATCAACAGTACATACTGTATAGTGTCCCAGCTATAGTACTAGCCATCACACATCTTTTCAGCTTTGCCTGATTTGTTTAGCAAAGAGACTAAACACAACTCACCCACTCTCCTTCAGCAGCCGCTTGTTTGTGAGGGAACCCCGACAAGTTGATCACTGAGTGCAGAGGATCGTTTCCATTAATCAATAATCATCATAATAATAATTTTGCACTGCAGACGCGGTAGTTCTTCTGCCTTAGCGTCTTGGTCTGATTGCATTTCCATGAAGAAATGATCTTAAATGTTCTTCCTTGAGCTGTGAAACTCCAATTGACTAATAGGCTAACTTTTGCCATTTACTTCATCTTAAACAGATGTGAGTTAAAGTCCGAGCTTGCCCCAGTCTTCCCCTTCATGGTTGCACTTGTTTTTGCTTGTGTGATAAAATCATCAAAAATGGGACTCACAGAACCTCTGTTAAAGTCCAAGTCAAAGCCCGGGTCATCAGTGCTTGAGTCCACGTTGCATCTGACAGACTTGCGCTCAAGTCTCAGTATCACACCTCGTGTCAAGTGTATTTTATGGCCAGCACATTCACATCCAGGTCTTGATTTGACTTGTCTGAACTACAACTGGCTAGGGTGGAAGCCCTGAAAAATTTTCACCATTATCCCCAACGACTGCTGCTTATTAGGAAAAGATGACTTAAAGTGAAAAAGTCAAATTTACTATAAAATCATGAGTCTACCATGGAATTCAACTGTCAGCAGTCAGCACATTTTGAGTCATCCATTAACTGAATGACTCCTCTTCATGAGTAATTTTTTGTCAAGAAGGACTCCATGAAGAAAAAATGTGCAATGTAGTGTTTATGTCTATATGACTGAATATCTTCTCCATATGCATCGTCCTGGAGAAACTAAATTTAAGACGCAGCAGCTACATTCCTACCATTTTTGAAATGCAGGTGGAAATATGCCTGTGTGGTTTAAATCCTGTGCAGAGTATAAATTCTTTTTGCATGACCACGGGCACAGGGCTGGCAGCCAGTGCGGCAGACAGAAAGATGAATGCAGGAGGAAGTGGACAGTTTGTCTCTGTGCAGGTAGTCATGGCCACAGATGCTGGAGGAATGTGAGCCGACTGTGTGAGACATGACTTCTTCAGAGCCGGTGCAGCTTGCGCCTCTGGCTTGTGGCTGTGCCGCTGAGGAGCTGAAGACAGCGGTGGAGATAAGCAGACAACTAGCACCTTCAGTTTGGATGAATCATGACATTGGAAGTGGCCGGCCCACCAGAGAGCGCCAAACCCACGAGGAATCTTTGTCTGAATGGAACAGCTAATCAAAACAGGGTCCCCTCCTCCCAACATCCCCACAGGCACACAAATAACTTCCCCTCGGGTGGTCCCCCCCATCAATGCTCTGATGAAGAGATAGTGATTCAGATATTTCACGCTCCCAGAGACATACCACAGTCAAAAACACACTGGTATGTTCACATAAAGTTTAATCTTGCAATAAAACTGTCTCAATAACTCAAGAGTTATCTCCCTTGGTTTCGCTGATCCATTTATCCTTCGCTGTCTGGCACTGTGATTTTTAGAATATGTAACTTTGTTTAAGTAATAGTTTAAAATTAATGAGGTTTGTTCATGTTCCTACATGCCAAAAGAGATAGCAGAGTCCTTAAACATCTCAGCCAGACACTTTCTGCCTCCTTCCATTTATAATGTGGAGAAGTTGCAAATGAAAACCCAGACTGGAGCTGCAAACGCAGCAGATTTTCATGTCAAATCCACTCCATTTAGTCAACATTTTCAAGTGTATTTTCTGCTCCTTGGTTATGGGCTTTTGCTTTGAAAGGTCACTTGTAATACAGCGCAAAGGTTGTGGTGAAGATAATAGTGCATGTTATGTCATCTCAGCTGCACACGGGCCCACAACTGCTAAAACAGAAAATCCAAGAAAAGAACCGACCGGTTCCCTACGGCTGCTTTTCAATGATGTCACTCGCCAGATTGTGACGGTGTCCTACAATGACCCGCTGGAAGGATCTCAAACTATGACTGGATGTCAATTGACCTTAAAATTTCATACGCTGGTTCTTCAAAGCAGGGTGGGCATGTTTCCTGACCTCTGTTTGGAGTGGATAGAGTCATGTTTGGACAGCCTGACCTGACTGGAGTGGACATCTCATTCAAATGACCAGTGACCAGTCATAAATACAAGACCTTATCCCGGAGAGACCTGTATGTGCAGTCTTTGAACTCACAAAAGGATTATATTTCACTTTAGTGACGGGTTATCTAAACTTAATTTGGTTGCTAATAGGGGAACAAGGGAGCTAGTGAGCATTTCTCTGGCATGTCTTTTCGCTTTTATGGACTTTGTGTAGTAAAAGTTGAGGTTGTAAAAGTCACCCTTGAAGAAGAAGAAGAAGAAACAAGCTATGTTCGTGTTTATGCCAACAATGCTCAGCAGAACATTGGTGTTATAGTTAGATTCAAAACACATCACATTTTTAGCCGTAATGATGCTGCAGAATGCCCTTCAGTACCCTCTTTGCAAAAGTGTAACTTTGTACACCACCTGGACACTTTCCAATGGTTTCACTGTAGTGAGCATGCATAGCGCCACAACCAGTGTATCATTATACAATACTGTGGTGAGGCCGATGCATATTTTTCATTTGTCTCTGGTGTTAAACCCGTTCATTTTGGATCCTGTCATACACTTCCTCGCTGAGTTGTAGAAACCAGAAAACCCCGAAATTGTACTGTTTACATGTAACCCTTCAATATTGCAGCCCCCGTGGCCATGAAGGATGACAAATGCCTCCTGGCACTGGCCTCACTTTGTTTTGTGGCAGTGTCTCTGCTACTAGCATGCATTTATTTAAGGCTATTTTCTACTTAAGGGGCTACTTTATGGTGCGGCGGAATGTTTTTGGAGAGCGGACAGATTGTACAGCTGTTTGTTTGATGGTTTCTCTTCAGGCTCGCGCAGTCACATTTGCAGATACCTCAGCGAGATGGAAAGACACCACAGACCTTTCAGGCTTAACAACTGGAGCTCCTGTGAGGGTACCTCAAGTCCCTGTGTTACGTGACCTTACAACCCAGTCACAGGGCAAATTGTCAGTTACAAGGTTTGGGAAACTTCCTCGTGTTTATTTATATGAATTTCAGGTGGTATGGTCACCAATCATGCTGGACCTGTTTTGTGGCTGTTGGCTTTTGGCCTCGATGCGCGGATGAAAAGTAAAAGATGAGTTTGCGGTTGTGGTTTCACCTCAGGTTCACTGTGAGTATGCAGAGGCCCAGCTGTTAGCTGATGCTTTCCCCTCATTGAGGACACAACTGAGCTTTTGATGGAGAGCTAACGGAAACAGAGAGTCATCATGAACACACATACCGACTTAAGTATCAACCTCTTTTGTCCAGAGTTGAATCAAATGAGCCCACATTGTAATAACATAATTACCTTTTTTACCCTTCAAGGCTGAGTGGAAAATAAGTAACACAAAGGCTGAAAGTTGAATGAAATTTGTCTCTACATTTAAAGTGTTTCCTCCTGTGTCAAAGAAATCTGTGTCCTGTGCATTGGTGATCTCTTCATTTACAGTTTCAGTTCACCTTAGTCCTGCACAGTGCTTGTTTGCTTTGATTATTGTTTTTTTTTTTTTTTTTTTTTTGGTTGTTTTTTTTTTACATTTGCTTACTGCATGATATCTTTGTAACATGTCCCTCCCACATCCAGAGGAAATCTGAAACACCTATTTTTTGCTTCTAATTTAGCACCCCTTGATCTCAGAGTAGCTGATCAGTAGATAGAGCTTTATATGACTTTACCAAAACCAAAAAGACTTCATGATCATTGTACCAGTGCCTCTATCTGTTGGGAAAATGAATGCATTCTTAAAGAGAGAGCATTTACTGTCTTTTGTCTTCTATGTTGTGCTAAATGTAAACTCCATGATCTACAAGATGATCATGAAATTCAGAATTATTGTTAAGTCCTATGATATGTTGTCCTCTGCTCCATACAAAGACACAATTCAGAGACATTTTTTTAAATATCTTTTTGTAAATGTGATTTAAAATCCATCTTTTGACCACATTTCACCAGTTAATGCAAATCTGCTTCTATTACAAAGTTTGCCCCACATTTACACACTTGTTAATGACAGTTTTTAAGTTGCATTTTTTAATTGTTGCATGTAAAAGTGTTTTGTTACAGCGCATTAAGTCCCATAATGAAATGGTATGATGAGAAATGCTGAAACTGATACCACAGATTCACTGCGCACTGTTGTTTGCTGCCCCAATGATCATGGAGAACATTTAAAAATGCTCCTAAACTTTGCAATCCGTTAAATTAATGAAACAATATTGTATTTTCAGACATGTAGATACTGTTACTGTCTTTAAGCACATAATGCAAATGGTAAAAACTTCGGTACTGGCGGTCCAGAGTTGATGTCACTTTGCGTTTAACCAAATCTCAAATGGAAATCTCAGTTAGTACTCACTGAAAAGGCTAAGCCAATAGTTCCAGGTCAGATTGTCACAGTGTTACTTAATTAGAACCACAACAGCTAAATAAAACATTATGTCCTTCTCAATGAGTGACTTGGGGAATATGTACGGGCGTGACTGGAAGGGCATTTGACAGGATTTCAGTTCTCAAACACAGTGTTTCTCTGTATATGTGCTAATTTGACCACGAAAGATTTACAAAACACTAATTGACCTCAAACACATTCCACATATTGCACTATTTAGATGTCCTCAATACATATAATACAAAATTTGTGTTTAAGTTTTCATTATTTATTTGTGTGGTGAGATTGTTTTGCTTCTTTTCATTAGAAAAAAAAAAAGCTAAAATTTTCAGTGGAAAAACGTGCCCCTGGTTTACCCTCATTATAGCGTTTGGTCCTCGTTAGACGCAGACCACACTTCCTCCAATTAAAAAAAGTCTTTATATGGACAGAAGCCCATCTGTCTTTGAGGTGGTCCATATTGTGTTCATAATATCTTACTCATCCTCACTGTGTGCTCGCTCCACCCAGCGCTGAAGCTTTTTAATGGACTCTCTTTGGTTTAAATACAGGACAAATCATGAACCCCCTGAACTCCATTTGAGTTTGCATTGGTCAACTTAGTCAGTTGTGTGCATTCTCAGTCGATGTATGTCTGCGAATCATTTTCTGACTCAAAAATTAATCTCTTTTTCCGTGCTGATGGCTCTCTAATATTGCTGTTGTTAGGTTGAAGCAAAGGTCAGCCCCGTCTGATGGTGCTGACGCTTCGGAAACAGTCAAATCTCGGCTCCGCTCTCCTCCATGTAGTGTCACCATGCAACAGAGAACCAAACACCAAAACAAGGGGGCAACCCTGGTAGGAGCGGGCCCCATTCAACGCTCGCCATGTGCTTATCACCAGCATCTGCTGGAATCCTTTGAGCGCCCACGGATTCCACTCAGAGAGGGACGAGAGAGCAAAAGAAAGTGACAGAAAATGAGAGAGTCGAGACAGCAGTTTGAGCTCCTATTGCTGGCCGCTTCCTGAGTTCAAGATGGATTCCTGGAGGAATGCCTCCATAGCTGAATCGCGTGACTGCGACTGCTCCCCTCCATCAAACACATGGGACTCATTTACCCTTGTGGGCCGTAGTGATGGTGCCACAAACACCAGGCCCCCTCTCAGGAAGGGAAGAGAGGGGAAGAGGAGAAGGAGGAGAATAAGTGGGCGGAGGGGATCTTCAATCACACAATGCCAGGGTCCCAAAGGAGGCAGCGGATGGCGCACAAAGGATCATCATTTGTCCTGTGGTGAACAACAACCCAATTGGTTTTACTGCTTTGTTTCAAGTACCACAGAGAGGGGTGTTGAAACCCAGGCTGTGATTTGTAGTCATTTTAATCCATGTTGAGTCATCATACAAAAGACTTCGACACATCACTGACTCATTAATAACTAAGAGGAACCAAAAGGACTTCTTCATGAGAAAAGGACAGGAGACAGATGAAGGTGTGATCGGTGGACGGTGTAGGGATTTCACTTGTCTGCCAGCAAAGAAAGGCTTGCTGACAGGCTGTATAAACACAACTTTTTTTTTTTTCTTCCTGTAATCTCATGTTCACTTAAAAAGCGCACCCAATGAATTCCACGAACATTCAGTCATGCTCTGTCGCTGCATGCTTATGCTTCCATCGGTTTTAGCATGATGGAGTCTCTTATTCATGCAGATTGTTGAAATGTGGTGGAAAAATAATAGGCAAATTGATATTTACATTAAAATTCATTTGCGTAATACAATGTTTCAGCAAGGCCCCAAGCTCTTATGCTACCAATTAAGACAGCTTATAAATAAAAGTGAAATATATACATTATTTTAAAGAACTGTCAGATGTACGTGATACAAACAACTGATAAATGCATTAAAAGTATGTTTGGTGTAGATGTCTTCAGACCAGAATGTTGTTTTGAAGGACACTTTTCTGCTAAAAATGTGATTCATCAATGATCAAAGCACAACAAACACAATTCTATTGGCCTCAGCTGTATTGAGGTAGAATTTTTAATTCATTACCATCAGCACTTCGAACCAAAACCCCTCCCACTGTCTGTCACCATTGATGGGTTCATGAGAAAACATTTTATGAGTTCTCTGAAAAAAATAAAAACATTCACAACAGCATCAAAACTAAAAGATAGATTTGTGTTTGATGAAAACCTGCATTTAAGATGGATTAACACATTAGAATTCTGACAGGGTGAGCAGGACCTCCATGTGAAGGGTATGGGTGCATAACCACCCATTGATTATACATGATTTCACTGATAACCTTAGCAAAAGCATCACACCCAAAATTTTGTAGTGATTTAAAAATGGTTGATTTAGACATCATTTGAACCTCAAACAAGTTAAAAACTTTTCTTTTTTTTTTTAAATAACCCACATTAAACTGTATTTTCCACATTAGACTCAGTGGTAGTGGAGGTCCAAAAGCTCCCCAGTGTGCTCTCACATCTGAAACCTGTAACCGTTATTTACTAGACTTGCTTGAGACAAGAACTAACATTTTTTACCACTATATAAGAATGCCCATAGAAACTAGCTTTATAATACAATTTCAACAAGAGGGGACATAATGTGACCTCTCCAGGGATCGCTAAGATATGACATGTATGATGTCTGATTTTTGGTACTAGTTGCCTTTAATATTATTATTTTTTTCTCCTCTCAGGAGTTGTTCGCCAGGTGAAGCCTCTGATTGGTCCAGTAACCACAGTACTCAAACTGTCAATGCGCAACCTGACAACCCAGGGTGACTCCGGCCAGAACATCATCAACGTTCATGTCTTTGTCTCTGAGTTTTGGTTCTAAGGGGACCAATACTAGACTTTAGTCTACACATGTATTGAGACATATGTTGTTTACACTGTCCACTTTGGTTTTGTTATATCAATGCCTAGTACAGTGTCAAGGTTCCAGTGTTGTGTTTAAATATTTCTGACAGTATATGAAATGAAAGGCTATGGGCTGCGACAAAGCTATGGGTGGTACGGATGTTTTGACAAGCTCAGCTAGAACTGCATTCATGCATTGCATCTGGCATAATGGAGCTAAATATGGGAAGCTTTGTTTTATAAAAAACAGAGGATTCTAGGGCATATTTAAACTGAAAGTGCATGCATTTAGAAAGGATATGATGATACAATTTTTTTTTGCAATATTCTTTTTTGACATTATAAGCCTTTATTTTGTAGCATTCACTTTTCCTTTCTCACTGTATGCATTAGATTGAGTATTTTTTCTATGGAATAAACACTATTTTATTTACTGAACCTGTATTTCTTCATTTTTGTTTAAAGATAAATGTGTTTTTTTTAACTAAATTTACACTTAGAGGCTCATGAGGTTTGTGAAAATATACATGTAGTGGCCACTGATATGACCAAACGCTGTATACCAAAGAAATAATTAATTTTTACAATGGAGTATTAGGGCCACATTAAGAAAAATAAAATTAAGAAATCATAATTACTACAAGAATAAAGTCATGATAAAATCATTACTTACGAGAATAAAGTCATAATAAAATCATTACTTACGAGAATAAAGTCATGATAAAACTCTGCAGTTTATCAGTTTTAGCCATTTTCTTGTCCACAAAAGCAGCTTTATGACTGAATTTACTTTACGACTTCATTCTCGTATATAATGATTTTATCACGACTTTATTCTCATAAATAATGATTTGATTACGACTTTAATTTCGTTAGAAATGACTGTAATCTCTAAGTTTTGAGTATTTTTTTCTCTCAACATGGCCCTAATACTCCATCGTAAATTTTTTGAAGTGTTAATTTGGGAATAATTTTATCAAACTTCAAAAATGATTTGCATTGGTCCAGAAATTCTATGTACACAAAGTTCTCTTGTAAGAATGGTGTGAAAGATGCTTTAGTTAGGCTACGTGTGTTTTATCAAAAAAATTTAACCGCGAATTTTTTACGTGATGACGTCATGGCGTTTCAGGAACATGCGTGGTGATAAACGTTGACCATGAATGGTTAAGTTGGTTAGCCTCGTCCCTCGTCACCAAACAAACTTATCATTACCTGTGTCTTTGAGACGTGCGCTGTTTAATCAATTCAGTGAAATGTATTTCTGGTTAACGTTCAATTAAACGCTGATGCGCAGTTCATGTAAGAGCAGCTTTAGTTTGTTTATCACGACCCGGAAGTTCGGGAGGGAAGCGAACGCGCTGTGCCGAGGATTTACCAATGTGGAATTTCGAATGGTGGATAATATTGTGACACACTCAGAGGGAATTTAAGAAGAGAAAAAGCGGACTGACGATGACAGCGGGAGACCGAGTTTTAAAGGTAAGTTCACATTGTAGGATGAAGTGAGCTGTTGTCGGCTGTTTGCCTCAGGCTAACGTTAGCTACAGTCAGCGGGAGCTGCTCGCTAGCCTTCGTGGTGAAACGGTGTAGCCATAGAAACGAAACGTGAATGTGCGCGAGGCATAGGGAGAGTGGGCTAAGTTGAGCCACCCCCGTTGCTTGGAAATTGTAAAAGAAATTGTTCATGTGACCAAATATTTAATTAGAATAGTGTTCAGACAAAAAAAAAGATCATTTTAAATGTGTTTTATACAAATTGTGGTGTCTATGAGCTACAACATGAGGTCAAAAACCTAGCATAAAAGTCCACCATTTTAGCTTAGAGGACTTATAAAGTCATCATAGTAGTTCTGGGGTAAGTTGAGCCAGTGGCTGAACTGAGAAAGTAAAGGAGTCTGATGAGAGGATCAGAGTTTCAGTTCAGATTGTTGAAATGTTTTACTTTTTCTTTTCAGATTTCAGCTAAGAATGTTCTGAATCACTTAAAGGCATTCTCATGTTAAAATGACTTTTTACTAAACAGCTTTTTAGCAGTTATATGTAATAATAATAAAAATAATTATTGTACCAGTTGAATAACGGATAATGGATAAAAATAAACATGACTGAGAAGAAGTGACTTATTTAGGAAGAGAGAAGGTGAGGGAGGGCTGGGGTGGAGAGTCGTAAGTTGACTGTAGGAGACCGCTTTTTTGTCATGCTATATTATCAAGACAGTTATGTTTACACTCATTCTGTTGGTTTGCAGGGATGCACAACATCTTGAAATATATGCAGATTCACTGGTTAGAGACAAAACTATGATCGCCTTGATGTAGTGATATGACATATGAAAAATGGCTCATCATACTCCACTCTCCCCTACTTCCAGCTGTGCCTAATTCTGATCACTGTCGAGGGGTTGTGCAAACCCAAACTAACGTAAAACTTTGAGTATCAAGCCCATATTTGATATATTTATAGGATTTCAAGACATTTGCTTACAAGAGTAAGGTCAAAACAAGATCACTTTCTGACGTGATTGAAGTCAGAAGAATATCAAGTCTTAAATGTATTTATTCAACACTGTTATATTACAAAAATAAAGCCAAAGTAGAGTCATGATATTACTAGGATAAAGTCATTTTTCATAAGAATAAAGTTGTGATAAAGTTGTAGTTTTGGTTTGGTACAGGCAGCTGTGTAGTGTCTCCTTTCATTGTACTTCATGTTTTGGTACATCACCATCATATTGTTTTAAGTTTTAGGGCTCTGAGAAGATTGTACAGAAAGCTAAGTCATCGCCTTTCAAAACAGCTCATTAATAATTGTTGATTAAGTAGATTTGAATATGATTTCACTGACTTTTTTCTTGCAAGAAAATGGTTTTGCCACTGCTTATTTTCACCTAAAAAAATACTTTTTTTTTTTTTTTTTAAATCAATCCTTATGAAAAAATTGTAAATATAAAAACTCTTTTAATGTGACTAATACTCAGTTGCGAAGCGTGATTGTCAGTGTTTGGATACTTTTTGCATGCAGTATGTCAGTGATGGTGTTTGTGTTGTTGGATTCAGAAGAACTTCAGAAGAATCTTTTTCTGCAGTTTAAGTGTTTTGTTTTTACCACTTGTATGTGGTACACCAGCTTCAAATTAGCCATCAGTATTGTGTATCGGTATTAGCTGACAAACAGAGACATGCAAACAACTATCTCAGCCCATCTAGTCATGGCGGTCTGGGTGACGTCAGCCTTCACAGTGACGTTCAGCGAATTCTGTTTACATAGGACTCAATGATATCTATTGTGGGACACTTCTATAAACAGCTTGTCCACAAAATGCCTTCTGTTTAGTTATAATGCACATAAGCTTCTACTCATGATACTCTGTGCGCAAGCAAACATGTTGACCGTGGTTTTCAGGCTTGGTCTTTTCTGGACGAAAGGAAATCCTCTTTGGTAGCGTGACTAAAAAGAAAAAGCACGGGGGGGTGGGGGCAAGGTGGCAGCGTTAGTTAGAGACCATGGGCAAAGATACCAGCAACCACATTCCTAATTACATTTACCAGTGAACCAGAACTCCTCTCTCCATCAAACACAGGGAGACATCAGACAGAAAGTGAGCTGAACACATGTCAGTAAAGGCCTAAACTATGAGACTCTAATCATCACTATGCCCGGGCAAAGCCAAAGCCTCCCAATTCTTCAAAGACAATGGAGGAGGAGGCGCATACATCAGGATTTGAAGTCGTCTGCTGAGATGGGTTTTAAGGCTCTACTGAAGGGGGATATCCTCTTCAGCGGAAATAGAGGCCAGCAGGTCAGCCTTGTGGTCGACATGAAAAGAGGGAAGAAATGCTTTGTGTGTTTGTGTGTGTGTGTGTTTGGGTCTGTGTGTGAGTATGTTAACTCAAGAGCCCTATAACCTCATACTTTCAGTTTAAAGTTTTATATGGTTGTGCTTTTTGAGGCTATTTTGCAGTTTACCAAATTTAGGTTTGTTTGTATGCAAGTACCCGAAATAGTGTGACAATAAGAGCTACAAATGAACAAGTCTCGAGAATAGGCAGCGTATATATTTTCTGGACTGCAAAGAATAAATACTGTGTCTTTTATGTTAATGATAAAAGTGTTTTTTAAAAGAGGAAAAAACTTGATTACTTTAAAATTCTTACTGGAGACATCCTGCATTCTGTATGCTGGTGCAAGGAACGAAGCAGTTTAAAATTCAGGGAGACATTTTACCCCAAAAATGCACCATAAACTGGTGAGAGCTTACATCAGTGGAAGAGTGACCACCGTCTTCCACTACATGCCACTTGACATGAACTGAGAAAATAATGTGTAGATATTGTTAAGTTAGCAGTTGTTTATGCAAAATACACTTCCAACTGGGTGAGACAAGATCCTGATGTTTAAGTCCAAATTTGAGTGTTTTTCTGATAGCACTCAGCTGGAAATTTTTTCAGTCTGCTGTTGTTTTCTCTTCAATCAGTCACTCCTGTAATTCTGCCAAAGCTCATGCCATGTTGTGGTTTGTGATTGCTTTGTGTCAGTTTTCTTCAGCTTGGTTGGCATCTATTGCACTCAGCTCTTTGTTTATTTTGACATCCCTGTCTAATCTCTGCAATGTTTTTTTTCCCGCTGTTTATCTTCTCTATACTTGTGAATGGTCAGGCATTTACCACCTATCTCAAATTTTGTACCCTCTTGAGATTTATATTGAAAAATCCTCCATGTCGTCTTCTGATTTCTGAAAGAGCTGTACACACCTTTGAGAAGAATTAGGCCCAATCAGTTTATATAAAAAAGGGAAAATCATCAATACTTTAATCAAATCCATGGCAAACTGGAAGACACAGGTCAGACACAAAGTTTATTTCCATCATACTCTGATTTAAGAAGTACTTTAAACAAAACTGGCTTGACTAGCAATGTGAAATAGTGCTTATGTAGTTTTTCCCGTCCATATTCCACGAAAGGAAATCCTCTTTGGTAGCGTGACTAAAAAGAAAAAGCCAAATATGAGCGCCATAGCTCATAGTTATATAGTCAGACAGTGTGGGAGGACGTTACGCAGAAGAGGCCTGGCTTCCTCTGGTTCTGGACAGTAAGAAAAGCTGGGGCAGCAGTCCCTCGTAGCGTTACCAAACCACATACATGTGTGGGGACAAATGAGCAAATGTCTTCTGCCAGATCCTCCATCCGGAGCCAAGAGGGAGCTGCTTGCACTGGAAGCCGATTGTATGACTAAGCCCAGTGGGCTTGATGAGTCGACGTAATGGCAGGGGAGCAGACCTGTGTGTGTCTGCGCTGTTTGTTTGTGTACTCTACTGTGGCACAATGGCGGTCAGGCCTCTCAATACAAGTGGTCATGGCGGTGTCTGGCCCGGAGTAGACAGGGTATGGGTCTGATGAGAGTCTAGCCCAGGGGTTGGTGAGGCAGACTGATCCAG